ACTGCGGTGCAGAATATAAAATACTACTACTGGGTTGATTTTTTTCAAGCGTTTAGGTCACCTCATTATGGCTTTTTCAAAGCAACATAGGTCGTAGAGCAAAAGCAACTACGAGAGATCTCTGCAGAATACCAATACTGTCGAACTTACTGATCATTATACTTTAGGCAATTTTCTCCACGAAACAAAAGTGCCGAACAAAAGTGAAACGGCTCAGCTGTAAAAGCGTCGCGGGCACGATCGATCGACACTTGTTGCATACCCATATCATCTACGCAAATAGATCTGGTCGCTCGACTTTTGCCAGCAATTTACAATCCAGTTTTGTCGTGATAATCTTGTTTATTTCTCTCTTTCTTGACACCCATATAATCCAGCCTGACAGAAACGACATTTTTGCAATTGTGCCCGTAATGGAAAAGAGCTTTCCAAACGTATTAACTGCGTCGGATCTATATTCGCACTCATATTCATACCGATTTTCGTATTCATCTCGGATAATTTAAGTATCGCGACGTCGCAGTGTCGCTTGGCAAATTTTTGTGTAGCAATTGACATGAATCACAAATCATCAGGTAGTATACGCATTTATTACTCCGGAAATAACAGCGCAAGAGATCAGATGCTATTTTTAAAAAAGACAAAATACACCGCAGCACCATTACGAGTCGCGCCGAAGACTCGTAGGATGTAATTGATATGCATAACACTTTTTCATATTATTTTACAAAATGATCAATTTTATTTACCATACGTAGTTTTTAAGAGCAGCTTTAATTTATATAAGTAAGGTTTATATATTTCGTTGACGTAGTTGAAGCGAGTTTCAAATATTCTGGCATTGTTCATCAGCATTATTATTTTTCAAGTACTTCGAATGGAAGTAGCTTATTAAGCGTCGAGTCTTGCTTTTAATTTTACACCAGATCATCTTCCTTTCTCATGAGTCTTTCCGTAAATTCATATTCATCGGTTCAGTACAATAAGCGTGAAAAAATGGCTCATTTAAAAATTCAAAAAAGTTGACAAAAAGATTGCAGGCGGGATTTCTTAAATCGGTCGCAATTTGCGGAACAAGTTGATTTTTTTCGGCATCGGCATACATTTCCAAGTGAAAGTCTCAGTATACAGTACCAAAATACGTCGCTTGTTGAGGTGGCTTATCCATTACGCAATAGTACGCGCACGCACGGACACGATGTGCCCATTTAAACCATACGTCCATTCGTTATAAACGTGTCGACCACAGGCAAATGTAATCAGTGACAGCGACACATTGGCGATGAATTAGACAGCTTATATATTGTATGCAGGCAAGAGAGTCACAGGAAAGAGCATCCGACGACACAGATAGACGTAATGACTATAAACGCAATTGGTCGCACCTAAAAATCTCAATGTAGCACGTTCTCCGGAGCGTAAGACAAAACGACATGTCGAGCGATCTAGGTGAAAACCCGTTGCCATGTTGCGCGCCACGATTGCGATTGTTTAAAAAAAGAAAAAAATAATAAAACTCCGTGAGTATGTATCGAGGCAACAGCAGCCTATGTACGACAATTCTTATCTACGAGCAATAAATTAAGCGTACGACTATACTTTCCGTTTTCGCTCGCTATACGGATAATCGGAATTCACTTTTCTTGCCCCCACGTCTGCGCAGAGCGAGAAAGAGAGATGTAGGTGCATATTATATATTCGAGCAGTTGCGTATACATCAATCAAAATTAAAAAAAAAGAATAAAGTCTGGTACGAGCAGAAATACAAATGCAACATTTCTCTTTCTTTCTCTCGTTTGCTCGAGCTTGCATCGCGTTTGCGCGACGACTTTAACGAGCAAGTGCAAGAATCATTTCATTTCCTCTATAATACCCGCGTGAGACTCATCGTTTTGATGCTCGCGATGCGTCGTGGTGCTTTTTCTTTCTCTTTTTCTCCGTGCGTCTCGCGACGAAAAGCTGTGGGCGCGAATCGGCAATGCGAGCTGCACACAAGACGTCAGACAGACGAGTAGCAGCAGCGGCCGCAGTCGGGAAAAGAGAGAAGGTCTTTTGAGCAACTCGTCCGCACGCGAGAGAGCTCGTCTGCGAGAGCCAACAAGCGCCTCTCGTGCACACATTATAGTACATAAAATATATAGTGGTGCGAGTCGCTGCTTATAGGCGAACTCACACACACACGCTTACGTGGTTATATAGCCGTATATGGTCGACGAGAGGCCGAGAGATGCCAAGAGTGGGCGAACGACAATCCAGTCATCATTCGAGCTCTCTCGCGCATGTAAGCGCTATTTTCTTCGGCGAGCTGCGGTAATGAATGGCCCAGGTGCCATATGTAAGCGATGCCATCATTTTCTGCGGGTTTTCTCCCTTGAGTCGTAATCTTTTTTTATTATTATTATAAACACAAACGATCGATTCCGATTCGAAGGATGTTTGGGATCGGTTCGCGATCGGACTGCACGCGAAAGCCCATGGCGCTGTACATACAGGCAATAAAGTTAAAATTCTTACATTGTACGTAATTATATTATTGAATCAATCAATCTGTCATTGCTATACGGTCAAGCCTAGGTGACGGTGAAAAAAAAATTACAACTTTCTTACTCGTACACGGGTAGCCATTACAAGCTTTACAAGATTCTGTTAGAGTCGCGTCATCGTAGGTATAGTAGCGATTCTCGTTTGTATGCGCGCGTCGAGATGGATTCGGACGCAGGCGCCACGAGACGTCCTTTTTATACTGCACGTATCGGCGAACCGTCTTCCGAATGGTATTTCGCTTGAAAGTGCTATAAGGCGTGGGATGTAGGAAGGAGTCGCGGAGTGTCGCGCCGCGTCGCGCTGGTCACTTCGAGCGTGCACGGCGATGAACGGAGCTGACTTTATAGTACAATTTCATACATCCGATCGCAATAAAAATTTGCGCGATCTGTGATGCGGTTAAAACTTTATGCAGGTCTTTCGCTAATGCATGTACACGGCCATCCAAAACGCCGACTACGCGTATGCGTAAGTGATTTCAGCCGCGGCAATTGTTCGAATTGAATGAATGCCCTCGCAAAACGAGGAAGACGAGCTTATATTATATACGGCGATGTGATTTAGCGGCGTTAAAAATTGCCGATTTGTTTTGAGTTGGCTTCCCGATTCGGGTCAGCTTCGAAATTTACGACGTTCGCCGCGTGTCCACGCAACATCGGTAATAATTACTCTTATTATACATATAAATAGCGATGAGTTGAAAGTTGTTCTACATATAGATATCTGCGTTAAGGTGAAAAACGTTCTCTTGTGTATAATGCGCCTGCGAGTCAAGCTTGAATCGCATCTTGTTCTTTTTTTTCGATCTGCTACCGATTCAACGAGGACATTTGGAGTTACGAATGAAAACAATGACGATACGCTTGTAGCGTATATTATACTAGTATTCAGTATACTGAATCGAGTTAGGAATTTGTCCATGTGATTGGCTTGCACATTTTCCTGAAGTTTTTATATCCAAATGCGATACGATCGGTCCGTGTTTTTTTTTTATATGCTGTACCGTAGAGTCCAAAGATCGGTATATGTACTTACAAGTACTACGCGTATACCGCTATAAAAAAAGGTAATCCTACACCTGAGTCAAGTTATTAAGAAGCGAAAAAAACATACGCGAAGCGTAGCGGTTTTTTGCAAACATTTACAGGCGCACGTTTGTATGTAGCTCGTTATGTGTAGGATATTAAACTGTAATGAGTAAATATACGCGTGCGGCTTGGGATTGTGTTTATACACAGATTTGCAAGCGCTAGGCTCGAGGCAGAAGTGAGCCGTATAGTAGTCGTCGTTGGCATTCGATTCGGTCTGTTGCGGATCACATCTCTCTCTCTCTTTCCTTCTCATGCGCCATATATTCTCGCTCCCGATCTCTCTCGGGCGTGCTCGCGCTCGAGCGTTCAATCAATTAGCGAAGACTCGATAGATAGCTGCCTTAGAATGACAGCTAATGCGTACATATTCACGCACGCAAACACACACACATACACACTTGTAAAATTACTTCATAAATTTGCCATGCACGCGCGTGTATGTAGTATACATGTAGAATTATACATGCGTAACACCAGCGATCGTGTCTGTGCTATATTGTGTGGCCTGCCTATAAGCCTACATCGAAGTCTGCACGACGGACCTTGATGCTCTCGCGACAAATAAACGATCGCGCGTATAATATACGACTTTTTTTCGTGTTTTCCGCTGTTTTTTACTGGCTCGTTCGACGCCAAACGATATAAGGATTTAGTCCTTCGACCCCTTAATCGAGAAGTCGAATCGATATATAATGATACGTGTGTGCGTACGTACCGATCTCGCGGCATCGGGTCAAGGTCTTCAGCTCCCGATGTGTCTCGACGCGCGAGCATCGATCGGCAAAAATAAAGAGATAAAAAAGTCGCGCGCACGCATTAGCATTTATCGCGTACGAGCACGCGCTTCTCGAGCTCTATACTCGTACGAGCATATCCCGAAAAAGTCGGAGGGAAGCTCGATCGAGCTCCTGAGCAAGGAAACGAACAAAAGGCCCCCGTGAGTCGTAGCGTGCCTACACGCCGCGAGGCTATGTGCAGCAAATAAGACTTTTAAAAGCGACGATTACGTCAGTGTTTTCGTATACACACATACACGTACGTGTACGTTGGGACTCGGACAACTAGTACCTATATACGACAAAGGAGCTCTAACTGGTCGCCCCACTCGGCATCTACTTGGCGATCGCAGCAGCAGCCAAGTAGTAGGAGATGTATGCAGCAGTCGCACACATACACGTACACTCTCGTATATATGCAATAAGCTCGGAGCAAGCAGTGTACCTATTGCTGTATAATATCATCCCACGCGCGGGCTTTGCGAACGAGTCCGCGCGCGAAACACACGACGAGGCGCGGAGGTGGGAGTAGGAGATCGGCAACAACCCGGAGAACACGCATCGCGAGAGTATCTATACGAGGCAGAGACCGGCGCTCCTCGACTCCAGTCTGCTACAGGCGATCGAGCCAACCGGTCGGTTTCCCCACGACATATTCAATTATACTTTATCCGATTTTCTCGACTTATTATAAAGGAATACTAATTCGCTTACAATCGCACCGACTTGCACTCGAGCGAATTTTCACCCGTATCGTAACGATTTATTTGTTGGTTCACCACAAGTTTGTTTGTTTTTTTGGTTTCTGTTGGTTGATTGTTTAAATTGGTTAATTGTTTGCTCAATTGTGTGTGACTCTGTGCTATATATCTCTGTGACAGTTGGTTGGCGGCAACGAGACATGCGAGTTTCGATCGCTTGATCAATACAGTCCTACCGATCGAACGAAAACAAACGACAAGATGACAGCCAAGAAGAACAAGCGCAGCCAACAGCAGCGTCAGCAGCAGCAGCAGCAACAACAACAGAGCCAACAGCAGCTGACCAGCACAACGACGAGCAGCAGCGTGAATCGAGAGGAGTCGATAAAGCGGGCCAAGTACAGCAAGGAGGCCCAGCGCACCTACGAGGCCGAGACTACCGAGCGTCTGGTCATGGACGCCCAGGGTAACGTCATCTCGCGCAGCGTCACCGAGACCGGACACTTACCGATCACCACAAGCTCCTACGACAGCAGCAGTAGCAGCAGCAACAACCACAGCCACAGCAATAGCAATAACAGGCAGAGCTCGAGCCAACACATGACTAGTCAGCAACATCAGCAGGTCGACGGCAGCAGTTCCGCCAACGCGAAACTGGCCAGCCTCGATCTGTTGGCTGCCGAGCTCATGTCGTCCTCGGGAGACGAGCGGCTGCACAAAACCAACGGCCACATCGTACACACTTCAACGCCCTACGTTCAGAAGAACGTCCAGCACGAGCACAAGGTGGAGCAGCTGCCCAACGGCGGCCACGTCACCCTGGACAAGAGCCAGGGTCACCAGGAGGCTTACGAGGCCACGGCAAACTCCAGCAAGTACGCCGCCAGTTATTTCGCCAGCAGTAGCGCCGTCTACGAGTCTGGTCAGCAGCAGCAGCAGCAGCAACCCTATCAACAGGCCCTCACATCGAACGAAACGAGCATAGAAAATCACCGACTGGATAAGCAAGTCGAATCCAACAGCAGCGGTAGCAAGACTAAAAAAACGACGAGGAGCTACGACGAGAGCAGCGAGACCGGCTGGGACGGTACCTTCACTTACGAGCAAGTCCAGACGTCACCGCGACAGACTCGCCGCACGAGCAACAACAGATTCGAGCAGCGCCGCGATAACGTCGACGTCCGCCAGATCAATAACAACCAAAGCGTGAGCTTCGACGAGGCCGATTACGTTGCCAGCAGCCACAACAGTAGCTACAGCAATACAGAGCTCAACCAACAGCAGCACGCCGATCACGAATTTGTCCGGCGCCGGCTTTTCGACGAGCAGCTCAAACAGCAGCAGCAGCAGCACAATCAGCAGCAGCACGAATCGAGTTACGAAGAAACGCGATTCTATCGCGAGGAAACAAACTCAGCCGGTAGTCCCGAGCAGCTCTTGCAGCAGCAGCAGCACTCCTCGAATGAATCGAAAATCGAAAACAGACGATCCTTCTACGACAACGTCGACGATCAAAATGTCCTGTACCACGAGGTGGTGCACGAGCGCAGCTCCAGCCCCGTGCACCTGGACTATCCGTCGTTCGAGTCGAAGGAAGAACAGCGCAGCTATTACTACGACAACGTCGACGAGCAAAGTTCCATGTATCACGAGGTGATGCACCAGCGGAGCGTCAGCCCGGACTTTGTAGCGAACGATCGTTTCGGCAACGACACCAAGATCGACAATCGCCGATCGGTCTACGACAACCTCGACGAGCACAGCAGCTCGTCCATGTATCACGAGGTCATACGCCAGCAGAGCGCCAGTCCCGAGCACGTGGTGCCCATCGGACACATCAGCAGGGAGCACGAAATTTACCAAGACGTGTCGACCCTCGACAGCAGAATCAGCCCCGAGCGAGTCATCCCGGTGCAGTTCCAGAGCAGCAGCAACGCCAGCGTCAGCGAGGAGCGCGAGCTCTACCACGAGGTCGTCTCGTCGAGCAACGCGATCGACGACAGGAGCCAGGAGCAGCTCGTGGAGACGATCCAGCTGAACAGAGCCCGCCAGCCGAGCCCCGACTGGGTCGACAACTTCGTCACGGAGGAGCGCATCGTCAGCGAGGAGAGGCTCGAGAGCCACGAGGACGAGATGCTGCTGCGCCAGGTCGTGCCGCCGAACGCGCGCAACGTCACCCTCGAGGAGACCGTCAACGTCGAGGAGATCGTCCAGACCCACACGACCATCCTGCCCCCGCCGCCCAGTCAGATCGTCACCGTGCAGGAGATCGAGGTCGTCCTCGAGCCCAGCGACACCAACGAGAAGACGGTCACGACCACCTACGTCTACGACGTCAAGGACTCCTTGTACCACTCGGAGGAGATGCACCACGAGTCGTCCAGCTTCACGTCGCTACAGGAATACGTGAGTGCACTTTATTTCCTTTCGTCCGAGCTTTTTTTCACTTTCCTTTCATCCGATCGCGATCGATACATGTACGCGGTTGCGCATAATCGTTGCTCGGCTTTTAACTGTATAAACACTTTTGGCGCTCGCTGCTTGAGACAAAACGAGCAAAAAAAAGGAAAAATCTGCCAGTGATGTTTTCTGCACTTTCAGCACTGGTAACATTCTATTTTTAAACTAACGTCAACTTTTTTCCACTTACCGGCATAAATCAACGAGTGCCAATAAATAAAAGTTTTTACACGTTTATATACAAGCACGTGCGCGATACGTATACTTGTCAGTATGAAGCAAATCATTTTGCGCTTTGTTTTGGCTCCACTGGTACTCGAACGACGATCGACTAGCTATAACCACGTGTTAAATTTCACCTCATTGACGATAACTTTATTGCTATTATACACTTGCGCATAATAGAAAATAGCGATAAGGTTTATTTGCCGTTGAATTATCGCAAGACTACGACGATATAAGCAGCTGTGTGGCACAGGTGTTGGCGCGCTCGTCACTGAAAAATAATTAGACTTTGCTTGCCTTAGCTGCTCCAGTCTTTAATAGTTATTCATTTAAAAGTGAACGAGCGCGATTTTATGCGAGAAAATTCATTTCAATAGATACGCTGTGTTTTGCGAAAATTCATACATGAGCAAAACCATACGTCATTCTCGTGGAATGCGTGCCTGCAAATATGAACAGACGCGTCGCGTGTACGTAAATTTTTTGTGTTAAAATTTAACACACAAGAAAAGAAGAAAAAAATTGCGATGCTTTGTATACTCGTAAAACAACAAACGCATACTACCGGCTGTATGACTTTTTGACGATGATTTTTTGATAAGAACAAGCGACGTGCGCCGCATAGTACAGCTCGTGTATACGACGAGTACTCAAAATTCTCGGCTCTTCACTGGCAGTCAAAATAAAAATGTCTCTCTAGGCATAATAATGATCGCGAACAAAATTTCCGAGTCAAAAAAAATGAGATCACTTCCGATAAGTATAAAGAAGGAAAAAAAAATTCGCGATGTAAAATCAAAGGAAGCTGCCGTTCTTAGCAAGGTCGGCCTTCGGTTACGAGACTAAAACGGACAAGCCCATAAATATATACATACGTATTACGTACTTTTTTTCATTGCCGTATACGACTACTCTTTCACTTGATTTCACGTTAATACATCTCCGCCTTTTTCTCTCTCTTTCTTTCAATTTATAAATGTGTAAAAGTTGAATACTCGAAAAGATCAGGCGGCAGTGTAAGAGCATCATCCTTTCGGAATCGTAGATAAAATCGCAGCTCCGGAAGCTATAGCTAATTTTACATACATGCATGACCATACCTGTCTGCCATCCATTGAACTCTATTCTCCAGTTGGAAGAATGCGGGGGAGATAGGTGCGAGCGCTCTCCCGAGCCTCGACTTTGCGCTATACGTATTCGCGAGCTTGTGTGCGTGTTCGTGAACGTATACATATATGCAACAGTCTACATACTGCTCGTGCATTGCACAACTCTATATTATACATACGTATGCGTGGCCTTCGCTGGTACATAAGGCAGTGTCACCTGCAAGATGCTGCGTGTACGAGACGCTAGCCTGAAAAGTTTTCATTTGATCATTTTAAATGTATCAAAAACTTATTTATGCTCATCTATGAACCGTTGCACGATATTTGATGCAATTTTTGTTATTTTTTAATTCTCTATGCATAAATATACCGTATCATTTGCGATCAAAAGACGATCTAACTCGAGAGTGTTTTTTGTAAATAGCTAATTAATACACTAAATAGAAATTCGTAAATGAAAATTTGAAACTTTACGATAATGCCAAATTTACTTTTATGCAAGTAACCCTTCAAAACGAATTAACGCGTGTAGTTTGATGCTAATTGTACCATAAAGCGTCGAAGAACAGTAGGCGTCAATTATAAACTTTTATATACGTTACGTGCACTCGGGTGAAAACATAAATCGTCAGATAGAAAATTGACACCAATAAATAAATCTATAAATTTCGGCTTATCAGAAAGAAAATAAATCTAGCTACATGAAACGTTAGCTAACATTAATACATTAAATAGTTACATTTATATACAATGAAGAATTGAAAATATTTTACCAGGATAAGTTAAATTGGTACGGATTGATGTGATGATGACCTAACTTATTGCCTTTTTAAAATAATCATCACACGGCTATCAATGACATTAAATAAATGAAAAACGAGTAATTTTAATATAAAAAATTAGTAGACATGGATATTAAATATTTTCTATTTTCACAGAATTCGTCGCACGTGAAAGAAGACTATCAACTCTACGAAGTTATAGAAAAACCGCAGCCAGTCGTGATTACAGAGGTAAAAGAAGATAACTACTATGAACAGACAGATGCTGAAAACGTCACAACGAGCCAAATTGACTATCCTTTGTATGATCAAGTTGATTATCGCTCAACAAAAATTAAACACGAAGATAATCTTCGTATGGAAGGAGATTTCACTGAAACACGCACTCGAGATGATTTTAAAGTTGTTAAAGGTGAAAGAGTTGAGATCGTTAAGCATGAAGATAATCTTAAAGTGGAAGGCGAATTTGCACAGCGAGAAGTTGAAGAGTTTAAACCAGCAGAACGTCAGGTTCCTATCAAACCACAAGATAATCTCAAACCCGAAGGAGAGTTTGAGCGTCCAATAAAAACTACTGTAGGTATTGCTGAAAGACGAACACTCATTAAACAATCCGATAATCTAAAAATTGAGGGTGAGTTCGAAAGACCTACACATGAAGACTTCAAACCAGCTGAACGTCAAATCCCCATAAAACCACAAGACAATTTGAAACCAGAAGGAGAATTTGAAAGACCAATCAAAGAAATCACTCCAGTAAAAGGTGATCGAGCTGATGTGAAAAAACCACAGGATAATCTGAAGCCTGAAGGAGAATTTGAAAGACCAATCAAAACAGTAATGGGTACAACTGAAAGAAGAACACTCATCAAACATTCAGATAATCTCAAAGTTGAAGGTGAATTTGAAAGACCAACACCGGAAGGTTTTAAACCAGCTGAACGTCAAATTCCGATTAAACCACAAGATAACCTTAAACCCGAAGGGGAATTTGAAAGACCTATTAAAGAAGTCACTCCGACTAGAGGGGATCGAGCAGAAATTATTAAACGTACTGATAATTTACGCATGGAAGGTAATATGGAGACTATCACGTCACGCAATGACTATTCTGATTTCGTAGTGCGAGAGCGAGCTGAAGTGACGAAATATCAAGACAATCTGCGAATGGAAGGTGACTTTATCGACACACGTACTCGTGATGACTATAAAGTCGTTAAAGGAGAACGAGTGGAAATAATTAAGCACGAAGACAATCTGAAGCCTGAGGGAGAGTTTGAACGTCCCATTAAAACGACTGTTGGCGCTGCTGAAAGACGCACTCTCATCAAGCACTCCGATAATCTTAAGATTGAGGGAGAGTTCGAAAGACCTTCTCCAAAAGAAAGTTTCAAACCTGCTCAACGTCAAGTTCCTATAAAACCACAGGATAATCTCAAACCCGAGGGAGAATTCGAGAGACCAATCAAGGAAATCACTCCAATAAAAGGTGATCGAGCGGAGGTTAGAAAACCACAAGACAATCTTAAGCCCGAGGGAGAATTTGAGCGACCAATAAAAACAGTTATGGGTACAACTGAAAGACGAACGCTCATTAAACATTCAGATAATCTCAAAGTCGAAGGTGAATTCGAAAGACCTACTCCAAAGGAAAGTTTCAAACCTGCCCAACGTCAAATTCCAATTAAACCCCAAGACAACCTTAAACCCGAGGGAGAATTCGAGAGACCAATAAAAGAACTCACTCCAATAAAGGGCGATCGCGCTGATGTAAGAAAACCACAAGACAATCTTAAACCCGAGGGAGAATTCGAGCGACCAATAAAGCCAACTGTTGGTACAACTGAAAGGCGTACACTTATCAAACAATCAGACAATCTTAAAATTGAAGGAGAATTTGAGAGACCATCTCCAAAAGGTTTCAAACCAGCTGAACGACAGGTTCCGATTAAACCCCAAGACAACCTCAAACCAGAAGGTGAATTTGAAAGGCCAATTAAAGAAATTACTCCAGTAAAAGGCGATCGAGCGGAGGTTAAAAAACCACAAGATAATCTTAAGCCCGAGGGAGAGTTTGAACGACCAATCAAACCAACTGTTGGTAAGACCGAAAGACGCACGCTCATTAAACATTCGGATAATCTAAAAATTGAAGGAGAATTTGAAAGACCAGCTCCAAAAGGTTTTAAACCAGCCGAACGTCAAACTCCTATTAAACCTCAAGACAACCTCAAACCCGAAGGTGAATTTGAAAGGCCAATTAAAGAAATTACTCCAGTAAAAGGTGATCGCGCTGATGTGAAAAAACCACAAGACAATCTAAAACCCGAGGGAGAATTCGAACGTCCCATCAAATCTACTGTTGCTAAGACTGAAAGGCGCACACTTATAAAACAAACAGACAATCTAAAAATTGAAGGAGAATTTGAAAGACCAACACCACAAAGTTTCAAACCAGCTGAACGATCAGTTTCTGTAAGGCCACAAGATAATTTAAAACCAGAAGGAGAATTCGAAAGGCCTTTGAAAGAAACTAGTCCTCTGAAAGGCGACCGTGCTGATGTGAAAAAGCCACAAGACAATCTTAAACCCGAGGGCGAATTTGAAAGACCAATCAAACCAACCGTGGGCGCTGCTGAAAGACGCACACTCATTAAACAATCCGATAATTTGAAAATTGAGGGTGAGTTCGATAGACCATCTCCAAAAAGTTTTAAACCAGCTGAAAGACAAGTCCCAATTAAACCTCAAGATAATCTCAAGCCAGAAGGTGAGTTCGAAAGACCAATTAAGGATGTCACTCCAACTAGAGGCGACCGAGCGGAAATTGTTAAACATACTGACAACTTGCGCATGGAAGGTAATATGGAGACCATCACATCACGCAATGACTATTCCGATTTTATAGTACGAGAGCGAGCGGAGATAACGAAGTATCAAGATAATTTGCGAATGGAAGGTGACTTCGTAGATATGCGTACTCGTGATGACTACAAAGTCGTTAAAGGTGAGCGCGTAAACGTCGTGAAACATGAAGATAATCTTAAAATCGAAGGAGAGTTTGAAAGACCTAAGCCCACAGAATTTAAACCCGCCGAGAGACCAATTGTCAAAAAACCAGTTGATAATCTGAAAGTAGAAGGTGAATTTGATATGCCAGAAAAATCTAAAACCGTACCTGTAGCTGAAAAACGAACTATAATAAAACATGAGGATAATTTGAAAATTGAAGGTGATTTTGTTCAAAAAGAGGTTGTTCAAGCTCCAGTTGTAACTGAAAAGAGAACAATGATTAAACAAAAAGATAACCTCAAGGTAGAAGGTGAATTTACTAAAAAAGAAGTTCCTCGAGCCCCAGTAATCACTGAAAAAAGAACGGCAATTAGGCAAAAAGATAATCTGAAAGTAGAAGGTGAATTTGTGAAAAAGCAAGTAGTTCAAGCTCCAATTGTTACAGAAAAGCGAACTGCAATAAAGCATCAAGACAACTTAAAAGTCGAAGGAGAATTTGCAAAGAAGGTAGTCACAAAAGCACCTATTATCACTGAAAAACGAACAGTAATTAAACATCAAGATAATCTTAAAGTAGAAGGGGAATTTGCTAAAAAGGAAGTGAAAAAGGCTCCTGTTATTACCGAAAAACGAACGGCCATTAAACAAGTGGATAACTTGAAAATTGAAGGTGATTTCGCTAAAAAAGAAGTTGTTCAAGCACCGATTGTAACTGAAAGGCGAACAGCTATCAGGCAACACGATAATCTTAAAGTAGAAGGTGAATTCACAAAGAAAAAGGTTGTTGAAACCCCAGTTGTTTGTGAGAGACGTACGATTATTAAGCAAAAAGATAATCTTAAAATTGAAGGCACATTTGAAACTCCAAAAAGTAAGCCACTTGGACCAGCTGAAAAACGTGTTCCAATTAGACATTCTGATAATCTGAAACCAGAAGGAAACTTCGAGAGACCGAAACCCAAGTCATACAAACCTGCTGAACGTCCCTCGCCCATAAGACCTCAAGATAATTTGAAACCGGAAGGCGAATTCGTCAGGCCAGTAAAAGAAAAGGGACCTATCAAGGGTGATCGTGCTGATGTAAAGAGACCACAAGACAATCTTAGACCCGAAGGCGAGTTTGTACGACCAATAAAAGAAAAGAGTCCACTTAAAGGCGATCGCGCTGAAGTAAAGAAACCTCAAGACAATCTTAGACCCGAAGGCGAGTTTGTACGACCAATAAAAGAAAAGAGTCCTATTAAAGGTGATCGCGCTGAAGTCAAGAGGCCTCAAGATAATTTGAAACCTGAAGGCAAATTAGACATTCCACAAAGATCCAAACAAACAACCACAGTCAGCGAAAGACGATCTGCCATTCGCCACGAAGATAATCTCAAAGTGGAAGGAAAAATGGAAATTCCATCGAAACCGAAAGAGTCACCAACAGTATTCGAAAGACGCACTGTTATTAAACACGAGGACAATCTTCGCATGGAAGGAAAGATGGATATTCCTCAAAAACCGAAAGAATCATCGCCAGCTAGCATCGAGCGTCGTACAGTTATCAAACAACATGACAACCTTAAGATGGAAGGTAAAATGGAAATGCCGCAAAAACCAAAAGACGTCACTACAATTACCGAAAGACGCACAGCCATTAAACAACATGACAACCTTAAGATGGAAGGTAAAATGGAAATGCCGCAAAAACCAAAAGACGTCACTACAATTACCGAAAGACGCACAGCCATCAAACAACATGACAACCTTAAGATGGAAGGTAAAATGGAAATGCCACAAAAATCAAAAGACGTTACTACAGTTACCGAGAGACGCACAGCCATCAAACAAGCGGATAATCTCAAAATCGAAGGTAAAATGGAGATGCAGCAAAGGGCTAAGGCTCCATCTCCCGTGGCAATCGAACGTCGAACCATCATTAAGCACGAAGACAATTTGAAAATGGAAGGTAGGATGGAAATGCCGCAGAGGCCGAAGGAACCTTCTCCAGCTCCAGCCGAAAGTCGAACGATCATCAAGCAACACGTTGAAAGAAAAGTTGAAATGTCACAAACAGCGAAGGCTCCGTCTCCGGTTACGATGGAACGTCACACCGTCAGTAAACAACAGGCGCACATGAAGATTGAGAACGAAGTGACGAAACGTCAATCAGAGCAGCGGGAAGTTAAGCAGCAGCACCATGAAGAGCGAGCTAGTTCTGTTCATAAATCGACTGAACAACGCAAAGTCATGCAACAATCAGATCTACGCCGGGAATCCCACTTCCAGCGTTCACTACGCGTCGAAGACAAGAATCAACAGCAGCAGCAGCAGCAACAACAACAACAACAAGTTATTAAAAAAGTCGTACAAATTCCATACAGACCCGAGCCTCATGTACGAGTGGAAAGTCACGAATTCAACAAACAAGTCCGTCAAACTCTGGATCAGGATTATTACGCACAGATCTTAGCACAGCCGAAACTAACGACAGAAGTGGTAAGGCGAGAAAACGTTCACAGCTTCGAAGGTCGAGAAGTGCCGGCGTCAGTCAACAACGTCCGCACCAGTCTTCACAACGAGTCCAAGCTCGTATCCGGTGCTCACATCAGCAGTACCGAGGTACGCGAGGCTCGACCGGTGAGCTTGGCTCGTCTCGACGATCAGTACGAACGGCGCCAGCATCAGAGCCTCGTACGTCAACGACAGGAGCAATTGGAGCGCCAGCAGCGCACCATGACGACGAGCAACCATCAGCAGCATGAGCAACAGCATCAGCAGCAGCAGCAACAACAACAGGAAGTTCAGCGAACGAGCTCGGGCCACAAGCGCTGGAATCTGATCGAATCGAAAACCGACATCAGCAACACGGCGCTGCACAGACGCATAGCCAGCGCCGAGCGAGACGGCCGAATGGAGCAAACCTCGTTCCACGAGATGGTGGACCAGAGTCGGGAGACGCGCAGCAGCGTGCAACGCAACGGTGGCGAGCCCATCGTCAGTCAGAGCTACGCCAGGGAGACCCGAGTGCATCGATCGCCGCCTAAGGATAATTTGCAGGTGCAGGCACCACAGCATCAACAGCATCAGCATCAGCAACAGCAGCAAAGAATCGAGTCGTCGTCGTCGAACCAGAGTCACGAACGTCGCTCCACCGAGAGGTCCCACGTCCGGATGGAGCGAGGCAGCGAGGAGCAACGCGTTTCCTCTTCGAGCACCTACTCCACGGTGCAAGCGCCGTGTCCAACTGCTCTTCTCCAGGACGAGAAGGCCCAGTTCAAGCATACTCGGGACACGCAGCGCCACAAATTTTACATACCCGTGGTAGAAACCAACTGATCACTGCGTTTCTTCAAGTGCATTTCTCAACGCCCCTGTATTTCGTTCAGCATACAAATCGATTTGGACTGTGATAAATATTCGTGAACCGCGCCACATCGTTTACTCTTTACCCTTCTCCGGTCGTAAATTTTAATTTCTATACCTCATTGCAGTGGTGTCGGCTGGTGCTCAAACTTCACAAAACTCATCGAGTGCTCCATCATACCGATCTTGTCTTTTACTTTATTTCTCTTTTATCATATTTGTTATGTAATGAGATCTGCAAAGTAAACATTTCAACTAGACTTTTATTTATTATATGTTTGTAAAACGTAAATTACATTTAAGCATATTGTTGTCGCTTCATAAAGACAACCATGCGGTGCTACGTGCTGCTGCACCGAGCGTTGCCATATATATTTACTGTCATTTTCTAAAATTTTCATATTAATCATTGTAATCCGAAAAACAAAGAATATATGTTATTATATTATTAAACATTGTCATAAATATATAAAAAATGAATGTTATATAAAATAAGAAAAAAATTATTTAACTTAATCTATGCAATTGTTGATTGATAATCAAATGCTTACACCATTTTTTGACGTATTTTTATATACAATGATCACAATTATTCTTTTTATTTTACTTTTTAATAAAATTCGTTTTATTATTTGCTAATCCCCTTTTTATGACATGTCCAATGTAATTAACCTGTTGATTATAATAATAAACTTTGCTTACATTTATGTCATCGTTTTGGTTTTATTTCTATTATTTAATTTAATTTCTTTTAATTTTTTTATTATTATTGATTTTTTCATGAAAATATAAGACGAAAATCAAAAATACATGTTTAATTGAATTATTCTATTGTATTAATTACAATAACTTGATTTCTTCGGGGATCGTACGAAGAAAATTTAAGTTATCGATCATATTTGTGTACATTGTCTTATCAGCTCAGAATCGTCTATTTAATGTAGACGTATTTAATGGAGTAATCTTCAAAACATATTACAAAGTCAATAGTAACAAGTTTACGAAAAAGTAGAAATTCATATTTTTTGTAGCCCAAAAAATGTATTTTAATAAAAATTTAAAAACATGTTAGTAAGTGTTGTACTATAATGTTAATTTTTTTTATTGTTTATTTTATTTTGACTCGTTTTTACAAATGGTATTACATCGAATTTTTTATAATTAATATTTATACCCAACCTATACAAATTATCTAGACTCGTTCATTTAAATAAACAAATGCATTACATTAAAGCGAGATACAAATTACTGAATTGGATAAAAAATTATATGGCCATCATTAAAGTCTATTAAAATCCATGTTTGCTCGTTTTATTTTTCTACTATCGTTATTGATTATTCAATTTTGTCGCATTGAAACTCTTCAAACTAGAATTAGGTAAAATATTTTTAATTTTCCTCAGCTCGATTATTTCATTATCCGTTAAAATTTGAGAAAAATTGTTTGTAGTCAATGCAATCGATATAGTAATAACATGAAAACGAAAATGAATAAAAGAGAAAATTCTAACCAAAAAATGATGAGCTCTCTCATGAAATGTATGGCTTACAAAATCGGCAAGAAAATCGAAGCCATAAAACAAAAAGTCACCCGTAAACTTCAAATTAGAAAAGAGGACCACGAACTAGTACAGGAATATAATAAAGAGCCCGAATCAGGTAAGACTTTTTGCGTCTAGTTTATTGTTTCAAATCAATAGATAATGCAAACAATTTTGTCTGTAGAAAAAAATGAATGCACGAACGTGCCAAGCTTAAGAAAAAAACCAAAACCAATAAAGCACATGAAGTTGCTAAAAGCGATTGATAGATTAGTTCAAAGTAAAGAAAAGGATACTAATACTATATTGAAAAAGAGGAAATATTGTCTAAGAGACTTTTTGTTTTCATAAATAAAATCGTTAACTGTTTTTTAATAGTACAACTAATTACTGATAAGGAAAAGAATTTGACGCTTTCAAATTTTATTTCTTTAATTTTATTTACAAAAATCGATGTTTGAGAAAGTGTTCACAATAATATGGTACAATGACATATCGGCAATAGATATTGAATTATTCAGAAAATTTTATTTTGACCTTTTGTTTCTGTCCTATAATAAATGCTTGAATATCAATTTATTGTGTTGGAGGTATGAACTTACTCTTATTTATGATGTGTAAATATTGAAAATTACCACAAAAACACTGGCTATTTACAGATATTACATTTTGTTCAATACTTTGATTTAGATTGTATATCGTATATTTAATAACAATTTCATCTTTTTTGATCCTTTGTATGTGCTTGTTATCCAACTTACAAGGATATCGAAGCTAGGGTAAAAACATAAATTTTGAAACACGTTTTCTAAGAATTCTACTGAATGTTTTTTTGAAAAGCATCGCGCACGATCATTTAACAATTCTCGAGATAGTCACTAGCTTTTTAGATTAATATTTAGCAGAAATCTTATAAAATGCGATGAAAGATTTCCATTTTTACCTCAACTTCAGTATTTTTTCAATATACTTTATTACATTGATTTTTATAATTTGTTTCTTTTATTTCTTTATTCGTGCTTGAGCTCCAATTTGTATAAGAATTTGTTATGTTTTATAGAGTTCTCTCGTTCAAGCGCTAACTACACGTTCGATCCGGTCGAACAGTGTTTCACTATTGATTATTATGATTAGGTATGAATACTTTCGGGGACACAATAATATTTTATTTTCAAATTCCACGAAGGTATTTAATTATTTAATTTTGATAATAAGATGAAAAAGGCTTGAGTACGGAAAATCATAGGTATTATAGAAAAGATACTAAATAACTGCAAATCAATTAATGTAAAATGTTGTTATTTTTTCTTTATCGCACACACATTCATTTACAAAAACCATCATGTTGTCATATCACTTCAATCTTTTTCTCTCGCTCACACCCACTTAATAATAGTAATAATAATTATCATAATTATAATTGTAATTATCAGGTAGAGAAGAGATGATATCGTATCAGATAATAAAAGTCCATAAAATTAATCTAAAAACTTAAAACTTTCATACAGTTCATTTAAAAAAGCTTGTCACATTGGATACTTGAACATAAATACGTAGAAGAGTCATTCATGAAAATGAAACTGGTCGTATTCAGTATATAAATTTGGATATATACTATAATTTAATAATAGAATGATAAAATGTAACAACTTTGGCTACAAGAGCCACAGCATTAAATTTATATCTATACATGTTCAATAATTATAACCAATAATCTTAATCTTTTTATGAGAAAACAGAAGTTATTGAGATGTAACCATGTAACGATGTGCTATGGCGTGCATGCATATGTGCGAGCATGTCTCTAATTGTATGATACAATTAGATATAATGATTTATATGTATATTCTTATTTATGACTATTGTTTAAGTACTAGACAATAGAAAAAAGTTACTAATTTTATGTAATTCATAATTTTAGTTTTTCTGCCTTCACATCATTATTAATTGTAGGACTAATTAGATTTATTCTTCTTTAATTCATTTTCTATAAGTTTCAATTTTTGTTTTTGCTTTGTGTATCTATTTAATCTGGGCACTGCGACTCAGTCAAAGTTACTGGAGTAAATTGACTCTACTGTCACTATATTCCACATTACCTTTTAAATTGAAACGATATATGTACTAAACGATTGCACATTACTGAATGAGACGGCCATATTCAAATTCTTATATAGTATAAATAATATTTTAAATATTCAAAATTGTTTAGTGTATTTAATATAGTTTATGTTTTCATTTCACCCTTAGCGTCTTGTTTTAATGTTTCATCGATTTAAGTATCATAATAATTATTATGGTAGGTATTCGAAATACACTGCCTATCTATTTATAAATGATAAACAAATGTTTCTTTTTCTTTTGTTTCATTAATAATCGACGGTTTTGCGATTTGGCACATACTTGCTGCGCTCTGTTGATCGCTCTTTTATAATATATGAATTCTCTTTTGATCAGATCACATTAATAACTTTACTTTTCACACTAAAATATAACAATATTTCTTCTCTTCGTTAACAACTAACAAATACATCTTACGTATCAACGATTATTTATCTAATTTAAAATGATTTTTTTCGATTTAAATTCAACAAATACAAAAAATTTAACTTATTCACGAAGTTTTTCATAGTACAAATTATGCACGTATTTCGTATTTTTGGTCCATCGTGCCGTTTTTTCAAAACTACTCAATTATTTTAATAGTTCACATTTACATTGCATAGTCGATTACTTTACTTTTAGCGATCGTCAATATTTATGAACACTGGATAAACGGCTTGCTTAAGAGTGAAAATTTTTACCGATGAGATTTACCCAAAAATTGCAGTAAGATAAAATAAGATAAAATACAAATATTTTTCACCGATTGCAAAATTTAATGCAACTAGTGGATATATCGTTTCTTTTCAACATTTACATAAAATTTTCAAATCGCACTGATGACACCAGATTTTCAAATTCTTATTAACAATATATATAATTCTAAAAAGTCGGTAAGACATCAATCATTATTACGTCAACTTTTATGCATCTGAGACCTTTTTTGGCCATTTTCACAATTTCTCAATGACAGAACAATTTAACAGAGCAATTTTTTATGAAGACTCATGCAAGGAATACACAATGCATAATACATGTATTACATGGCATAATCGATAACAATGCATAATATGTAATACGAATTGTTTAATATGAGTTATGTACAACATACGAATGTTTCTTTAATCCAATTTTAAAATGTAGCAATATGCATTATTAATTATGATCATGACGATTGCGAATTCGCTTATAAAATACGTTTCTTAAATATTATTGTTTCTATACACAATTATTTTCGTATGATCGATTGAGCCTAGAAGGGTATTTTCAGTTACAATATGTATCAACATTTTTATTATTATTAAAATTACTTTCAAAAAACAATTGACAACCATGGAGGCCATGCGAGCACAAGGGAACATATACTGCTTGTTTATCCTTTTTTTTTAATATATTACATTTCATTAGTTAGCGTAATGTTTCATGCTTATTCTCATACCAAGTTAACTTTTATTTTCTTCATTTTTGTGGCCAAAGTGTGCGTGTGCTTTTTCACGAGCTTCCGTTAAATGAGACAAAAAAATTTAATCAAAATATTTTTAAGTAAAAGAATGTTGAAATTATTCAATTATATATTCAAGGATATAAAATTAGAACATTGATGTTCCAGAGATGAACATTAATTTAAGAAATAAATGTATCAAATTAAAATGAAGACCAACATCAAAAAAAGGAGATCATTTCGGCGAATCTGTATTTAATGTAAAAAATGATCCACCTTTGAAACAATGACGGAGTCGATATTTTCAAAACTGAGGTATCTAATCAAATAAAAATCGTTCTTAGAACTTAATATCATTTCCAATTCAAAATGCTATTTATACTTTTAATTTTCAATCAAATTTGTTAAAATTTGGAATTTGGTATATTTGGCTCAAATTTTTTTTCAGTTTATTAAATTCTGTTTCACAGTTGTAGTCATTTTTATTAATATTGTAATTAATATTAGATTCTAAAATAGCTATTCTGACAAAATTCTTTAAAATTTTTCTTTAACCGTTTTTTTTACAAATAACTGATAAATGATTTATTTTGTGCTTTTCAGAGATCATTTCATAATATTAATCATCGAAATAGTAATATTTATAAGTAATGACTATGTATATCTTCACGTCTAATTCATTTAAAACATGTATTTGTAGGTACCTTTTATCATTATATATTGAAATAACTTATTACAATGTATAAAGTAGTATAAAATAAAAAAATTGAGTAATAAAATTTGTCACCTTCACACTTACTGCATAATTATTACATATTACCACTAAGTGCTTCGTTTGGAGACTTTAATTAAGTTCATCATTGTCAATTTATACAATATTTTCACCTCTAATTGTAGCACGGCATGTCCAGCAGTAGATATATATTTAAAATTTTAAAAATATAAAATTAAGCGACAGTCATTTGTATACACGTAAGTTTGAGAGGATAAAATAGAAGAAGAGAGAAAAAAGACAAAACGAGCTATGCGCTTGTCTTATATAGATACAGACAGAATGGAAATATCTACATGCGAGCAGAAATATCTACATACTTGTAAATGGTAGGTATTTTTAGAGTAAAAATGATTACTCATCATTGATACTTGATAGATAGCAATTAGTGCTGTTCTAATCGAAAGTCAGCTTCTGTCGTTGGATCTGACATTACCATTTCAGGATTTGTAAGCCTATGCAGGTCTTCTAAATCAATTGGATCTAAACCTGATCTAAGGGCAGTGAGATCTTCATGGTGTAACGAGTTCAGATCTTGAGCTAGTTGATCATCAGGGCCAAAAAGATCCTGACCAAAAGATGCCATAGTTGGAACAAAGTCTTTTGTAAAGTCTGCATTAACCAGATCGTCTGAACCCAAAGAACAATCTAAAAACATATTTCATTTTTAATAATTTGAATATAAAATTATTTTTAGTTAATCGAAAAATATTATATATCTTACCTGTGAGTGTAATTGTTGGTGTATTAGGAGTTTGAGGTGTTAGTTGTTGTGTTGTTGTAGGTGTTCTTGTATTATATGCCAACTGCTGAAGAGGACTTGCACTAAAATAGCCACCATCACCACTGCCGAGCTCACTTGCCACACTTAAGATATCGCTCTGTAAAAAATAAATATATCTTATTATTAAGTTCATAAGTATAATTTTACACATTTAAAAATGAAGAATCTTCATTGACCTGAGTAGTATAAGTGCCAGAGTGGCTAGGTGAATTCATATAAGGAGCTATTGTAGTGGATGGTGAGTCCATCTAAATTAAAAGATAGTATAGAGTTTTTTTATAAAAAATAATACTGAATATTTAATACATTTTCACTAATATTTACTAATAATTATCAGCCAAATGAAGATAATTTTAAATGGAAGATTAAATAAACAGACATCTAAGAAACTTAAAAGTACAAACCAATTATAAATAATCTTTAAGAGTTCCTTGCATAAAAACATGTAAGAACTACATTTTTTGTTAAAATAGTTCAATTAACGTTAAAAAATGATAATTGGAAGTGGTGCAAATGAAATAAAATAAATTATACCTAAGAACAGTTTTCTGCAGTCGCATAACAGGATTAACATTAAATGATAATTGTTTCATAATTAAGAACATAGCTTTAAAGTAATATGGTTAAATAGAACCAATGGAAAATAATTCCATGCTTTATGAAAAACAATATAATCATTCATAAATAGAAGCATGAATTATAAAAAAAGTTTAAATTGGGAATAGACTGTATCCCAACTGGAGGGATAAGATTCGATTTTCACCTCATCAAGTGGTGTGCTCAAGCTGTAAGTAGTATCTTCTAGTTGTTGCATCATTTGCACCCAATCCTAATGATGACAGGCAACAGATAAATGATATCAAATTTCCATTTAAATACAAAATACAATACACATAATGAATTGTTTTAACCAAAGTAAAACTTTTGTACTAACTCTATGATGTCTGTTTTTTAATATGCTTGAAGAATTTATCTTCAAACTAGAGAATTTTTAGAAAGTAAGGAAAGACATTCTATTGCAGATTGAATGCGAGTGTAAATCATAAGTAAATCATAAGATATTTTAAAATAAAAATTACTGATTTATTTGACTATTTTTTTGTGCAAATGTACATTATCAACAATATTAAAAATATGTACAGATTCAGGAACATTGACAAGCAAATAATGCATAAATAAAAAATTATTTTTTAATTTTTTTTTATTTCTAGGTTGATCACAGTTTTTCAACTTTGGAATTCTTCACTTTTTGGGTTCAAAAGATGATATGAAACATATTCATAAACAACAAATGTTATAACTGTAGCAGGTGTGACTCTCAACAAATTCACTTTTAAGCCTTTGTAGTAACCATGAACACCTTCATATTTCCATATTCGTTTTATGCAATCAATTGTACCTGTATAGTTATGATTAAGATCTTGCAATCGCGATCTTAATACTTGATAAGGATAAGTTGCAGCTACAGCAAATAATTTTGAAATAGCTGCAAATGTTACATATTCTATGGTTTCTAATTTTCTATTAATTGGTTGATTCAAGTATATGTTGTATCGATTTTTCATTTCTTCATAAGCTACAAATTGTAGAGTACCATGTGATACTCCAAATAAGCCAGGTACAAGCCCTTTGTACAATCCACGAATACCTTCATTTTTACTAATTTTTTGAATGGCATCAATCATTCCTGTATATCTTTTGGATTCTGGAAGATTTGCTCCTTTGGAATATTGTAAACATAATCTGGTTTTAACAACCCAAATTGGATTTGACATTAACAAAGTAATAACTCCAGCGTTAACTGCGCACAAGGTATGCATCGATGCATCCAAAGCTTTTTTATCGTTGCCATCTTGTATATAACTTTTAAAAAAATTGTATATTAAAAAGTAAGATCCCCAAGAAAAAGCTGCACCAACAACATTGGGAACTACACCGCTGTAAAGTCCAGCAAAACTTTCGCTCTTGACTATTTTTTGAACCGCATTTACAAACCCTGTATAGTTTGGATGTATTTTTGAGTGTCCATCATTAACAGCAAAACGAATTTTGATAAGATCAAGAGGATGTAGAGCCACGGTTGAAATGGTACCACCAGCCACGCCAGCTACCAAATACTCGTACTTGAGATGTTTAAGTACTGAGAAATATTTATTACTACTGGAGTTGGAGCTGGAGTTGGAGTATGACTGCACCGCACTCATTTTCATTCAACTGATTAGCAAATTGTAACTGAATGTTGAAACGATTTATAACTGACTTTAGAAAAAGTTACCGAGGTTATTTGCTTTGAAAATATTCCGTCTAGTTCGTTCCTTATCATTTATCACTGCGATAAATATTCGGTTCTTTTGGTTTCAACGGGCACATTATTTCACGCGTGCAGTATTTCTGCGCAATGTAATTTCATCATCTCACGCTCATGCTACGAATTTCTGCGATGCGGGGGCAACAACATGACCAACGACAACGCAGCACGGACGGACGACGACACTTATAGACACGGAATATAAACTCGCTGATTTTCGCAGTTCTGAGTGCCGTGGGAGGGCGTAGCTGTCGGGATTTGCAAAGATACGCAAGTTCTTCGCTGCAATGATGCACGAGGATCGATATAGAGTGCACACGCAAGCACTATGCACACTGCGTGCCGCGTAGATAAACAAAACTCATTGATTCCGAAATCTAATTAGCATCATCCATGGAAAAAATTGAATTTAAGCCTCTTTGTATGTCAAGGCATTGATTTACTTTTGATTTACATTCGCATTGTAAAGACGCGTGGTTATTTGGAATATTTGGTAACAACATTGATTAAACAGATGGTCATGAAAAAATGATCTTTTAAGATGAAACATAGCGTCCTATAGATGTAATGAGTTATGTTATGTTCTTTCGATGCTTGATTATGCTTTATTTATAGCGATAAACATTGTAAGTTTATGAGAATTGCAGGAAAAAATTTGCCAACTCGCTATCAAAATACTCACCATCGCGCCCTTTAAAGATATATAGAGGTATCGATATGTTGAATAGTGTGCGTGTCGAAAAGAATCGAACAGTCGAATTTGTTATAATGAAAATAAAAAAGTAATTTGGTCTGATAGAATAAATTGAAATTAACAAACTCACCATGCTGAAATGTTCGAAATCAGCGTGGACTTGACTGTAGAGATTCTGCTCACTTGGGTCGAGTGAAAGCGTGGGCGGCCCTTGATGACTCGTGGGACTCGAAGGTGCCGAGGGATTGTTGCTGTAACTCAATGGACTTCCCTGTCAAAGTTCAAAGAAAAATACATTAGATTCATACTTATTTTTTGAGAATTGAGATTGCATTGGGCCGATATTTTCTCTGCATCGTACCTGAAAAGTGAGACTAGGCGACGATTGCGGAGAAGGCCGATTGATTGATTGCGACGTTCTATAAGTGAGCGTATTAAACTGTTGAGTGGTCTGTTGCATGTTTTGTTGAATCATTTGCGTTTGCGTTGGATTCTGAAAGAGAAAAAAAAAATGCACAATTAGTGTTACATTATTGCACAGTGAATTGCACTCCTCTTGAAAACTTACTGGACTCCCAGCTTGAATGGGACTACACGGCTGCTGGTAGACGTAATGACCAGGACTGTGAGCCATTTGTTGCTGCATTCCAGGCGACGTCGAACCAGGTATACTCTGTGCTTGGGACTGTGTGTGTAACTGTGTGTTACTTTGGTTACCATCCATCGTTAAACCCTGCTTTGAAAATAATGAGCAACTTTAGCGCTATTAATGCTCATATCGTTCAGAGTAGAATCGGTCTCTTTTTTATTTATAGTTATACTTCGACGTACAAATGTTTTACCACCGACATTTGAACACTGTTAACTAATTGAAGCTTTGGTTAATACACCTGTGGTTTTCCAGAATAAAGATTAAATTTTTCTCACCAATATAAAAAAAATGTATTTGATGTAACATGCAAAAAAATTAATTCAGCAAGAATTGAGAAAAAACCACAAATGTATTTTAAACTTCATCATTACAGTGCCATAGAAGATTACACTTCTAAATGAACATTTCAACACAGGCAGGTAAAAATCGAAGGTTTGGATTCCAATTATTTAAAGTATATATGTTTAACTAAATTCTTACTGGTATAACCCTCTAACACTTAATATTCCTAGATCCATAAAGCATCACACGATTTCAAATCTATATCAATTTCAGCTCAGTTATCATATCATTCATATCTTTGAAAATTATGAATGAAGTTCAATAAAAAATCACACTGGAAGCTTCAATTTTTTTCGAAATATAAAATAAAAACATGCGCAGTAAAGATAACATTGAAAACTGCGAACAATACTGAATTGGTGCTATAAGAAAATTGTCTCGAACAACGTTGCAAGCGAAGTGTGTACGATTTTCAGACCTAGCGATTTTTTTCCATCGAATGATGAATTCGATTGAAGCATTGTGGTCTGGATCTTATAGAAAGTGAACATAAAAAGTAATTGGTTACGGATATAAGAATTCCCGGTATAGTTCAAAAATATTTAAATTTTTTAGTGTTTAGCCACATTTTTTGTGTCACAAAAAGCTGAAAAAAATGTTTTATTAAAAGTAAAAAAAAATCATTGCAATACAACTACTAACCTTGCAGGTAGGCGTAAGAAAATTACGATTAACAGGCACCGTTAAATGATTCTGCAAAATAATAATTAAAAATCTACAAAATGAGGCAAAATAAAAATGTGAAAAGCTCAAATAAAATGTAAATAATGCTGTTAATGCGAACGTTGCAAATGCTTAATGTATTTAAGTGAAAGCAATTTAAACTTTTTTTAAAGGGACTTCATTCATTTAGTGAATGAACGTTAAGTAAATTTTTGGTTAATAATAACAACACACAAGCAATAACAACATTTTCAAAACAGCATTATGATAGACAGAATGGAAAAAAAGATTTGACAGATGATAATTCACGTTTAAAAGTATAGAAATAATTAAAAAAGAGTTAAAAAGTAAAGTAAATATGAGAAGCACACACAGGTACATCAATAAACAACACAGAAACAATCAAAATATTTTATCTATCATAAGTAAGACATCAATCAGTCATAATGCAAACGATCGTCTGGTAGTTGAGCACAAAATCCATCAAACTGTAATAAAACGCCAAGTTATTTATACGCATACATAATCCTGTTTTTGCATCCAAGTCTGGTTTGTGTGTTTGGGTGTGAAAGTACGTTGTTTTTTGTCGTTCATTCCAAATCCGACACATGCAACTACCTCTATTGCTTTTCAAAACTATCGGACACTGCCTGAGAGTTTGCATCGCAAGGCGATACAAGGCCACAAAATACGAAAAATAAAAACTAGAGTGTTGAACTCAACTACATTTCTATAATTGTAAACGATTAGCGTGAAGTCTAAATAAAAAGAAGAAATGATAAGGATATAAATTTTCTTTTTTTTAATCTTCAGGAGGTCCGAGTGGCGGAGAAAAGCCGATTTAATATAGACAAAGCTATGGTACTATAGGTACTATGTACTATATTTATTGTAGAATTATCGGCCAGAGATAGAGGATATTTACTTGGGCGCTTGACGAGCTGTGTTCCTGCGTTAAAGATAGCCTTTGCTTGGCTTGGGCCAAGCTCGTCGGCGACAGAGTCGTGGGGCTGCCGGTTTGAGGACTCTGCAATAGACGAGACAGCATACACACACCCTTTTATCGTTTTACTTACAATAAATACACTTTTCTAATTTTTTTTTCATTTAGCTTTTCTTGTTAAAAGACAACGCATTTATTCATCTTTTTCAACCTGATCGAGTTTCCTATTTTTACCTAAATTTCAAATTTTCGCCCGAGCGCACCATAAAATTTCAGCTAAGAAATGTGACGAAAAATTTGTTCTCAACGATGATTCGATTTTTTCTTATCAATAGTTATTTTGTATGAAACGAAACTTATTGTCTTGGGGTATATATTTGGCGGTATAATACTACGAGTTAGGCTTATATTACGCGCGGAAACACGTCAGATTTAAGCGCACGTGCAAATTTTACGTAATACAAAAACGAATATGTTTATAAGTATGTATAAATACGGAAGATTATGTTGACTATTATAAATCACGACAAATAGAATCGAACGAATAATAAATACATCGATATCAATAGAAGGAAAAATATTTGAATTACAAATTAATCAATTGAAATTGACAATATTGTTTATTTATGCACTATTGTCATTAAAAACTGATTAGAGTATATGCAAATATAGATAATGTCATTCAACCGAGCATTCAACCTGGCTAGGAATAACCTTTGTCCCGTTAAGTGGACAATTACCATTACAGAAGCAGTTAAATAATGTATAAATCAAGTTCATATAAATCAAGTGAATGAAATTATCGCTTGGTATGCCACGTATTAAAAATAGATATGTATATAGGATAATTTTGCGTATTATGTCATCAGAGTAAATATATCAGAGTGTATCGAATACAGAACAAAAAGAATGTAAAAAAGTAAGTAAGTAGAAAAATAAGAAGATTTGAAAAGTGTGAAGGACACGTAATGAAACATGAGTAATGAAAAGACGTTGGAATATGCATAAAACATACGTTGCTGTATTGCGAGCCACTGGAGTGATCCTCTTGATCGAGAGGTGTGTGTAGTGGCGCGGCAAAGTGCATGTTGCTCAGGTCCGGTAACGAGCCCGTATTATTGCCAATGGGAATTTGCTGCCCTGGCGGCTGAGAACTGGGATAAACGCTGCAAAGGGCGAGCAAAAGTTATATCATATATGTTCTCGTAATCGATGATCGCGTGCTTGTTAACGAGTTGGCGAATTTAATCTTACTTGATACCGGGAACTCTTGGCATATCGCACGATGATCGGGGTCTTTCAATAAAAGTGTGATGAGACTCTCGATTATCACTGGTCGAGCCTCCGTGTGTACGTTGATCTGTAATTACAAAAATACGTTTGATTATTAAAAGATCTTTGAATAATTAATCAATTATACTTGAAGAAAAACTGAATACACGATCATTTTTATGACATGCACACGTGACTCAATTTTGAATAATAAGTTTCAAAAGACTGATGTTTTACCATTATTTAACTCGTAGAAGTTGAAAAATTTCAAGTTTTCAGTTATTTTATAAATTTGGAAATTTTCTAAAAGTTCAAAGTCAATTGGCTCAAACAATAATGAAGCTCTATTCTAGCGAGCGTGAATAACACTAACAGCACTAAAAATGTATATAATATAAAGATAAAATTTGATACTAACAGGTATCGCTACCTCTACGATGTTGGATGCCGGTGGTGTTTTGGAGGCAGGCTTCGTTAGCGCTCTGATGCAGCGCCGAGTCTGATATAGTGCGTCTCCAGTTCTCCGGCAGCGGCGGCGACAGGTACGGCACTCCGCTGTAGGGCGATGTGTCGTGACGGCGTTCGACGGGCTTCCTCATAGGACCGACACCCATGCTGCGGCCTCGTTCGGGTTGTTGCTGATTTTGCTGTTGCGCTTGTACTTGCCCAACCTGAATTTGTTGCGGCTGCTGCTGCTGCTGCTGTTGGTTCCGGTAGCCTCCCTGATTTTGTTGCATTTCTTCCAGATTGCTCAACGCCGTCTGTAAATTCGCGTTTGATTATTGTTTTGCTATTTAAATAAATATCGATCATTTCTATTCTACATTAACGATTTTTATGCTTTTTGTTTTGTTTCTAGCATGCAGTTGGAACGTAAACAATCATGCGGATCGCATTACCTTGGTTTGGGGTAGAAAAACATTACGTTGTTGTCAAACGTGTGTTTACTATGGACATGCATCATCGGTGACCGAGACAACGATAAAATTACATTATTTTTAACGCTATGATGCGAATAAAAGGGCAGTTTGGATCAAGTTCAGCTAAATTAATTCGGGTCGAAGAAAAATCGGTCTATAAGTAAAAGTGAAAAGTAACAAAGTATAATGCAAAGTTTCGAAGAGTTCCATCAGGTAACTTTGATCATCGTTGAATGTTGAATCATCGTAGGAGAGAATGTTTTTTTTTCTTTTCAAGTAGGTACATCCTTTGCAATTGAGTGTGAAAAGTTTGCCGAAGAAAAAAAATCAGCTGAGCTCCTTTTTTTGTCAGATTAACGGCCGACATTGAGGTGGCGGCGACGGATACACGCAAGCAGGAGCAGTATAGGTAAGCAGCACGCCAAGTTCGTAGCATATGCGGGTGAGCAGATATCAATGAAAGTACAAAGTACTACGTGCATTAGCAGCAGTAGCGAAGATGACTTTTGCGGGGGGGTTGGATCGTAGAGTGGGACGCGAGTCGTACAGAGCAGCAGTACCACGTGCACGAACCCAAACACATAGCTGCACTCGAGCTTATAAAGGTGAAGAGAGGGGGCGGGAGGAGCATGGCAAGGGGTTACCGCTGCTTGCTCCACATTATAAATCGCTAGGCCTCCGGGCAGGGGTGGGCAGAGAGCAATCGCTGTGCGCTGGAAGGGTACGTACAGACGAGCGGCTGTGTAGTACATAGCAGAGAACGAACGAGCGCGAGAGCACAGAGGAGGTGGAAAAAGGAGAAGGTGGAAACTGGCTGGTTGCGAAAGGGGCTGGAGTCGAGTTCGCCAGTTCACTCGTAGATGTATATGTAGCACGCACAGGAGGAGTCGCACAGAGTAGAGTCCCTATATACGGAGGCGAAGCCCGGAGTAACACAGGAAGAGCGTGGAGCGCGAGGCGAGCGAGCGAGAGTAGGTAACATCTTCCCTCCCCCTGGCCGAAAGCCTCCTCTTGCCGAAGCTGAGTCGCTCGATCAATACCCCACGTTCTCGGCGCTTCGCGAGCCTCTCGCTGGAACAAGCGGATATCCGAGCTGCAGAACGCTCCGAGCTATATAGCCTACACCTCTCCGCTCTCTGTCGGCTCTCCCGCTGTCGGCTGCCGAGGATATCGCGCACGAGAGGATGCGTGTAGCACGCATCGCGGCATCTGCAGCTCGCGTGCCAGCTCCTATACGTACATACATAGGATGTATTATAAAGCCGATCTCTCGTACTCGACTTGCAAGTGCCAACGGAGAGCACGTGTACATATACGAGTCCCCGGCGCCGATCGATCAGATCGATCGAATACCGAGGAGCTTTTTCCAAAACCAGGAGCGTCTATGGAAATGAAAATCGCTCGAAAGTACGTGCTCGACCAAGTAAGCACCGCTAAAGACTCGCTGAACGATTAATTACAGCTCTTTGCGCACTGCAGGCGAAATTTATTTTGGCGAATTTTTCGTTGATACGAGGCAAGTCACCGTACATAAGCTGCGAGAGCTGCTTCCGCTTCCCGATGCGGAGTCGGATCGGCAAAAACCAGCGCGAAGGCTTCGTACAACGCGATGTCCGTAAGCACAAGACCAGATTTCCGACGCGCCGACGAATTTCCAAGAGTCGAGTCGCGAACGGGCAATTAAAAACGATTGCGTGATTCGCGTCGTGTGATGTATGTAGCGCTATAAGCCGCATGCCGTACGTACTTGCAGGATGCGCATGCAAATTTGACTCCCGGCTGTTCTGCCGCGTCTTTTGTTTTCTCTCTCTCTCGTGTCAGCTTGCTCGCACACGCTTGTGTCGTATAGACGTATCGATGCCGCGCGTCTCTTCTCGCACAGGTGGGTAGTGATTAGTGCACTCGAGCGCACAATTATGACATTTCCGGCTCCGACCGAACGTCTATGATCTAAGCACTTTTGGTCTGGACTCGCGAAAGAACTCTTAAATACCGGTGACACGTTCGCGATCAAGCATTTCGTCGTTCATCGCTTGAGGACGCATCGGCACTGACCGGCCCGTTAAGATAAGCCAACATGCAGCCCGCACGAGTTTTCAGCGCGCTCGCAGCTATCCTCACCTTTCAAGCTCTCGTCGTTTATGCGAAAGCAAGTATATCCTCTCGAAATTTATATTTTTACACTTTTTGTATTCACGTTCCTCGTGCGAGCGTTAATTTCTTATTTTATTTTGTGCGCGCCTACGCCAACAGAGGCCGGAATACATAACCGACGAGATCATGGACATGATTTCCAACGACAAAAACAGATGTATGGCGGAATACGGCACTACTGAAGGTAAGACATTCATTTCTTGCGTATCGAGAGCTTGCGAAAAAGATCGTTCAATTGGGTACTTTGCTTTCAGCATTGATCGATCAAGTTAACGATGGCCACATACCGAACGACCGAGCAATCACCTGCTACATGTACTGCATGTTTGAATCCTTCAGTTTGGTAAGATAAGCGAGCAAATTCTTAAAAGTAATCCAACGCCTATTTCGGGAGTATGGAAGTGAAAAGTTTTGACATTACTACGATAGGTCGACGAGGACGGCGAAATTGAAATTGAGATGTTGGTCGGTTTCATCCCGGAGGAGTTCCAGGAGATAGCGGCCGAGTTAATCGAAGCCTGCGCTACTTTGCCTGGCGAGGACGTCTGCGACAAGATGTACAAAAGATCTTCGTGCGTGCAAGCGAAACGCCCAGACGTGAGTAAAGCTTTTCATCCGAGAAATTGTCTAACAAGCTGAGACTCGCTCCAACCCTTTTGTTTCATTGCAGCTTTGGTTTATGGTCTAACGACTGCGCGTGACACCGTCCCGAAATACGTGCGCTATCCCACAAAAGAGGAAGTAATCATCGGCAAAACGGACGTAAACGCGAATCAAGCGGACAATCGAAATCCAATCGCCCTTGCGAGATTCAACTTCGAAATTTAAAGTGACGCATTCTTTCGTTCTATAAATGAAAGAATAGTTTTTATCTCAGCATTGACTTATTCGAGACGATGTACGATTACAAAATCATTGAGATCAACGCTCTTGGTGTCATTTATCATTCTCACGACCATGTTCGAATAAAAAATATATTCCAACCTTTTGAGCGTTAATCATTTTCTTTTACATTAACATATTTTTTTATACAAATTGATAGTCATGCATTTTCAAAAATTACTTTTCTAAACAATAACCGAGTCTTACACATGCCATATAATTTGTGGATAAACAAAAAAGGACTTGAGAAGCCATCTTCGGCAATCTATCTCTTTGTTGTTAGTTGCACGATAAGATTGTGTAGACATCTGTGACATTTTTTTACAACTGATAGATAAGCCGAAAAATAATTATATTTGTAAAATTTGATAATAATTTCTCGCTTTAGATTGTGAAGAAAACGAGTCAAAAGAGTAAAACGTAATAATCGTGGTAACGGAATAAATATATTACATCAATTACGTCGACGGTGAGATTAAATAAAAAAACAAGCCGAGCAATGTATTAAAACAGATCTGTATGAAATCAAAAGTGTAAGAGCAAAGAAATAAAAGTCAGCAGGCGAAAAATATGTGCATCTATTGAAAAGTGACGAAGAAAGGAAAAAAAATGAAGACGTGAGCCAGGCAGCAAGAATCGTGACAAGTGGTGGCAGGCAACATTGAGGCGGCTACCTTGAGGTCGATCGAGTGTATGGCAACGGACGTGCCGACTCCGAGACTGTTGCTCTCTTGGGGCTTATTAACATTGGGTAAGGAGCCGCCAGCTCTGTACTGCTGAGCCAAACTGATGTGTAGATGCTTGCCGGAGGACTGGGGCGGGCTCGCACCGGCGCTCTTGACCGACAGCGGCCTGCCCGCTGGTGGCACGTCGCCCGTCGACGAACTCGCACCCGTCGGGCTCGCGCCGACAGAACTGCTCGCCGACGCCGCCTGATTCCATTAACAATACAATATGTTTTTCATCATCATAAATCATTAATTGTCTCTTAACTCTGAATATACCATTCATTTATTGTATTTTGCACAGTAAACTGAGTGCCAGTTCATATGCTACGTATTCATGATTTTTCTAATATAACTTAAATTACCGCGTGTGGTTTTCTAAACAGTTGTTATCTATAAACAGCGCCTCGATTGAAATTTCGGGACATGGACGCGTCTCGAGCGAAGCGGCAATGCTCGAGATACCCGGGTCGACCTCTCAAACTCGCCGTTTCTCTCGTACGAGTATGATAAAGTAGTTCGAACGGCCGGTTTCGCACGTACTCCTCAATATCGCAGGTTGTATAATAATTGGATTGCTGAGCGGGAGCGATATAAATAACTTCGCAGCCGCGGCTCATTGCGAAACGGAGCATTTGGTTTTTCCTGATTTTACAATGAGGCTTGGAACCGGTGTGATATGCCTGTGTTTAATTGCACGCGCTCCAATGCAATTCGTAGTCGTGTAAAAATTTACCTTTTTTCGTAACATTATTGTCCGAGAAAAAAATTCATCACATATATAACGTGACAGTGTCTCCCAGATTTTTTTTATTTTTTATTTTCTATGGGATTCATTGGAGAATTATTCACACGAGTATCGGTAGTGCTCGAAACCAAATGGAAAATAAATCCATAAATTGTTTCGGCACGCCTCGGACGATAAAGGAGATGCATATAATACTTGGCCGAAAAACAACGCTTTCTAAGCGTATTTAGATCGCTATTATATGGGCAAAAGGCGCAGCATGTATAAACATGCCCTCGACTCATTTATGGGAACTCGATAGTTTGAAACATGTATAAAGCATTAGCGCGTCGACGAGAAAATTGAGGAGACAACGTTCCAGGTGTAAAATTAGTAAAAATAAGAAAATGAAAGTCAGTCGTACAAAAATATAGATGTAAGTAAGTATATAAACGTATAAATCAGTGTACAAGTGTAGCATCACTCTATGCGGAATGTTAAATTGATTTGAAGTATTATGAGAAAGCTAGGGAGCGAAAGTGATTCAAGATTATAGTTGTATCAGTGAAAGTGTCACGAATCAAACAGTTTTATAGGCAAAAGAAGCTGTTATGCAAATTAGATTTAATTTCAGCGAATCCCTGCGACCAAAAATAATAATTTCGACCTGTTCGAAGTAGTCGCAGAATAGACTGTAGCAATTGAAACTAAACTACACGAGAGAAAATGTATCCTTGTAAAAAAAGCTCCGAAAATTCATCGACGCCGTAAGCTTCGATGCAGCGAACGCTTGATCGACGCAACACAAGCTCTCACGGATCCGTCATTTAATAAGATACGAGCGAATACATTGCGTATATATAGACCGGGGCGTTTGTTGGAAAATTAAAAGGCGCGCTGTTTGTAAACAGACGTGTCGTGCCGCGCGCGTGTAGTGTGTGTGTATGTGTGTGCAAGCTTGCGCCTACATCTGTTATATATGTGCGCGATACGATGCGACACAGCCGCAAGTGGCGTATTATATAGTGTGCTTGCGCTCACGTGTGGCAAAGTCAAAGGTCCCCGCAGACTCGTTGGCTGTTTTTGCGCGCTCCATACTATGCGTATACATCGATAAGAAGAAGACGACGACGACGACAATAATAAACAATGGCAAATGTGCAATCGAGCGGCCGCGCAGTGTCAATTCACTCGTGCCTATGTTATTGTATCGACGACGGGTAATAGTGCGTCGTTGATCGGATCGCTACTCGAATTGGAGCCGATAAGACCCTGAATATGCATGGCTCAAATCGGAGAAAATGTTTATATACGAGGTATAACGTAAGAGCAAAACGCTGTCGCGGCGACTCTCGTCAGTCGCGAGGCGCGCGGGAGAGTGCCATACATAGTGTGTGAGTGTCTGCAATGTCTGTACTCCGCTGGCGATTGCCAATGTGTGTTCTGCATGTGTATAGTATGTATAGGTGTGTTATGTTTTGTGAATGTGTGTGCGAAAGCGATGTATGTACGAGGAAAAGAGAGAGAGAGAGAGAGAGAGCAAGCGCGAGAGACGCACGCGTGCGCGCATCCACATCAACATAATGAGAGACGCACTCTGGCCTGTTTGTGGGCAAAAAATGGAGAAAAACATTGCGTTTGACTTAGCGAGTATAAGCTCCGTCGATGATAACACATACCCGGCTCGTAACGTCGGAGACCTCTCGCATGATGGCCTCGAACCTGGCCGTCTCTTCCGCCTGCTTCTGATTGAGCAGGGCGATTTTTTCGCTGAATTTACGCGGGTTCGCCATGATGATGACGAGACGGTCCTTTTACCGTAGCGTCGCGTTATGTTGCTGCAGCAGCAAAACACTGGGAGATGTATGTATATCAACACAAGTAACAATAACAATCGCCAGCTTCGCGGGGCGACAGGGACTGCACGTAGAGCAGCGGCTGCATTAACCGCACACACGGCACTAAGTACGACGGACCGTCTGCACGACGACGACGACGACGACGACGACGACGCAGCAGTATATCTCTAGTATATATAGCAGCTTACAGCACAGCCGTGGAATCGAGACTGGAGCAGTCACCGACACTTGGTTGGCCACACGCGAAAAATATATGCACACGCGCGCGCGGCGCACACGCACTAATGACTAATAAAAAACACCGATTCGCACGCACACCAGCCACGGCACATCACCAAGTAACTATATACACGACGAGCGCCTCACGTTTCGGGATCACTGGTCCCTGCTATTGCTGCTACTGCTGCTGCTGCTACTACTGCTGCTGCTGCTGCTGCCTGCACGACTGTAACCTGTGTGTACTCACTCAGCCAAGTATATCTATATGTATACACCTATATATCACTCGTGTGTACACTATACATGTATATATACGCCAGGCTACGTGTGTGTGTGTATGTGTGCGCGCGTGTGTGTATATATACACACAAATGTAGAGAGAGAGAGATACTGATATAGAGAGATAGCTGGAGTTGTATGGCGCGTGCTCGTTTTGCTGGTGTCTCTCTGCAACGTCGACTATAATTCGCTGTTAGCGATGACTAAGTTACTGACTGGCCCGTTGACTCTGCCAGTCCAGCTGAGCAGGAAAAAACACCGATTCACTGTCGTTTTCTTATTTGTTGTTGAAAAGTAGCCGAGCGCTTATAGGATAGGATGTCGTATATGCAGGCCGCGAAGAGCAGTTTGTCGGATGACGCCGGGGCACAGGCTGCTGCAGCGAGTGCACGCACAGCACGGCCAGCGGTATATATAACAAGCCAACGACGCTCCGCTTTTTGTGCCTCTGCCTCGGCTCGCTCTCTCGCTCGCTCGCGTCCGCTGGATCACTGCCGTACTATATATATAACTCGGGAGCGCGAACTCGTCTTTACCGTCGCTGCTACTCCGACTCTTGGCTCTATCTATATTTGTGTTATATCTGTAAGCTGTCGTGTGTACGCGGCACGTCACTCACACACTCGGACGAGAGCAGTAGCAGCGTATATAACGTTGGCGGTACGTACGCGCCGACGAGTATATAGCTCGCTATATACTATACACGATATATTTTGCAATTTTGCTGGCTGGCGGCGACGGCTGCTTCTGCTGCTCCAGCTCTCCCTCCGAGCGCGCGACTCGCATTCGTTGTTTGTGCATACATATGTATGCGCGCTGCTACTCCTCTTCTGCTGCTATATGGTATATACCGATGCAGTCTTCTTTCTCTCTCTCTGCTTATATTATTCTTGTAAATAACAACTGATTGCGCCGAGGCCCCATGATCGCGTGCTTCGCTGCGGCAGCATAATATATACATACGTGCGAGCTTGATGCGTGCCCGAGACTCGCATAGCAGTCACTCAGCACGCGCGACCGATAGCCATAGGAGCAAGCTCGCGACTTATGCGGCGCAGCATGCCACTCGCTTTACGACACCACTATTAAGTGCAGCACGGCGGCTATATACCTAGTTGCGCATTTCAGTTATGCGTGCTTGCGATCGGATATATATAAGTATTTACCGAGCTGAGCGAGCAGACGCGCGTGGACGAGTATCGCGCGCAGACTGCTGCTGGCTACTGCACGTACACATCCGTGTACAGTACCGCTATATGCACGGCTCAGAATGCCAAGAATATCCAGGTCCCAAGTGCGCGGCGCAGTGCTCGCGGCTGCCGCGCTTTTAACGACCGTCGGAGCGAGCCGCGAATTTTTCCCAGTCGCTGTCGAGTCGTCGACGGACTCCGACGTAGCTTGCGAAATAATGCACCAAAGTTGGCACTAAACTACATTATAGACTGGCCCCTGTTGTATAGGCGTGCAGTAGCGCGCAACTCTTCGCCTCGGCGAGCTAACACCAGCGCGCACCATACTCGTGCGTGAATCGCGCTTCTCCTCAAAAAGTCTCAAAAAAAAAAGCTGCGCTGCCAGTAGCACGACGAGTACGCGGATGCGCTCTGAGCTCGCCAACGGTTTTACACGATCTACATTGAAGGTACACAAAGCTAAGCGATTGCATTGCTGCTTGCGCGTTATGATGCGCTGGACTTGCGATGTAAGCGAGGCAGCAGTGGCCAGTGACCGGCCACGACTGAGCTTCTTGTTCGCCAACCAAGCGCCATCTGCTTGACTTGCCAAAGCTTCATTGCATTTCCATGTAAACGAACTTTTATAATCAAATCCCTCATTTCCTCGATTATGGCTGTTAATATACTACTTTTCTTTATTATTCCCGGCAATCGTTACAAACGCGTTACATGAGAATGCTACAGAACTTCGATAACGTTCGAATTCTCAAGAAACAACTATTTGTCAAGCTCGAAGAAGTAGGTAATCGAGCTTTCGTAGCAAAATGCAAAGAGTTTAAGTAGTACCCGATTTGAATCCAGGTACCAATTTGAAATAATTTTGAATACAAGTTTAATAAAAAGAAATCGACCAAGTACGATTCAAAACTAACACGTCCTATCCGAGTTACCCATTAAGAAATGCATCGAGCGCTGCTTGCACAATAAGTCTAAGGATGGCGCTGATCTCGATCGCATTGCGGATAACCTCTGTTCTTGATTCTATGCTCCAAACTGCAACGTAACGTACAGTTTCGAATTTCGTGAGTTCTGCTCATGCTCGTGCGGATGCCTCACCTGACATTTGATAAGAAGCGCGAAGAGTACTGTTATTGTTATGGATCGGGCTTATGGAACTCGAGCACCCGACGTAGGGGCTCTCGCGCATCGCGCGTCTGCTCTGAACATGGCAAAGCGCAGTTGCCTGACACAGTGTCTACAGCGGTGAACAAAAAGCTGACTGGAGTTTATTTACTTTTACAAATTGACTGGAGTCAGCAAGACTCGACTGATTAATCAACAACTCGTTCAATACCGAATGTAGCAACACCTCGTTTTTTTACGAAACTACACTAGACGCGGCACAATAAATTGCCAAATGACGACGACCTCGCAAGAGGTTAGAAATCGACGGACAGCTTGCATCGCCTGCACGACCAGACTCTAGAGAAGGTGGCGATCGTGCTGTAAAGATCCCAAACTGGACCAGGTAGCTTGCGGCATATCTCGTATCGATGACGAGACAGCGACACGCGCGACTCATCAATTATCTTGGCAACGATGGCCAATCCTATCCACCCGCTGCCCGAACTTCTGCAGCACGTGCCGCAACCTAGCATTACCCACCTCACGCCTGCAGCACGTAGTTTCCATGTTCGCGAATTAATGAGCTACATGGATACGACACTCCCGGGCCAGCTGAGGCATGTGGAGCCCGACTCTCCGGAGCAGCAACAGCAGCAGCAGCAGCAGCAGCTACAACATCAACATCAACATCGACATCAGGATCAGTTGTATACATCTGATCCTGTGCTTGTCACCTCAGCTGCTGCTTCTGCCGCAGTCAAGTATCGCTCCCAATACATACCACCCATTGGAGTATTCTGGGATATCGAGAACTGTCAAGTAAGCTGAATGCTGAACTGTACAAAGCTTGCCCTAAGGCTTTGGCATTATCCTGTATTGCATCGACCTCAACCTTTGTGTGTGGTTCATTACAGGTACCAAGAGGACGCTCTGCTATGGCTGTAACCAAATTAATTAGAGATAAGTTTTATAATGGCTACAAAGAAGCTGAATTTGTTGTAGTGTGTGATATACAAAAAGAAAACGAACAAATTATTAAGGAACTCAATGATGCACAAGTAGATTTAATTCATGTGTCATCAACTTGTAAGAATGCAGCTGATGAAAAACTCAGACAATTTATGAGACGTTTTGCTGATACTCATGGCAGCCCAGGTGCTATTATTCTTATTTCTGGTGATGTTAATTTTGCTTCTGACCTCAGTGACTTAAAGCATCGTAAAAAGATTCATGTAATTTTGTTGCACAACACAAATACTTCTGAAGCTCTGATAATGTGTGCAGATGAACACTATGAATTTTCAAATTTATTAAAAAAATTACCCCCACGATCCCCTACTAAAGTAAGTGATATTGCTTTCAATCATAATGCAATCTTCATATTTAAAAATAACATATTTAATAATAAATTTATTTTTTTTTCTTCTTATGTTTCAGCAACTAGGAAATCAAGAAACCTTTGATATTCTTGTCAATAATCTTCCAGAAGATAAGGAAACTAGCAAGATTAAACACCGCTTAAAACAGCTGTCATACAACTGTGGTGGTCGAGTGATACAAATACGTTCAAATATGGCTGTGGTACGATTTACAAGTCAAGAATTGGCTGAGAGGTATATAACAAATTATAAATATTATTGTATTAAAACAAAGCTAACAGTTTTGAGAACGTTTTTCCCGCTAAATTAGAACTTCGTTGGTACTGTCAATATTTAGAGCAAAGAGCGGGGATAACAGCCGTGAATGATTCGTGGATTAGTCAGTTTGTCGATAATCGAGTCGCGTTCTAACAGTCGAAACGCGATTTCTCTTCAAACGTTACAATTGTGTTATTATATTGAACGACAACACACGTTAAGTATCTCACTTACGCGCGCGATTTATTACTACAGTTATACCTTCGTGTGCTTCTTGTCGTATTGCTTATAAATTTTTAAAGTTTTATTAACTTTTAAAAAGTATCGTTAATTGTTAAATATTGAAACGTGTAACAGTGTTATAAATTAATGAATAAAAAATTCTCAGATTTTCCAAAAAAAAATAGGTATTAATGAAAACCATGCATATTTTGATTCATACTTTATCGACGAATAATTACTTTTAACAGAGCCGAGAAGCGTATGCAAGGAGAATTGGTATTTAACCAAAAAATCAATGTCAAATGTTTAAAAGTTAAAGATATATTCAATAAAACTCAAGGTAAGTTTCATAATACCTACTCTTTGAATTTTAAAATTACGCAACTACAAGTACTAATTTTGAGTGACCAGTATATTCGCCATTGACCTTCTTTGTTTACATTTTGGACTCGATATTTATTTTTTTGCTCTCTCTTTCATTGTCTCTTTCTCTCTTATTGTCTTAGTGGTATATTGAAATGACTTTTAAATAATTTACGCTGAACATTTTATCTACAATTTTTATTTTTTTTTTTTTTTAATTTTAGATAAATCCCTAGTCCATGATAACGCAATCAGTAGTGAACCGGAAGCGGTGAACGAATCTACGAATGAAATGTATCATAATTCAGGGGCACATAATTCAGGGGCAAATGGAAGAAGCTTGCCCGGAACTCCTCATCATTATCCATCGACTCCGATCGTAGGAAACTATGGTCATTGGAATGGTGTTATGAGCACTCCTCAAGGGTAAGCAAATTAAAAAAACAATTTTCGATCTATCGAATTTTTGAAAAAATAATTTTCAAATCGTGTTATAATGATGAATACCGAGAGTGAGCTCTTGAGTTCCAAGTTGATTCTTTTAGAGTCCTTGATAATTCGAGTAATGATTTTAGAAGCTTTGATCTTATCTGAAATAAAATTTGTTACCAAAACGTGTGATGACTGAATGGAAAGAAGAGAGTATATTTAAAAAATTGTTTAAATTTTACAGAGGTTTTCCCCCACCAATGCACAGAATACGTACAACTGATGCATCCTGCAGGCTCCAGGAACAAATAGCAAGAAATTCTCCTCAAGTTTGGGCAGCACCGACCACCCCCCATCCATGGCCACATCGTGGATGGGACGAACGTAGAACCGTATGATTCCCTGAAATTTTTTGATTTCGAGATTTTCAAGGAATAACATGTTATAATTTTTAGAGTCGGGAATACCCCTCAGACACTTCACATACCTTCCGTACATCTTCAACAGGCCGTCATAAAGGTTCTGTGCCATTCCCTCGATTTGACCACCACCATCCGATACCAGATTCGATAATGTCCAGAAATTGGCCAAATGGTGGTAATCACAATGGACCAAGTAATAGACAATTTTAAATTAAATGTCGAATTATAAAAACATTTTTGTTGATAATTTTTTTTTTACGAAATAGCTTACAATGAATATCGCGGTACATCTCCAACGTATTACAATAACCAAGATAACTGGAGAAATCAGGTGTGTACAAACCCTTTCAGTTAAGAAATGAAATGAAATTTGAAATGTTTACATTTTATATAATTTTAGAAGCATCGTACACCTTCGCCAACTCCTAGACCGTATTCTCGCACTCGCAGGTCTATTACTCCTTTACAGGAAAATAATTCTGATAATGATGAAATAGAAGTAAGCTTTCCTTTTGAACGAACTTCTGATAAGTCGTTAGCTAAAGTTTATTTTCATTATATTTTTATTTTTCAGAGTATTTTCAATCCTAGAAACGGGCCAATCGAACTTCAAGTTACAAATTTAGATCAAAATATTGATGCCAAAGACATGAGGCGAATACTAACGGGGGTATTTAGTGCGAATGTAATGGTATTAGGTGTTACTACGTTTTCTCAGACCGACGGAAACTATGCTGCTACTGTAAAAGTGCCTTCGATAGCAGAGGCGCAATACGCCATATCAAAATTGCACCGTCATAAAATTGGCTTCAAACGTATTCTGATATCTTATGCTCACTCTGGTGGACCTAATCCACAGATAGTTCGATCTCAAGTTGTGATGCTGTTACAAGAAGTAGCTGGACATACATTACCTCTGTTTAAATTTCGTGATATGTACGAAAATCGTTACTTGTCAACTATCAGCATTTCTGAGCTATACAAACTGAGGGATGTCTGCCTCATTAGTGACGATACTACTGGTCGAATGGTTTCGCTTAATCCAGATCATCGTGATACACCACCGATTTGCTTGAATACAACTCTGGTGTGATATTAATTATTCACTTACGATTTATTGTTTAAAAATCATACAAAGTGATGACAAAAGGCCGAGTTTGAATCCGATTGTTTAAATAAGTTGAGCTTTTGTTCCTTATTTTTACAAATGGATTCTGATTTTAATAAACCTAAGCGATTAACGACTGATATTTTAGTTTGATTAAAATTAAGTTTAGTTTTTTTTTGCCAAAATATAACTTATTACTAATTTTTTAGGATGGCCAAGCTCTAGAACTGCCGTACTGTTTAATACACGCCCAAAAACCTTTAGGCGATAAGGGATGGGCCGAGCAAGAAATGGCAACTCTGCCTAACATCAAGATTTCGTTGAAATTGCTTAATGAACGAGTTAACAGACTTTTAACAACTCATCAGGGTAGTTTACCACTGCCAAGGTAAATTAGATTGATTTTTTTGTTTTCATATTTTTTCTTTATTTTACTTGATAAATTACTTAAATCTTAGTTTTCCGAGTTGTTATGAGGCTGAGTTTGATAAACCTCTTCAAGTTGATGAAAATGGAGTCCCCCTTGAACATTTGATATCTTGCCTAAATACAATAGAACTTAGGCAAGGGCAACTTGGAAGTGTGAAACACATTATTTGGTCTGGTAGTAGCCACAATGAAAATTACGAAGGTATTACCTTTTTTTATTACTTATTACTTTATTGAACATTTTTCAATTTAAGATGTGAAAACACATATATATTTTTAGAAAATAAGTGTCCACCAATCAGTCCACCATTGGCAAATCAATTGGCTCTATTTAGTCGCGAATTAGTGGATCTATTGAAAACAGCGCCCCATTGTCAACTATCTTTTAATCGTTTTATACCAGCATATCATCATCATTTTGGAAGACAGTGCAGAGTTGCCGATTACGGCTTTACTAAACTAATTGATTTACTAGAAGCTTTGTCTCATACTGTGCAAGTCATGGGTGAGGGTAACAATAGAATTGTCACGTTGTCGCATAGAGCGCAAGTTCGTCGCTTTACGTCGGATTTGCTTCGCGTATTGAAGGCACAAGCCAGCAAGCAAGTGACTCTATCTGAATTTCCCGTGGTTTACTCCAGAGTCATTGGTATATCTTATTTTTTTTCTCATAAATAAAAGTTTTTATGCTAATTGGAATTTAATATCTTACTTTTATTATTTAGGCAAGCCATGGGATGTCGCAGATTATGGTGTATGCGAGCTAGATGATATTCTTGGTGAAGTATCTGAAAACACCGTGGTTGTAAATAGTTGGAATAATGGTCAAGATCGCTTAATAGCTATTCCGAAGCGTGAACAAACAGCTGAAGAAATCGAAAAAACGAGACAGTTTGCCGCTGAGGTCATTGAATTATTAAAGCATGCACCACAACAAAGGATGCTATTCAACAAATTTGTGCCTTCGTACCATCATCACTTTGGTCATCAGTGTCGGGTTTCGGATTATGGTTTCACCAAACTTATCGAACTGTTTGAGGCTATTCCAGACATTGTCAAGATAGAAGAAGTCAGTGGTGGCGAGCGAAGAATTTCTTTGACGGAAAAAGAAGGACTTCGAGTTCTTGGTGAACAAATTTCAAAGCTGATAGCTTGTTGCGGCAATCCTATCAATGGTCAACTAATGATTTCAAATGTATCCCAAGCATTTTTAAAAGAATTCGGTTATTATTTGAAACCTGAATTGTTCTCCTGCAGTTCAATATCTCAATTGATGGAAAAACTTGAGGGGTCTATCAAGGTAAGTTCATGAATATTTAAAATTAATTTTTTCTGATTGATTATGATTCAATTTTTTTTGTTCTATCAAAGATTGTTAATACAAGAAATGGAGCTGCTATTGTATCAGTTGATAAAAGTCATATTCAACACCTTGGTCTCGAGTGCCGTCGTGTACTTATGGATGTGCCAAATAACTGCCTGGCTATTGGCAAATTTGAGCAATGCTACGAGCAAATATATCATAAAAAATGTTGTATTGAGAAGTATGCCCATAGCTTGGAACATTTTGTTCGTGTATGCAACATGAACAATGAATGCTTCATTGAACTGACACCATTGCAACGTTTTGCTTGCAATGTGCAACGCGTTTTGATGCATCACAATGGCAAAGTAAATATATCTCAATTTGAGGCAGCCTACTTGAAAGTCACTGGAGCAGCTTGTCGACCTGCTCAGTATGGCTTTTCATCGTTGTTTCCTTTGCTCTGTGCCATACCCTGCACTGTTGTAGTGAAAGAAGTGCGTCACAGAAGAAAGATTGTACAACTGAATAAAAAATTGGCAGGTAGGTTTTTACATTTATTTAAATTATTTTGCCATTTTTGAAGATGAATAGAATAATTTAATAAAATACATTATCTCACTTATAGCTGTGGGTTTGTTGCCACCATCTTACCCATCTTCACCTTATCAAGATACGGATTCTAGCACTGATTCAATTGAAAATGAATACTTTTCTGCCATGGTATCTAACCAATCTTCGTTATCAATGCCTGAATGTTCTACTAAATGGGATAACTCGCAGCAGTATTCCTGGAATAACGAACAAGCCATGAAATCGGATCATTGGGCATTAACTATGAACGAGGACTCTCAACAGTGGTTAACTATGGATGGTAAAAATGAAGGAGTCTTTGAGAGTCTTAAGAATTTTTCGAGCTCATTTCCTCCACCTCCTTCAAAACCGCATACTTCCGGGGTAAATACCATTATCGTAATAATTGATTGTTTATCACAAATTTTATTCTTAATATATCTTTTTTGTTTTTGTAGGAAACATTGAATAAAGTAAACAATCGTTGGCCACCAACGTCTATTTGGTCCACGCCACCAAAGTACTTTTCCACAAACGTTGAAGTAATTTTTTTTATACTTGAAGCTGATTTACGTGTACCCACTAACAGTTATTTAATCGAAACTATTTTTTTAATCAAATGTTATTTAGGTACCACCTCTGACTTTATCTCCATTAAAGCAAATCACTACAAGTGAAGCTGCTGATAATTTGATATCTCCAACAAGGAATTTGCTGCCAGCTGCTGCTAATCCTCTAAATCCACGCTTGTCACCATACTTTACTAATAAACATAATGTAGTTGCTCCACATCCTTCGGAATTACCATTACCATGCGTGTTCACACCACCAAAAGAAGTTCCTGCTAGGGTCAGTGTAGAAAAAGAAAGCATTGATAGAATCAATGAGACTCCAAACAATACTCCCAGCAAACGTGGTAAGTACTAAATTTTTCAATTTTAGTGAATAAAATTTTAAACAATCCCATACAACCTAAATTAACTTATTATTACAGCCTTTGTTGGGAAGTGTCGTTTAGCCGCTCAATTCAATCAGCCCCCTGCTGATACATAAAAAGTTTGTTGAATACGCAATCGTACATGAAAAAATACTCAAAAAAATAGCAAAATACCAAAAATATTAATTTTTGCACTTTTCGTGCAAATGTCCACCATTGCGAGCACGTTTCCTGATAATAACAAGTAGGTATACTCGTTAAAAAATTATTCGAGTTAATTCGAGTAAATAATTCGAGTAAATTCTTGCATAAAATTTTTGTCAATAATGATACCAAGTTGTCAATGTAAATCCATACAACAAAATTAAGTATCATTAAAGTCATAGTGTACATTATAGGTATTTAAGGTCTACATAAAGCTTTTTTTACCACGACTCAAAGAGTCTTGATCAAATATTGTTAATTATAAAGTTTTGATCCTGTATAGCATTTGCTAATCTGTGATAAATATTCTGTAAAAATTGTTTCCTAACTATACTTAACCGTTTAAATCGAGTAACTTAATTCACGATCCGATTTTAGTAACGGGTAGATATTTCCGATTGTTTTCTTTTATTTTTATAAATACGAGATAACACTATCAAGTACAGTTTTGACTTAGTCATATTAACATTATATTTTTTTTAATGTACTTTTTACAACGTTAGCTACGGAGCGTTGATATAGGTATTGAAAAAAAGTATATAATGATTGTCATGTTTTTATAATGCTTCAAAAATGATGAAAAAACTAGTATGTAGATGTCATACATTTAATTACGTTACAAATAATTATCGTAAAATTGTTGCGAGCAAGTAATAAAGTATTCTGTTGTTTAAAAGAAATTGTAAGTTTCCAATCTTATAGGATTGTTTTTCAAAAGTATTAAAGCGATTGGTAAATATAATGATAAATGGCTAATGTATTGCGTATTTTATATATTGCCACTTCGTTTACGGTTGCAGTGAATGGCATTTTATAAAAAAAAAAAAAAAAAAAAAATTAATATTTAGCTATAACTTGACAACAGATATAGAAAATGATGTGATTTGTAATTTATATGTTTGTTTGTTGATTTTTGTCTTTTTAAGTGTTCATTAGTTTTAAATTGAAAACGTCTTGGTCCTTCTTAAATATTAAAAAAATTGTAAATTATACCGTAAAATTAAGTTTGAATACCATTCAGTACTGTGGCTGTCGGAAAAGATCCGATCGATCTTTTTAACATTATGAGATTCATAAATTATAAAATATGAGAAAATATAAAAGTTCGGTACTTTTTTTAATTTTCGATTAATGGTGTAGGGTGATAACGAGTTTGGAAATGTAAATTTAATGCAAATGAAGTGAATAAAAGCCAACTCATATAATTTATTAATATGTATAGTAAACGAGAAAACCAAAACTTTATTTTCGAATAAAGTTTAGTAAATATAGAACTGTTTATTCTGTATTTCAATCTGTTAATATTTCGATTTTAAAATGTTTTTCTTAGTTAATATTGTATATAAAAGTCATGTTTATATCGTTTTATTAGAATTACTCTCGTTTACTATAGTATAATTTTGTTAAAACGTTTGGGTTTTGAAATGAAATTTTAAGAACTCAATTTAATGAAAGCGCTCCCAGGCTTTACGAATGACTTAATATTAAAATGATTAATTAATCAAATTGGCCGTAAAAAAAACCGAAATTTTTTTACTTCAGCCATCACATAATTTTTTCCTTTATATAATGATGCGTTGAAGATTTTGTATGTAAAACGATGTTTTTATTTCCATAAGTCTTCAAACAATTTAATTAGTTATGTAAGCTGTGATCTCAAGAGAAATTTTCATATAACTATTTGTTGTTTGGCCACTTGAATTATGATCGATTATTGCTATCCTTTATCAATGAAGATTTGTATATTTTTAAACTGATTGCGTCAATCAACATATGAGTTATATCGAAGTATGTTTTATTCTTTGAGAAATAACACGCTGTGTAAATCGATTTATGGAAAAAAAATAAAAATTATAAAATGAAATAATGCTGTTCTAAACTGGACACAGTAGCTTAGATATTTTTATATTTATACATTGTATCTTATAAAAAAAATAAAAAAATGAATTTTTTGTTCAAATTTCTTTTAAACAGTTTTATTAATTCCCCAATCTACTGATTTGATACAAACATGTATTGTAACAATAATTTATTTAAAGATTATTTATGTATAGTCTGTACATTGGTTTGCTTGAAAATCAAGCTTTCTACTCAATTTATTTGTATTAATAATTCAATATGATCAATGTTCCTCATCGATTTTATATTTATCTCCTTCTTTCATTCCAGAACCAATAGGACCATGTCTACGCTCCCATATCATACGATGTTTTTGTTTCATAAAAGCATTCTTGACATCTGGTTGCGGTCCAAGATCACCATCTGTTAACAAGCAATTTATTGTAAAATAAGCTTTATCTAAGTATTAAGGTAAGGTAAAGGATCTGGTAAAACTAACATTTTGAAAACCAGGCTGCAGCAGCATCTTTGTAATATTCATATATAGCTTCACATTTTGCTTCTCCTCTTTGGTTTATATCTTCATGATTACAATGCTCATAGCGTTGTCTCAAAATGCTGAGAATTTCATTATCGACCATTCTATGAGAAAAAATATTTCAATTAATTATTATACGAAAAAAAACTATATTATAAATTATCTTAACATACTTGTCTCTGATAAACTGTTGTTGTGCCTCAAATTTACAACAGAAATCATCCGTTGCACAAGTTTCAATTCCAGGCACTCTACGAAATTTCTCATGGTAATATGGATAATGTTGCTGATTAGGTTCAACAATTTTTTCTATAAAAAAAGTGAAGTAAATGTTTTTAGCTGTCAATCTAGTTAATTAATGACAATTAACCTCAAACAAGTTATGATAAAAAGTAGACGAACAAAAATGTAAACAATCTCATGTCAGTTAATGATTTTGGATTGAATGTGGCTTACCTCGAACAAAGGTGACAGGACCATCTATTAAATAATACATGAAATTGATGAAACGTCCGATTGGACTTCTATCGATATCCATGGCTGAATCGATCAATCTCTGCTGCAGTGACAAGAAGAGCGACTATATGGCGGCGAAGAGGGTCACCGCGAGGCAAATACGAGAGAATTGATGTCTTGGCAGTGACGCTGGTTGAAGACAATCAGCTGGGTACCAGCGAGAGAAGGAAAACACTGGCTGTTGAGGAAATTGTTGCTGACAATTCCTCGAGGTTGCTGCTCTCCAAGAGAAGAACCCCTAGCAGACAACTCTGGTTTGGGCTTATAGCTCTGTTATAATGCCGTGTTTGCGTAATTGTCGGTTTTGTCGATTCAGTCTTTACCGACGCACATCGGACGTGGGAATTAAACGTCCATATAGCAGGTGCTGTATAGTAGCGCTTCATTGAACAGTTCCACATAGACGGCCAAGTTCTTCTCTAGCTTTAAATTATTCCGCCGTTTAGTTTTAATTCACATCAAAACACGTATCTGGATTAGATGCAATGATTAAAATTGCATTCGCTTTTTCATTGCAAAATTCAATCCAGTTAGTTCAATCCAGTTTTTTTTTTCATTCATTTTCTAACTAATTACGAAGCGCGAGTACTGCAATGAGCTATTTCCAATAAATGAATTTCCACGGTGTGTAATCAGAAGAAGAATCCGTCAATGAATTTTTTTAAACTTGAAATGATTGTAAGCTTTCGGGGAATTTTTTTTGCTTTACTCGGCGTCGCATGGAATCTCATGTATGTGTAATAATCTTTTGTGACTGCAAAAATCTACTTTCAATTTAATATACGATTTTACTGTACATCCACGTGACCGAGAAATTGTGAACAAAGAAAATTCATTTTCCTAAATAGATTTGTTCGTTTAATGCTGTGCGATAAATTCAATACAAATACCTCGAAAAGCTCGCGACTACAATGAACAAGTGATTCGATAAAAAGCGAAAAATGCTGAATAACCAACGTGAAATATGATTGCCTTTTGTACGCCGCGAGTAAAAAGTTCTACATTCTCGGTACTATACGGTACTATACAGTCGATAATGTATTAGAGACGACACGTTTCTCTACTTATTCGTTTCAGGGTGTTATACTGACCTTATACGTATGGTCACTCGGAAAATCCCATTTTCAAACTTTTTGGGTCGCGCCGTAGAGCCAAATCTCATAATGAATAGATCCAATTGCTGAGTAAAAAGTATCGATCTAGCATATACGTCATTTAAAACTTTCGCGGTTTCCCACATGCATTTTCTACTAATTTTCTAGTGTTATTACTTATTCGGTAAAAGCTGCGATATTAAATATTTTAATATTTTGTACAGTCTTATGAAAATTTAATAATTTTTAATTATTTTATTGGGATGCTCTAGTAAAATTAGGGCAAAAAATACAAGTACATCATTAATTATGTTGTACACAATCATGGTATATTTATTATATTATTACAATTAAATTATGAAAAGAAACATGTGTATATTTTATGTCAAGTCACACTTCAAATTATACGTACGTTATTGTTTATTTGATCATCGATCTAATGAGAATTTTGCGTTCATATTTCTACCAATTAATGCTGAATTGTTAAAATTTTCTCAACAATATACTTTATCGTCCTGCGAAATTTCAGTCGTTACGTTAATAATAATTGAATTTTTTATTTTATTTACTTTTTCGATGATAAATGTTCACGTATTGCCACGAGTTTATGCCTTGCGAGACAACAAATTACTTGTTTTTACTTTTGAAGCAAGCCAATTTGTAAATTGGTTTTTCTGAATTCAATTGTGAACCAGGTTTCAAGAACTGGACTTGATTTTTTTTTGTTTGTTTTTTTTGACATGTAACATCCATACCGCACAGATATATGCCATTAAATATTAAGTAATTAATTTTATTTGCGCTTGATGCCTGACATGTTTCATTGATTAATCAAAGTTTTTTCTATGGATGAATATATTTTACGAATTCAAATTTTTTGAATAGTTACAAGTCCTGACTATTGTCTTTTTTATAAAAAAATAATTGATATGTTTGCAATAATGAATTGTCAATGGCTTTTTTCACAAAATATTTTACACGGAATTGTTCATATTTATCAGTATACTTTCAGTTCGTAATTTTCGTGCTCTTTCATTTTCTACTCTGATAGTTTGCGGTTATAATTTTTGGTGTACTCTTGCCCTTATGAAATGTTACACATTATATGTCAAGCGCAAATCGCATCTCTCCCATAACTGACAGGACTACATACATATTTTATATTCAAAGGCTAACTCTTGTTATATTTGATAAAAGTATTTAATACGTACAATATCCTTCATATTGATTTACATAATAAATGTGTATGTATACGTTATAAAGAAATATTTTTTTGCATAATTTTTTTTCAAATATATTCTTTTTTTCTTCATTTATACATATTATATTTATGAATAAGCATATATTTTCTTTTTTGGTTTTTCGTTTAAAATAGAGAATAATTTTTAAAAATGTTACGAGTTAAAAGGTATTATATAATTAATTTGCATTTTTTAATATATCTTGTGTATATAATATTATAAGTTTTTTTCATAAGCGTACATTTTCGGACGACGTTCTCGCTCGCCCATATCGATCGGCGGAACGTTATATTATATTTTTATCAATTATTATTTATATAGTGCCTTTTTTGTGATTAATACTAGTCATTGTTATTGTTTTTTTTTTATCAATTATTATGTCGTTACATTACTACACTTTATTAATCAAGTTTTTTTCTTCTCCTCTCGACAACGCCATTAGTTCACCCGTGCTCGTTAATAATAACTGCTGTATGGCCGTTACTTATTGTACAATAAGGTAATAATAGTCAATTTTGCTCGTATTCGCCGCAGTGAACCTGGTAATTTTCATAATCATATTTTTTCTCCATGGAGCGTCGCGAAAAAAAAAATGATTGGAAATTATAAAATTATTCGTTTTTAACGAACGTTTAAGACCATTTAATTCTCCTCAAACTGGAACTGTACGTTCTTATGTTATTTTGGAAAAGTTAGGCAAGAGATAGACCGCGAGAATCATCAATTATTCTCAACAAGAGTTGACTAGAACGCGAAAATTGGCGTGCTCCGATTTCAGTCAGGGGATTACTTTAGCATGAAAATATCTTTTCGATCGAGTTTGATAACCAAAGGCTTATAGACCATAATAGAGTCCAATCGTTTATGAAACTCTTCCAAAGACTCTCATGTAAAAAGGTGTAATACTGAATCGTATGAATAAAAAATCAAAATTCGTCAAAAGTTTTACTGTTTTTTGGTGCATTTTTCTCATCGATATACGCGCATTTTATCTAAAAGAGTAATTTATTAAAAATCTATGCCTTGAGTCGAATTTTGTTAATATCGTATACCGGTATAGAGCGAGGAGCAAATGAAGTGTACGAAGAGTATAAACATTATTCATGCGTATACGTATGTTTCAGAAAAGGCTCAGAAAGAAAGCACGAAGATAGACTTCAATTATATTTATGTATGTATAATGCTTACTGGGCAATGCTCCTCATACGCACGAGTTTATCCGGGAGAGGCAAAGCACACGACAATCGGACCCTCGTGCAATGGCAAAATTATACGTCTATACAGCTAACATAAACACACAGACGTATATTAATATCTGTTACACGAGGCATCGGTCGGGCCGCCACTAATGGATAGACTCATGTCGGATTATTGCCCAATTCGCGTGTATCCAAGTATTAATACTATAGAAATATGTATAAGTATATACATACATATGATTGTTCGAGGACCAAATATCACTATTATAATCATAATTAATCAGACTGTCAATATTTGCTATAGAAATATTTTACCCACAGACACCAGACACATTCAGATATACATATAAATGTACACACGCTAAGTGCATACCTTTGACATTGTACGTTTTATTATATAATAATATATTTTATATATATGATTTTACACGCATGATTGAAATGTTTAGTAATATATCCTGTACTTATACTATAGGATTTATCCTGCAACAGTATTTTAATTATATATTTGATTTTTTCGGATGGAACCTAATCTTTGTTTAGATAGTCAAATCTAATACAAAAAAGTTACATCCTTAAAAGTTGCAACAACCTTTTTTATATTTACGCGTAAAAAAATGCTTGCACATGTAAAATTAAAATAGATACACGACGCAAAGGGTGAAAAACGATGTTTTTGTTGAAAGTTGATTTTAAAATACATTGGAGAGTATTTTTATTTCACGGATTTTTAAAATTAAACAAGATTTTAAAAAAATGTTTTCAAAATGTTTTAAAACAAAATTTGAAGAAATTTACATGTATTATTTGGCTTATTCTAAAAGTGTTTTTTGTATATATGTGGCTGAAAGGCAAAACGACATAAGTCCATATTATTTGCTCCGTATCATCGCTATGATGCGCCTTTCAATTTAATAAGTATACAGTTCAAAGGGTACCTCAGACCAAGTAAAAATGTCATAGTTTCAGACCTCTAGGCGGCCACGTCTAGTTAGGCACTCACATGCAACTTTAAACGCGTTTTTCTCAAAAATATGAAAAGTGGAGTTATGTCGTTTTGCCTTTCCACCATGAGATATTATTTTTGTTAAAAGGGCTCATTCAAGGGGCTAAAATATAAAAAATTCAAAAATGATTTTTTTAACATTTCTGTAAAAAAGGCTGTATTAGTAGGCTACGTTTAAATTTAATTTCGCTACCCATCCAACTATTTAGTATAGAAATGTATGCCACCGAATTCAGAAATGGGGTGCGATTCAAAAATGGTTTTTAGGAATAAACAGAGCTCACAAATAGCTTAGAGAAGCTATTATCAGCTAAAGCTTTGTTTTTCACCCTTTCATCGTGTACTTATTCAATTTTTACAGGTTCATGCAATTTTTCTTGTTACTAGGAGTCCGAAAAACTGTCCTCAATGGTCGGTATATGCGTAAATATGAAAAAAATGTTGCAATTTTTCAAAGATGAAACTGGATTTTTTTTTTAGATTTGAGCACGTAGTGGTGACAATTCTAAAGTAGCCGCTTGATTGTGTCGTTAAAAAGATCGATAGTCATTCAAAATGTCTCGATTTCGTGCTTTATTATTTTCAGTATTTCATACTTTTTTCGTACGTGCAAATGTAACTATATACTGTGGGTAGTAAAATATAAGAATCGATTATCGAAAAGTTGCATTAAATCACAGAAAAAAGTTGAAATATATATTTTGTATATATATACTTGATTGAAGATTTCGAAGGCTTTTATTTTCGCGCATATTTTACGTAAAAAAACGATGAAAGTTGAAAATATACTTACAGAGATTTTTTTCCATGCGATATAGTATAATGACGAAAGCTCGCTCATTGTCGCAAAAAGACTCGACGGAAAATCGCAGAAAGATGAGAGATGTATGCTTATAAAGGTAGATGTAGTATACGTGCTTGGACTGTGGCATACTTTATGTGTGTGCGTCCGTGTGCGTCACACGCTGCACACGGAAAAAAGTAAATCCTCTCTCGCGGATATCATCAGCATAATATCATATAATTTTGTAAAGCGAGTCGTCGCGACCGCGCAATAAATTATTTGTAATAAGTATAAATAATAATAATAATAATTATATATGGAGTTCAGTGCAGAGTGTGCCACATGGTGATGTTCTCGCGCGGCGACTGTATCATGAGCTGCCAGTGCTCGACACTGGGATTGCTCGTGCCCGAGTCGAGGCCGGCCTGGCCCAGACCCGGACCGACGATGCACGAGCCGATGACCGCGTGGCCGCTGCTGCTCTCCTGGCTGCTCGAGTCGAGCACGCAGATCTGTCACGCAATCAATTTTGTATTGGTCGGGTTGATACGATCAGGGCCAACAGGTTCATTGTTTTTACAATAGAGCAGTAAGTTTATTGGGTACTCACCTCGATGGCCGAGGTGGCCAGAGCCGACTGGGCCACGGAGAAGGTAAAGGCCTCGTTCCAGTCGGGGCAGCGGGTCGCCTTGCGCACGCTCGTCTTCTTCTTCTTGACGCGCTTCTCGCCGCTTATGAGGCCGACCTTGACGAAGGCGTCGAGACTTTGCTTGCCGGGCAGTGGAAAGAGGTTGCGGGCCTTGTGCAGCGTCATGGCCAGTCGGCCGGCCTGGGGCAGGTAGCTGAGCGACAGGCAGACCTCCTGCTTCTCCTCGGGGGGCTTGCGCTCGCGACTGACCTCGCCCCAGAGCTCGACGCCGCCCCGGCTGGAGATGTCGAGGCCGTCGAGGGCGACCCGCAGCGAGCCGACCACGTCGTTGCGCGAGAAGCGATCGTCGTCGAGCACCTGCAGCAGCAGCGTCTTGTCCTGCAGCTCGTCCTGGCTCACGGGGAACTTGAAGTGCTGATCGAAGCGCGGATTGGCCTCGTTGTGGTGCACGCCGGTCTGGCGTTTGCGCGCGTCCACCTCGGGGCTGAGGCTCAGCTTGACGTAGGGATCCTGAAAGCCGCCGTGCTCGCCGCCGGCCAGCTCCGAGGCCTCCACCAGGTGCACGTCCAGGTCGGACTTGTCGAAGTCGTAGCTGAGCCGCAGCCGCAGCCGGCCGAGGCTCTTGCCCGAGCCCCGACTGAGGAAGAGCGGCTGGTCGCGGCGCTGGTAGAGGTCCGGCTGGAGGGCGCCGAGCGGCGAGGCCGGGGGCAGGCCGCCGTCCCTGTAGCTCAAAGTTTTCCTATCACGGTATCTACGCGCTTGGCCCGTCAAAGTCTGCTCGGTCGGTGCGAAGCGTGGCCGCGAGCTCCAACTCTCGAGCTTCCAATTCCCGAGCGGCGAATCGATCCAGTAGCGGACGAGGCGCCGATCAATTGGTATTCGTCGCGCGAGCCCTCGACGCCTGCTTTACTCGGAATTATTCGCCTCGAGGCATCGTTGCTTTCGAGTCCAGGCTCCGATCGTTCGAGTAATTAAACGAGCGCGCGAGAGGCGTTTACTTTTAGCCTCGGTCGCGCAGCGGTCGCAAAGAGAGAGAGAGAGAGAAAGCAAGTTTGCTCTATATTGGCAAAGACATCAAAGATTATATTGTGCGCGTAGTTGGTATACAGCGAGCTCGGAAGAGATACGCAAGAATACGCGAGCTGCATGAGAAGGAGGATGATGTAGCGAGCGATAAGGGGCCGCACTTTCAAGGAATCGGAAAAAGTTGTGTCGAGGCCACGCTGCACTTAGCAAAAGTCCGCGTCCTCCGCAATACGTGTACTGCTGCGAGCCGAAGCTCATACTCACGTGCTGAGAGAGAAGGAGGCCCGAGGCGAGGGTATCATGAGAGGCGAGAGGCAGCGGGCAGCGGGCGATCTCGGGGCCTGGGACGCCGCCTGGCTGGACGAGGCGCTGGCGAGGCCGGGTTGAGAGGCGGCCAGTTGGGCGGCCGACAGCAGCGAGGCCTGCTGGCCCAGCGGACTGGAGCAGCGGGCGTCCAGAGAGGCGGCCCTCACCGGCGAGGGCGACCTCGAGCCCCGACTCGGTGGATACGACGACGCGGCGTGCAGCAGCTCGTGATTGTGGTGGCGGCCGTCCGGGTCGAAGGTGCGGATCTGCGGCTGTTGCTGCTGCTGCTGCTGCTCGTTGATCGGAAGCTGCTCCTGCGAGCCCTGCGACGGTCGACGGGACAGGCTCGTCATGGCCCGCGTCGCCAGGCTCATCCGACTGCCCGAGCTGCTCCGACTGCACTGATGCTGCAGCTGACCTGCGTGTGCAATAATTACGAGTGCCAGTCAGTGCTACTTGTAATCTGGCTTGAAATCAGCGCGAGTAATGCATTACGTATGAGCTCGGTAAACGAAGATTTGTGCAGCAGGTCCGACATGTGCGCTCGACTATTTTATCCCTTGCAAAGGATCTACGAGGCTTTGAACGATCGCCGCGCTCGAGTCCGATCGAATTCTGACGAGCTTTGAGCCATTGTTTTAAAGTTTCCGGGGCGCGCGCTGCATTTGCTCCGTCAAAATGAACTTTGTCAGATTTAATTTATCAAGTGCAGCGTATATGCACGTGAAAATCGAGCGGGCGCGCACAAAAGTCCCCGATTGAAAATCTGTCCTCTCTGCGTAACGTATATAAGGGCGACGTGACAATTTCATTCGCGAATATAAAACACACATTTATACGAGGGTGTATTATATAGGTATATAAACGCGAGAAGTGCAGTGCGGAGCGCGCGCGAGGAGGAAAGCTGCAGGGCTGGAGGGTCGCGCGTACATACAGTTTGACTTGCCTGTGGTCGAGTCTGTGGAGAGCGTCGATGCTGACGTTGGTAGCGCCCCATGCTGCAGATCTTTCGACACGCTGAACTCCTGCGAACGATATTACAGCATAGTTTTCATATCATATATATTATGTATACGTGTGCACGCCCTGTATTTATAATTACCGAGCGGATTAAGTGGCAAGTTGGCGCGTATTACAAGGCAGAAACGCCGCGCGTATACAGTTGCCCTACCGCAAAATGAGGCAAGACAGAGAAGCCGAGGGGATTATAATGCATCGTTATATACGTTGCGGCGCGTTACAACGAGTGCTGATGCTACACGCGAAACAACTCGATACTTGGGGGTTTGTATAAGAATTATCCAAGCACATAAACTCGCCATATAATGTAGTCGGGAAAATAGAAGCTATCGAATACTCGTTGAGAAAGAAAGAAAAGAGGATAATTCGCACATTGTGTGGCTTTGGGCCCGCGCGCACAGCTGTTTGCCTTTTGTAAAGAGCTGCAAACGTGCCAACGAGCACAAATGAGCCGCACAGATCCTCGAGGGATATATATATACATTATAGGGCTTCTTTGCGGCCCGACGTCAGCGAAATAAATCGCTTAGCGCGTAAGCCGCTCTGGCCGACGGATTATTCGCGCCGCTGCTAAAGGCAGAACGACCTAACGCTTAATTTTTCGCGTATAAATCCAATTCATGGCGAAAATCAGCCATTACACACACGTACTTTGTACTCGAGCCGGAGAATGAGCTGAAAAATCAGCCGCGCGCGTCTATAGTCGAGAAGAGATTTTTCCAGAAACACGATCAGCTGCAGCACGGACTCGTGGAATCCTTTTTCTCGCTGCACCGCAGATGTACATGGCAAATGGGTATCACGTACACGCGTATAGACGCAGCTGGAGCTGCTATAAGAAAAGGAAGGAGGGGGCGCTTAGGCACGCCAGCGTCGCGCGTATATACTCGTGCTGTGTACGCGCGCGCGTGTACGCGACAACCGACACCCTTTGTGCACGAGCTAGATTGGATTTCCTCTTTGCCGTCGGTGTCCTATATAACGCAGAGAGCGGCTGCACTTTGCCGAGCCATAGGCAGCTATACAATGTGCGTCCAAGTTGACGCGTATATAGCTACGGGCCGCGAGCTTCGGGGCGCTTTATAGCGTCCGCTCCTAAGCGCGCACCGATGCTTATTATACCGAGTCGAGCTGTCGCTGAGCTACTGCGCCTTGTGCGTTTGTATTTGGAAGCCCGCCCGCAAGCACCTACTGCAGGCCCCTTGGCTCGCGGCGTCCAATCCGTTGCGGTATAGCTATATAGCTATACGCACGCATTCTTAGTGCGAAAGACCGCAGAGCGCGTGTTTATTTCATTACACGCCCTCCATGTGTCTATAACGCGTGATCGAACGCTTGCGTTGACCACTATTATATACAGCTAAACGGCCGTGTGCAAAAGCGATAATATGTATTATATATAAAGCGTCGGCTAGGCATCGGGGCTGAAAATTTGCGTAATTTCGAAAGGATTGGCGCGCGGCCAGTGCGAACGACCTCGAATCGTGGCGCAGCTCGCGGGCAAGTGCGTTCATCCATAATTTATCCTATAGGTAGGTATCACGAGCTGCCAGCGCGGCCGCTGCCGCTATTTGATTTGGAGGCGCGCGAGCCCGACCTCCCCCTCGCGCCTCCCTCTGGGCTGCGGGCCTGCAGTAACAATGAATCATCGTTTTGCTCTTCGGGGTAATTATACGGAAAGCCGCGGGCAGCTTTCAGCGGCGGCGATGCATGTGAACGTATACGTGTACATCGATTGCTGCTGCTTGCTTTGCGCTCTGTAACAATAAACGCGAGCTACCTCTACTATACGTATACGTACCTACATCGACGCACTACACGAACGTACGCGAGGTAATTGTAAACAATCCTCGGACTGCGCGCGCTCCGTTCCGTGAAATTCGGACACGCTTTGGCAAATAAACACGGCCTGCTGTATTTATGTTCGATCGAGTTGTGTGTCGGAACACGTCGCACACGCACACGCACACACGCGCCTGCCGTACATCATTTGTACTGTATAAATACGTATGAAATTTGCCTCCCTATCGGCACTTTTTCCCTTCTACCTCTCTCTCTCTGTCTTTCTGTTCGATATAATAATTATAGTATATAGGTTTAATTGGCTCGCGCGCGCGCCAGCTCGATATAATACCAACAACTTGAGCTCTCGACGTCGACGCGTTTCCGAGGCGCGCGCGAGAGACGTCGTCGCGCTATTGTCCGAGCAATTACATCTTCGACAGCGCCGAGCTAGCTCTCTCGAGCCGCGTCTATATTTGCGCGGCGTTTGTCTTGCTACGTGTGCGGCTGTGGGTGCAGCCGACGTATTCTCCTCTTTCGTTTCTTTTCTTTTCTCCTATTTTTTTCTACCGTCTTTTTTTTCTCTCCTTTTTTTTTCAATAAGCCAAGCACATGGAAAAGTTATGTGCACGAGAGTCTTTACGAGACGGCTGCAGGTCGCTCTTCTTTCCTCCCTCAACCCTTTGCCATTGTTTTCGTTCCGATTCGAGCCCATCCGGTCGAGAAAACTGCGGCGTTTTATTACCTCCTCGCCTCCCTCGCCTTCAATGGGCGGCAAATTACAATCGGCCGCGAGTTCCAGTAACACGAGATGATCGTAAAGTTTTATTTGCACGCGCACAAACGGACCCCTATACATGTATACAGGTCGGAATGTCGCTGTTGCGTATACAAGTACACGCGCGCGTCTGCCTATATATGTATGTGCTGGTGCGCGTGGGAGGACGAGGCTTTTATAACGTCCGCATCGTACAGGATGGTGACGGTGGAGCGGTGCACGCGAGCACTGTCCAGTTATCGTCCGTCCATATTCGCAGATATAGCCGCCGCCGCCTCCTCCGCCGCTGCAGCAGCCGCAGCAGTCGAATACTCATATAAACGTGATACGTGTGTAAAGGAACGCGGTGCAGCTTAAGCGTTATAAACAATTCAACGATGAAAATTCTCGCTAAAATGAAATTGACCTACAAAGTACGGGGGGCCGAACGACGTCACGTGTGCTCCACTTTCGAGTACACGCAGCTCTCTCTCTCTCTCTCTCGCGAGCGCGCAAGCCGAACGCAAGCTTATACTCGTGCAGCGAGCCGAGCCAGTCAGCCGCCTTCCAGCGTAAAACATATAAAATAAAAAATTATATAGCCGCAGCGGGCGTGCGCCAGCGAGCGAGCGAACGAGCAGAGAAAGAGAGAAAAAGAGAAAAGGGGAGCTAGAGAAAAGAGAGTACTATAAGAGAGAGAGAGAGAGAGAGAGAGAGAGAGAGAGAGAGAGAGAGAGAGAGAGACTCTGAGCTTTTTTGCGCTCTTCTTGCTAAATCAACATTTAAAGCAGCCAACTTATCGTCGCGCACACAAACCCCTTCTCTCATATATTATGCAGCATACACTCACGCTCGATTGCGTTATTATTATGAGCTGTAGTTGCGTTCAAACTTTTACTTATGCGAACTCCAAAGTTTTCTATTAGTTTGTTTTGTTTCGTTAAACTCTCTCCTTCTCTATTCCTTCCTCTTTCTCTCTTTTGCCTTTATTATTTAGTTCGTTTAAACTTATCGATAATTGGAGTGCGTCGTTTAAAACTCGCAGCGTACTGCCAAGAAACTGCCTGTTATATGGCCGAACGCTGCTCCTTCTTACGTGCGAATCGTCCGCCGAGAGCATCGTCGATCGTTATAAAAGGCCCCCGCGCTTTAAAAAGCCAACTCGAGCTCGCGAACAAATATACAACTAATCCTTAATTCTCGAGCGAGTCGCAATTTTAATCACTCGGATTTGTTCGTTCGAGTGTGTATTATAGCGTAGATACGCTGCGTACGCTATGCACACATGAACTGCACACACACACACACATCGCGTATCGGGGTGGGAAGGTCACGACCGTAACTATCGTGCACGGGCCGCGAGAAAGAACGACTGCCAATTAGCTGACGTTGGAATAGGTATCCGGGCGCCGCGATGACACTGCAGGCTATGTGCACGCGGACAATGTGCATCATCTGTACCGATTCACAGACTCTTGAATCCAATTAGCCCATTTTTTATTTATCGGACGCGAATGTATCGAACGACAGCTACGGGTCTCCCGCGAGAGAGAGAGAGAGAGAAGAGGAGAGGAGCGACAGCACCGAGCAGCCGAGAGAGTCGAGCTGAAAGAGAAAAGAGCCAACAACACACGCGCTGACGTCAGTCGCGACACCAGCGGAATCCCAGCCGAGTACAACAGTCTAATTAGGCGGTAAACAATCGCAGCATCTCGCGAATGAATCAGCTGCCCCTATTTATATATACGAATCCAGTCGATATAACGGAGAAAAAGAGGAGCGAGTCGAGAGCACGGGGGCAAGCACGTGCGCGCGTGTCCCCTATATAGCTATAACGTTACGTATGCGTGTTATGCGTGGCTGATCGCGCTGGATATATACCTCGGAGCTGACCTGGCTGTCCTGGCTGTCCTGAGTCGAGTGGGCCGAGGAGGAGGCACTGGAGGTCACCCTCGACTGTCGCTGGGTCCACCTGCTGCGTATGATGGCGACGCCCGTGATGGCACCGATGCGGCTGCTCGCCGAGGTCGACGACGAGGCCGACGACGAGGAGGTGACCGACGATCCAGCCCCGGAGTAGTAGGCTTGGGCAGAAGCGCCAGTACCGCCGCCGCCGCCACTAGCGGCATTGCTAGCGGTCGCCGGTGACGAGGGCGACGACGACGAGCCACTCTCGTGCCGGGCATGGCCGCTGCTGTTGGCCTGCTGCGAGGCTGGCTGACCGCAGGCTAGCTCCAGCACATCGCCCAGCACCTCTGTGAGCTTGGAGCACTTGGCGAGCGCCTCCAAGACGGCCTCGCTTCGCGCCGATCTGCTGCAGAGGCAGCTTTCACGGGCCGCGCGATTCGTGCCTCGTCGTGGCTCCTCGACGCGGTACTCGAGACAAATCTACGACGAACTCGCTGACACTCGCCGACGTACGCGAGTGGGATTCGCTGCTTATATATACGTATTATTAGGCTTTGTCGCGTGCACAGACTTTACTCGGAGGTAGGAGGGCAAGAAGAAGCTCGAGTCGAGTCGTATCTCTGTCGCGTTGACTTGAGCTGCGGCAGCTTCGAGAGACTCGCTGGCTCCTTGAGACAATCGTGGCGTACGGTGGCCTCTCGGATCGGCTCGCGGCGTGACACTGAGAGCTGCGATATTGCGCGATTCCGTTGCTGCTGCTGCTGCTGCTGTTGCATCGCTGCTAGCACTGCTCTTTATATAGGTATACGATATAAGGATAGAGGCGAGCGAGCGAGCGAGCAGAGGCCAGTCGCGCTGCTGGTGCTGCTTATGCCGCTGTTGGCTCGGTTGCGCCGCAACAGGTTACCCTTGCTCTGCGCAATAGCGCACACTCCTCTATACGTACACACACGCAGTAACACAGAGCCAGTAACAACGCCAGTAGTCCAACAGGCAGCAGCGACAGCGTGATATAGCGCGCTCGCGAGCTCGCGACGTCGAGGCAGGCCAAGAAGTGCGTGCGGCTGCGCACCGACGCGTATAATGCATAAATCTTCGTCTCCTCGGCTGCGCTACACTTGTACTCTTGCCTATGCTCTCGTCTAGTGCTCCGCTGCGCTATATATGCAACGCAGAGACCCCTTCTACATCTATACACGCACAGAGTCTATCCCTGTATGTATAATATTGTATATGTAGCACAGCAGGTACGCATACGTTCTGGCAAGGGAGCGATAAATTGAATCGCGGCTTCGGCGCTCGCGTATACACATCGTGGGTCAAACAGGACGACGACGTGCTCCGCTCGTGCTTTTTGAAGGCCACGGCAGATTGATCGACGCACCTGAGCGGCGGCGGCGGCGGCGCGGCTCGCTCGAAAGACCACCCTCCGTAGCACATACACACACACAGCGATATAACGCGAACAGGTAGCACACACGTATCATCGTCAGCAGCAGCAGCACAAGCTGTATCGATCGTGTCGCTCGCGCGCGCCTTCGTATATACATTATACAGAGGCAACAGCGATTCCGCACGCAGTTGTACATGAGCGTGCATGGCCAACGAGTGGCTTCGTCCTCTCTCGCTCTCGCTCCCCAAGTATCTATAGCTGGTAGTACTGCAGCGACGATCGTGACTCGTTAATAGTTCGAGTACGCGTGCCTCGTCCCACACTATACATGTCGCGCGAGCGAGCCGTCGAAACGATTTTTGTCCTCCCTCGAGCCATCAAGAAACAATATCGTCCGACGATCCTCGAGCGATGCATGTGACGCGCGTACCTTGGCGAATCGGGTCAGTGGGCAACAAGTCGGCCACCGCCGCTGCCGCAGCTCTTGTTGCCGCCGAAGCTTACATAAAAGCCTGCATCGAGAGCTGCACTCGAGAAAAGATTGTACGGTGGCTAGCCCGTATATACGTAGTCATTTCCCTCGCAGCCTCAAACCCTTTGTATCCGACTGACAGAAGCTGATTGTGGCTGTCTCATTTTCTCCTCGAGCTCGTCTCTCTTCGAGACGCATCGCACGCGGCTATATACGTTTTAAGCGATTGCTATGCAACGAGCGCGCGCACTTAGCAATTACCGAGCTGCCAACTCTATGTATACGCCAAGGGATAATCTCGACCGACCCTCTAACTTCAAAGCGCTGATACACACGGGATGTTTGCCTATCCGCGCAGCTTCGGCCTTCGAGCGGCAGGAATTCTAGGCTGGCTAAAGAAATTTTCCCGACTTTTTTTACACTCTGCGGAAAATCAGCGAGATAAAAAAAATGAGAGAAAAACGCATAATTGGGATCGATCGCGTAATACCGTATTTCTAAAAGCTTTACTGCTGGTAAGTAGTACTGGTGCGAATTAGGTCAGACATCGAGCGAGTAGCTGCTCATCGGCGGCATATCAGAGATATCTGCCCTTACCGACCGTCGCTAAATAACCACGCGTATCGTTCAATTACGGTGGCGCTCCGTAATTCCGCTTTTTTCCGACGGAATTTATCCTGGCTCGCTCAGCGTAAGCTTCGATCAATTTCATGATAACATTGTGCTGCTCGCCCGGCTCGATTGATTGAATGACACTTAATCGAATTAGAATTGATACCAGTCAAGTGGAACTAATCATATTGAAAATTTCGTAATTACTAGTTATATTTTTGATTTACCATAATTAAACTAGAAATCGGACGCCTGCAAAATCGTGATATAGGTTTATATTAAAGTGTCCGTACAAAATACCATTTTCAAGGTAAATATTGGTTCAACACTTGTGGTGTTTCATTTAAAATTGTATCTATCCGCAACTGAGTGAAAAAAAAACAATCGAATATTCAAATAGATTGTGGTCGTGTACGAAAGAGAACAGTTGTTGACAAAACAATCCAAGTTTGTTTACGCACAGTTTTTTGAAGAGCACAGTATGACGTAGCCGTACCGCGACAGGAATCGAGTACTCGGCGAACCTCCGATTCGTGGGTCAAGCGATCACCGTTTGCTTTTGGCTTCGGTTGGCAATATTTTTCGCCACGAGTTTGCTGGACCGGCGCTGAGCATTTCGCATCTCCTGGCCATCGATCGAGGGAACTCCAACTTTTGACTTTTCGCCCCATCGAGTAGTACCTGAAAAATATTACTCTTGTTACAAAACGTACATGTATAACGTGTTTTTCGACTTGGCGAAACTTGAACTGAGGAACAAATGAAATCACGTATATGTTCCGCACGGCTTAGCATTACACAAAAACGGAAGTAATTAAGAAAGAGTGCAAGAGCATTTAAAATTTAACAAGATTCTTCTCTCTTAGGTAGAGATTTTTTTCTTTTTACCGAGCTTCATTTAGATAATTATGTACGAAGTAAGCAGAGAGTAGATGCCTTTTCAGCTTCTTGTGTTAGTGCAACATTTTTCAATAATTGAGTCTAGTTCGATAATCAAGTTATGGAAAATGCATCGCTTCTTTTTACTAACGTAGGTGAAAGACAAAGTAAACGCGGTTCGTGTTTCGTGCGAAAATTTATGAGTTCACTTTACCCTTTTTTTAGAAAAAATATTCATTCTCATACAATCAATTTAAAGCGTTAGTTTCATCAAACAAGCAATAAAAATATCGCCAGTAATTGTAGTATTCTATGATAAATTGAGCCTCGGCGCGATAAAATTAACTCACAAGGGACAATTATGTTTTTGTCGACGTCACTAGAAAATGACTATTTTCAGAAGCACATATCAATTTGCCAGCACTTGTATCGAAAGAAATTCCATCAGCGGCTATTTTAATCGAGACAGAGAAGAAAAAAAAGATCCTCACACTCGTCCCGACAAATAGAATCGAAAAAAAAGAAAAATAGGCCAATTAAGTACACACAAGGCACATGCTAGTATAGTAAGAAAGTGTCAGTTGGGTAAACACATCGAGACTTACTTGTAAACGACGATCGTGACGGCAATGACGAGTGCCAAGCCGGTACCAGCTGCTGCCCCGAGCACCGCCGACGAAACCATGATTTCTTTTCTCTCTCTCTCTTTCGGCTCCTTCAAATATCTTTAGGATCTGCAGCAATGTGACATATCATTTAGCCTCTTTAGGGTCTCTTTGACATCAAGGACAGCTGTTGCGTCGAGTTGCCGTAGTTGCGACGTGTTTCTGAAAGTTATAATGATATTCCACTGCAAATTTCGTTACATGAATGATATCCGACAATTTAATTAACGTTCATATACGTCAGCTGATTTCGTATGGAGATTCCGTCAGTAAAGTCAATTGAGCAATTTTCCGAGCAAACGAATCATACAATTGATTATTCAATTCAGTCGACGTATTTAATATGCAGGGCTCTCACTTTCAGCTGAAAAATGAAATTGATTGGCCAGCTCTGTCTTGCTTACCGAGATTTAAATTAAATTACTCACTTGTAAATTCGCCCTTGCGCCACAGATCCCCTGCGATGAATAACCACTAACGAACGATGGATCGAGAAAAATTTTGTAAAAAAGTATAAAGTTGCAATTAGTCATCCGCAGCTGTGCAGGAGCTCGAATATGGGACGGTACGCGCGTCACGAGCAGAAGAATGGCTACAACTTTGTACAATATTTTCGAGAAAAAAAATTGAGAAAACCGATACCGCGACTAACATATGCCATCGAAACCAAAGTTTTATACGGAAAAATGTTCGTGAAAAAATACAAAGCCGGTAGATCGTCAGCGGTCAGACCGAGATTAAATCTGCGCCACAATTGGGAAATTCAACGAATTTATATTAAATGTCGGTGAAATGATATATTTTTTCATTACATGCATCTGCTAAGTACGTGTTCACGAAACATTATGTAGCTTTGTTTAATAAAATAAAATCGGTGAAAAGAGAGCGAGATGAGAAAAAATCGAACAGTACAGATGATAAAGGTAAAATGTACCTGAGACGTTGTCGATTTCGTTGATCGAGCTATCCAAGGCGTACCGCGTTGATATACCTGAATTCGTGAAAAGCTCGTCCGTGATGGAAACGCATGAAATTGATGTAGGTGCGAAGAAAACAGACGAAGGAGGTGATTGATTCAAAGGCGTAAAAGCGGCTCGACGGACTGTACTACGAGCCGTGTAGTAGTTGGCGAGCGACTACATATCTGCGCGCGCGATTCAGGAGAGCGACTCTAGCTGTCGTCCCTAACACATACATCGGTAGACTACGCTCACGTACAGAGAGCCGATAGCTCTACACCTACGCGACGCTGGCACATTTTAACGAAAACGAATAACCAACTTGTCTCGCTGAAGGAGCTTACATAGCTACTGCTACCGCCGCGACGTAGGTATGTATGTATAATACGCCACGCGCGCGCCACGTTCTCGCTCTCCCGCAATCTCTCGGCGTACTGTGCGTGTGACTGCTGCCTTATCGCGATCCATACCCTCTAGCCTGTCTCTCTCTCTCTTCTTTTCCTTCTCGCGCTCTCTCTCTCTCACTCTCTCGCTCTCTCTTTCTCTCTATTTTGCTCACTGGCTCGAGCTCTTGTGTTTTTTTTTCTTCTGCCTCGGTGAGGTTTTATGCCTTATAACTATATACACCCTAGTCGATTCCTGCGAGAATCTGCTGCCGATAATACACTCACTCGCACGGACATGGATATCGGGATTAGCGCGTCTCGATAAACATTAACACGGGGCAGAGGCTGAGATTGATCTCTTTACGTCGGCTTTTCATCGCCGGCGTGGATCTCGATGATCGACTCGACTCGCATTTATACTTTGCTACCCTGTACTGCGTGGATTGCGTCCTGACTGTCTATACGAGTGCTATAATAAAGCTGAGATCCGAACGGTATACCCAGTGTATAAAGTATGAATTCTCAACGCGGCGCAACGCTCCCCCGAGCTATCGACAGAAGAAGAAAAAAATGCGTACCCCTCGCGACGCGATCGACGAGCTTCGTTGATGAAACAATTTTACAACTGCCTGGGGAATCCGACGCGATGCTCAACTTGTATATTTCTATGTTTTTTTTCTTATACAGACGACTGTCTTGGAAACCTTTTCAAAGCGATACGTCAAGAGTCGACGAGTTGCGCGCTTTGATGATGGTTTTTTCTTTCGTTTCTCTATCGAGTTGCACAAACCTGCGTTGAAAACTCTAAAGCTCGCGCGGTCTTTCTTCGCATTCCAGTTCAAAGCTACATAGTATTTTGAGATCCTTTTATTTTGCCGGTAAATCATACAGTTTATTTTTTTTCTCTTGTTCTTATGCGATGCGATGGAACGGAATAACTTTTACTGTAAATCTTTTTTTATGGTCGACAAAAATAATGTAAAGCAATGTACTTTTGGAGAATAAAAGCATCCATTCTGCATAAACATCGAATATAAATGTGAAATTAAAGAGAAGGGGAATTTTTCATTTAAAAATTCCTGCTAATCCACTTTCGTTGAAAATATGTTGAAATTGGAACATATGCCTATACGTCGAAACAAAATGTTTTTCCAAGCGGCAATTTATCTCGACACAATAAAACGATATCCGTATGTGTATATGTAAAAATTCCATGTGCCCCGGTAAAAGAGGTGGGCGCGCTCGCCCACGCACGAACCCGTCACTACAGCTGGACTAGCATACCTATGTACATACACGTACGATAAACATACGATATATAGACTGCGAAAAAAGTGGAGAATAAATAAGCTCGCGGAACTGTGTATCTGCGTAGCGATGAGGAGCTGCTTTGCGCTCATAATTCGATCGATAAGCCTTAATGTTTTTTTGTGTAACTCGTGACGCGCGACCGGGGCGATCGTCGTCGTCGTCCATGGCAATCCGAAAAATAAAAGGGGCACGTTGCGAAGGTAAAAGATCGCCGTTGCGCAATATTTTTATTTTCGTTCTGTTCGTATAATATACGCACACACGCACGTAGACAAAGTATTTCGAGAGTACGTGCACGCCCCCCGGCTTTGGACCGAGTCCTTTGCCGCTCTTTGATGATATCCTTCGATTGACAAAGGTCACGCGAGCCGATCGTCCCTTTATGGTAGATACACGAATAGACGCTTATAAAGGTATACATAACTAGCTGGCACTTGCTTATACGTATATATTCACGTAATGAAAGCTCGCAAGCTCAAAAGCTCTTAGCATAATGCCATTGCCGCGTGTATATGTAGGTACGCGCGCGGAGCAATGCCGATAGATCGATCGATCGATACGCTGATGCCGAGGCTCGCAAGTCTGCTCTACTGCGAGCGAGCTTGCAAAACGTTTACGCCGGGCTATATAAGCCCAGCTCGTTTTCTGCGTGCGTCTGCTATTGACTGCTTCATTATCCCGGCTTGCCCGCCCGCGCGCACTAAGCGCTTCATATCCACCAAGTTCGATTGTGCAATAGCTGGTATAACTGCACAAGCTGTTATCTGTGCACGACTTTACAGCTCGAGCTTGCGACATGTGTATGTGTGTGTGTGTGTGTGTCTGTGTCTGTCTGTGAATGTCTGTGGGCGAGTCGACATCGTTATGCGTGTTATTATCGTCGATATGTGCAAGCGCTTGCCTCGCTCTTTGTGATCCTACTATCCGATTACGAAGCCATATACGTATATACGCACATTATAGCCATGAAAGAGAGAGAGATCAGAGAAAGGTACATAACGCTGGGCTCGTTGGAGCTTGCGATCTGTGTCGATCGTTCCTAGGCAGCTCGTCCCTTCTTAGGGCGTATGTATGAAATCTGACGCGTATGAAGCAAGAGAATACACGCTGTAATGAACTATACATATACCGCTTTACGTTAGAACGTCGCGTATTATGCGCGCAAGACGTCGCGCGAGCGACAATTTAATCGAAAAGCTCGAGCGCGCCGCATACTGTACAGCTGACTCGCGTGTATATATCCCGCCACCTGCGCGTTTAGTATATAAGTTTGCTGAACTTGAATTGGATTAGGAAGGTGAAATGCTTGCCGCACGTAGAAAGCAAAAGAGAGAGAGGGAGAGAGAGAGAGAGCACCTCTAACCCCGGCAAGGATGAAAGAAAAAGAGAATCAGGTCAAAGTTTATGAAGCTACTGTATGAAACTCGATGTAAGTGTTGTACGTCCGTACGCGTGTATATTCGTTTATGTACTTTGCTACCTCGTGCCGCTCTGTTGTTCCTCGCTCTACAACGGCTGCTCTTGTCACGGACAACGTGTTGGATAGTCAGTATTTATTGAAAATATTAAAGCCGACATAAAAAGTTTGTCGAGTGTTGAATCTACAATATAACTGCTCAACATTATAAACTTTATGTAGCCGTGCGCGTGAAAATTTAAGAGCACGCTTCGCTGAAATCTTTCTTTCCTCGACTTTATACAGGGTAATTAAAATGATAAACCTGCGAATTCGCGGCGAAACTTCATTTCGCAAAGGTATATATGGAAGGATACTTCGGACGAATGAAAAAGTTTTCTTGCGCGAGCTATATAGCCGGCCAAATTAACCCTGACATTTACCTTCTTTTCCCTGGAACCTTACACATTTCGACAAGTGCGATAAATTCAGTGATATAGGTCAACTTTTGGTTCGGCCGCACGAGCTTCAAGTTCACTATTTTTTGGCATCGAGCTATTTCTATCCTATTTCTCGTGGCAAATGAATTGGAACATTACACGAGGTCTGGTTTTGTCAGGTAAACTCATTAGGATTCGCAATAGGTCGCTTTATTTAAGCCGAGACCCCTCGTTAATTATGCGGTAAGCAACAGACATCGGTAAATTCGCAATGTACATAAAACGAGAATTACATCGTTTAACGTAACGCGCGAGCTTCAAACAGCTTCAAACAGGAGTGAAATTTTAAGGGAGCTTTGGTTAAATTATTCGCAACGTTTAAATATTCGACTAATTCCTATCCTTCTTTGTTATGGTATTTGGCTTGGCTGCATCAAACTTTGAAATTGTTGAAATACCTTAGCGATTCGCTTCGCTTCTGCTGGTCTTGTCATGGAGAAAAGCAGAATCGATATAGACCCGTAGAATTCGCGCGCGCTTCATGCTGCAGCGAACACGTACGTGCCGAATAAATTCAACCTAGATATTTCGCGGTTGATTATGAGTTTATTTGATTTTCGAAAGCTCAGACTGATTTTTTTCAATAGACATCTCGCACCTTTGTGTGCGTGTGTTTTTTTGAGTTATTGAAATCGTGTCGTAGATAAAACGTAGTTCGCGTTGAACATTTTTTTCTGCAATATCGTAAAAGAGACCTGGAAAAAGTTGAAATGCGGGTACAATGTAAACTGCTGTAAACTGCGGGCGCGTTGAGCAGTACATATTAATTAAGCCTTTTTTCCCTTTTTATGAAACCAAAAAACTTTTTTTATTTGTCGCGAGAAAATTTATTCGAAAATTCTCGTTAAACAAACGAGTATTGGAGAAAAGCAATGTATATTTTGTAAAAATGTCAGAGTGATTTGTGTATTTTTTCACATCATAGAATATTAAAATTTATAGCTTTTTCCATCTTGAGAGTCAATACGAATTTTAAAATAATGTTATAGATAAAAAAAAAGTTTATTCGAGAATGAATATATTTTACATAGAGTCTATCGTTATTTCCCCAAAAAATGTTTTAAATGTATAATTTTTTAAAAGAAAAAATATACGTTGATGTAACGTACAGCCAAGCCCGCAGATGTGTTTCTCTGTTCAAATGCAGAGACTCACAGTGCTGAGCAATTTTTTGTTTTTTTCTTTTGATGTTTTTTGAAGCGAGGTCGAATCGAAAATCCCGTTAGAAGCCGAAAATTACGAATGACTCGGGGCAGGGGGGGAGGAGCGAAAAAAGGGCAAACATTACGAGCTCTGAATCGATCGTGCATACACGCACGAGCGGTGTGCGCGGCAGGAGCAGCGTCACGCGCGCAGCACACGGATCGGAGGCCTGCGGCGGCGCTTCCCGAGCTTTTGCATATCGTCAACGCTCGTCTATAGCTCGAGCCACCTACGCGTAGGTGAAAGGAGTTGGCCGCGGAGTAGCCGCGACTTCCACTCGAGTACAGCCGAGTGCATATATGCGCCGAGCTTGCAGTTACACGAGAGCTCGCGATAGCTGTATAGCAATCGCGAAGCAGCTGTAGGCAGTATTGCGTAGCGCGGACTGGCTGGCAGGCAGCAGCAGCAGCAGCAGCAGCAGTCGCGGCCCCTGCCCGCCTGCGAACGGCTATAGTCCGGCGCGATTTGGCCTAGGTGGCGCTGCCTAGGGCTCGAGCGAAGCAAAATTTCTCGCTGCGAAAGCTCTTTTCGCACCCCCTGCTCTGCTGTTCTGCCCGCCTGCCTGCCTGACTGCTTGCTCGCCTCGACGCTTGGCTCCAGTGAGGCGCTGAGCAGCGGCCAAGTGTGTCGTGCATCGGGCAGTCGAGCCGAGCTGCAGTTCTCCTCGCGCTGAGCTGTCCCACACACAGTACAGCAGCAGTAACAGCAGTAGCAGCAGACCACCTCGTGCTACACACACCTCTCAGGCGTGGAGCTATCCGCAATCCAAAGATCATCTGGGAAAAGCACGACGTAAAGGATAACGGGTAAGTGTCATCCAGCCAATATCGCATTAAAAAAGGGTAGGGTTTCCAAGTATCGAATGGAAAATAATCGTCGTCGCGTGTGCTCCTACGTGAAATACGTGCAGTACGCAAAGCTGCATAGGAGTTGCTATCCAAGGATCCGAGTGTCGTGGGAGAGGGGATGCATGGCAGTGCAAGCTCGCTATATGGCACATACGCCGCGCGAAATTAGCTCATTGGCCCACTGGCGTCGTCGGACTCGAACGTATGCTCGGCTGCGGCTGCGAGGGATAACGGCACGGGCTCGTGTTTGTTTTGGCGCCAGAGCACATACCGGTCCGAACGCGCTCCACAGCATGTAGGGCTCGCGTGCGCGAAGCTGCGCGTTATCAATGAAAGCTCCAAGTGTATTGCTCCCGAGAACTTTGGGACTGGGCGAAGATGGAGAGATAAGAGCTGGATGCCAATGGCAGCGCGAGCAGGTCGCGTCGAGGAATGTGCAACAGAGCGCACGAGCCCGACTCGCGTGCGCGTATATACACTCACGGTATCTTGCATTATTGATCGCGCACCGCTCGATATGCCATAGGCATGCCGACGCTACTATGCTGCACATCGCCGTCTTCTTCGTTGTTGTCTATGCGCTAGCTCTCTTACGATACGCGTGTATAGCTGTAAGCTGTCAGCTCGCTCGAGCGAGAAGCTTACAGTCGCTGCGGCTGCGGCTCTCGCTCGTGGTATGCGCGCGCGATCTCTCGTGTAGCTGCGGTGCACCTCGATAATAGCCTGCTAATCATCGCTCGACTGACACGGACTCCGCGTACATCTCGCTGCTTGCGGATCTACTGGAGCAGCTGTTGGTACTAGCTTCTATATCCGCTTATTCGATGCGAGCGATGCATTCTGTAGGCACGATGCTCGAGTATCAGCCGCGATTTTCATCCGCGTGACTGCGCGATGCGGCCTTTTTCTCCGATGCGATATTAGCCTTTCATTCATTGGCAAAGTTGCACTTGGCACTTTGGAGCTGTACCAGAGCTTTGCGCGCCAAGAGCTTGCCCGAGTTGGCAATATCGCGCCTTAATCGAATGATGAAGACTCTGCGATGCTCTTTGACTCTTGCCACGCGCCACTTGCTAATACTCCCTTAAGTTGCATCGGGCCACTTGGCTTTCTTGCTACATTACTTTGGCAACGCACAAACAACAACGACAACTAAAACAACAACAATAACAAGTTATGTACATGCCACAGAAATAATCGCGACGCGTCTTTGACGTGCTCCATCTACCTGCACTCCGTGTACATGTACTACATGCATGTGCCCGCTGTGTGCAAGTTCCGCAAGCTCGACGTGTATAGGTGCACCTAGCCGTAAGCTCTTTTCCATTTAAGTTTGTCCTAGTTTATGTATATATGTATATAAATACGCATGCGTTTCATCCTCTCCCTTGGCTGGTCGTTAGTCGCGCGGTGCTCCCTTCCTCTGTGCTGGCTCTCTCTCTCTCTCGTGCTCCCTCTTGCTCTCTGGCTACCTGCGCATTTTTGTCACACAACTCCTCGCCTTCTTCTGTGTTGCACAAAGTTGGAAAAAGAAACGCTAGCTTTCCGCCGCTCGACTCTACATTTTTGACTTTTATTTGCCTCGATTTCACACGGCCTTTTCCAAAGCAGTTATAAGACCATAGCACGTGTATAGAATACTCGCATTAACTTATTCGTAAGAGGCGAGCGAGGTGTGCAGAAGGGGGACTATGCAGCCCGTAATCGTGAATTACAGTCACGTGTGCAGCGCCTCGCGTTTATAAAAGTCGACGGCTATAGCAACGACAATGTGCATTAGCCAAATGAGAGTACAGTCGATCAGTTAAACTGTCGCTGCATCGCTCGGTAAAAATGTCGTCTCGTCTTCTTGAGGGAGAATAATAACAATGATAATAGCAATAGTAATAATAATAATAATAGTAATAATAATGAAAAGAAAGGAGCTGCTTGTCGCGTGCACGACGGATGCAGATCATACGGTATTCATGCCTAGCTTTCTCTATTCAAAAAGTCGAGCGCGCTCGCGAGACTTTGCGGCGCATTCATAGAGTCGGGTCGGCTTCCGGCGGCGCGCGTCTTCATCATCTTCGTCGCAAGCTGCCGACGGCCACGCGTCAAAAGCTCCCCGAAAAAGGAGACAGGCGCTTTTCTCTCGGAGCTGCCGGAGAAGCTTATACTTACGATACTAGAGCACAGCAACGGCAGCAGCAGCAGCAGTAGCAGCAGAGTTGGAAAACAATGACACATACTCGTTGCACGAGAGCTCGAGTCTCTCTAATACGCGCTCGCACGACGCTTTTCTACGTGCAGCAGTACATAACAGCAGCGAGTACTCGGCTGTCTTCTTAATACAGGGAGTGCGTCGTGCGCTCGTCGGCATACGGCAAGAGACGAGGATGCATCGGGGACGGCATAATAGTCGCGAGCGAACGCATTTCGCATTTCACTGACAAGTCGAGTCGCAGCCGCTACAATAGTAGTAGGTAGTACAGTAGGCAGTAGTGAAGCTGCAGGAAGCTATAGCGCGCGAGAGAGGGTCTATAAGCTCGTACGAGCTGGTGCCACGCGAGATTGCCGCGTCGAGCTTTGGCATCCATCCAAAAAGCTCGTCGAGTAATCTGCCTTTGTTTCGCCGCGAGCCAGCCGATATATTTACAGGCCTTTTTGTTTCGTGCGACTATACAGATCACTACACACTGTAGGGAAATATACAGCGGAGCAGCGCCTCGTGCGCATAGCTGCAGTCCCGGTGATAAGGGGTTAATGACACGCTTTGCGCTTAGGCCGAATGAAAAAGCGCCTAGGCTGCAGCTCTAGTATATATACAGCAGTCGAGCCGCGTATTTATCTAGCCCGAGGAGCTTTTCGCGTTTATATGGCGCGGCGCAGCCTAGCCGTTTGCGTACCGATAGCTGGCGGACTTAATAATTTCTTTGAAAATATCAGCTCCATAGTGCTGGGCGCTCGCGAGTACGTCGACATAGACGCGCGGCTGATGATGCACTCCAAGCTCACGCTCCTATACTGTATACCCAACGCGTGTACAGAGTGTTATATACACTCACACACACACACACACACATAGTGCAAAGCTCTTTATCCCGGTTGCTCGGGTACTCAAGTGTCTCCATTGTACACACGCGGCTCGCGAGCTCGCAAGCTCGCTGTATCGTATAGCGCCGTATATCGAGCAAGCAGTATACTATAGTCGCGGATTATCTTGGTCGTTATCTTTTGCAACTTAATCCGCTTCTAATTCGGGGGGGGGAGCTCGTTTGTTTCACGATCGACTCTATGCGCAGCAACGAGTACGATAATGACGTCAATAAGGCGGATGATCCAGCAGCGCCTGCACGACAGCTGCCTGCACGAGGGCCGCCACTGCGAGGCAATCAGCGACAGCTAAATCCGCGCGTGACGTCGTCGATAAACAGCACAGCAGCAACATAGGGAAGTCGAGCAATGGGCTGGGCCATCGGCGGTCTGGGCGTCTTCATCGTACTACTCTTGGCAGCCGGCGCGTCCCTCATCATCTGCAAGCGCTACCCCGTCAACTGGCAATGCAATCCGCGCGACGTCTGGTTCATCTGCGAGGACTGGCGCAGGAAGCTCTCCTGGCTCTGGGCACCTAGAGAGGAGAAGGTCAGAATTCGTGCACTTTTTATAATATTATCCTTTCGTTTGCCTCGCGATACGTGCGTTACGTACATTTGTTCGTGTCCCAACACGCTCGATCCGTCGATTATTTCCATCGCACTTCCTGTTCGCTCACTTGGACTCGATCTCGAAAAGCATCTGGCTCGCATCCCCACATATCGCGAGCTAATACTCTCCAATAATAATTAAGCTGAATATCCGAGTTGCCAATGCACTATAACATACACGCACCCACATGGTATGTCATCTCTGGGGATATACGGCTGCTTTATTGGAATTCAATGACGCGACTCGAGTCCAGCTATGTCAAACGCGCGCGTATATACAATCAACAGTTTCCATTATGACTGCTGGCGATAATTGAAAGCGCCGCATATATGCGCTCGCGTCCTCGATATTAATTATCCGCGAGCGCGCGCGAGCATCGTCCGTGCTTGCGGCACAGGATCGAGAGCGAGCTACAGAAAGCTCGCGAGCTTTTTCAAACAGCCGATCGCGTTGACGATTTTCTGATCCACTGCCTGCGTAGGTGGGATTGGTCAAAGCTCAGCACCCGACGGCTCAGGTTCCGGGCCTCTATCGACAATCCAGCACGAGCTCGTCCCAGTACATACTGACGAGCGACGGCGATCTGCGCTTGGACGCCCGCGAGGGAGCCTTCACCAGGTCAGTCAACTTGACATGTTATAGCCATACATGATGTTCACGCGTGGCTCATTCTCGATGTATATTATATGCTGCAAATCACCCGACATAATATAACGTCAAGCGTTGCGGTGAGTCTCGAGCCTCCGAGGCGTCGCGTGACGGGTACATACACACAAATCGGATCATCGGTCAGAGACTGCCGACGATAACCGACTCTACGCGTATTATACGCGAGCCCATATGTATAATCGTACCGCAGATTCGAGTCGGTGGATAAGGACGTGCATCCAGCCCCGGTGCAGCCGCCAGTCGGACCCCTGGCAGCCGTGGTAGGTAGCAGCTCGAGCAACGAGGCGCCGAGCGCGGCCACGGCGGCTCAGTCCTCGGCGTCCGCGTCCAACATACCGCCGCAGCCGTTGCGGCCGGCGCCACAGCCACGGGCCACGGCCAGGCCCCGACCGTCGCCGCTGCGCACGGAGCTGCTGCGCCAACGGGAGTGCGAGCCCAGCCCGCTGACTCCGCCGCCGGCCCAGTTTCTCCTCGGCAAGTTCAACTCCTCGTCCGCGAGGGGCACCGTCTTTCACTTTCAACACGAGCTGCCGCCGCCGCCGTTGCCGCCCCCGCCGGCCCATGCCAGCCTCAGCATGCACAGGACCTCGCCGGCCATGATTTTCAATAACCACAGGTTCGTTTCGGCCTAGTACGGAGGGCTGCACTACGAATTAATGCAACATTTTACGGCTTTTTTTTTACGCGTAAACTTTGCTCATTGGCAGCCCATTTCACTCTGGTGCGCTGCGCGAGCCAACCTGCAACATTCGTTACAGTGTCCAAGGGACTGCCTTGTGCGAGGGTCTCTTTGACGAAAAGGGCGATCCCGATGGCGCCAACGAAGACAGCCCGCCGTACGGCAGCTACGACATCGTTCATCAAGGCAAAACCAACTACGATTCCCTCTACTCTGCGCAGGTAAGTGCACATACATCCTTGTACTCGTGCGTCGATGTAACTTATATTCCTGCGATGGCTATTCGTAATCGATGCTCTCAGGACGCGTTCATGCATCGCGTGCAGAGCAACCGCAACCTCGAGGATCTGGAGCGCATAGCCCGCTACATCCAGAGCTTACCCGACGTCGCGCCGGCAACGAGTCCGACCCTCTCGGGGGGTCGGAACTACTTTTTCGACGACCGACTCGCGGACAACGACGAGGAGGAGGTCGCCAGTCCAGCGGCTCCGCCACCCCCAGCGCCGCCTGATCCAGGCCCCGAGCAACGACAAATCAACAACATCGATGATTACGACGACGAAGATGACGACGATGACGACGACGACGACGACGATATCAGGGTAGGCCGGAGAAGAGGAGGTCGACGCGCGGAACCCACCACTGGCGAGAAAATATTCAAAGCTCTGAGGGCCGTCACAAAAGCTCAGAATTACATTGACGCCAACGAATTCTACAAGTGAGTATACATTGATTATGTAGATTGTATAGAATTCAAGGTGAGACTTTAAATTCTTACTGTATTGCTTCCGCGTATGTGGTGATACGTACCTATGTAGGTGTGCCGCGTTAAGTTCACGACGTCACTAATGACGTTATTAATTAGGAAACTTCGAGTAATCGCGCTATGATTAATCGTCGTCGAGATAAAATATATATAAAACGACGCGTGTGACGGAATCTAAACCGACTTACGAGCATATAGTCATGCGCACTGCGGAAAATGAATTTATAACGATATTTAAATGCTATTTATCATGCGCTTGACATTTGTCCCTACAGTTCGATCCTGTCGTCGGCTCAGCAAGTTCAAAATCTCGTCACCTCCCAGGCGGTTATGGAAAGCAAGAGATTGAATAATTCAAGAGCCACCTCGCCCTACGAAAAAATGATGCTGGCACCGAGGGCCTCGGACTTATTTAGTCCAGAACTGAATCAGGAAGCTCAGAGGACTGCCCAGCAGGTATAATTATTATTTTTTTCTGATATTTGCTTGCGTAACGATGTAAATAACGAATGATAAAATTCGTGGCAGGTTTCGAATAGTTTGCAAGATCCACCAGCCTCTCCGTTGCTTATGAAAGATTTGGATCAACAGGCCTACAATTCTTATCTTTCTGATCCAAGTTTCACTCGAACTTCCGAGGTAAGCCGAAATTTAATCATAATGAGCAACATTTTCAACAACGACGAACATTAATAATTGTGCACCATTATTGCTCTAGGAAATCTTCAATAGTCTGGAACAGCGTCGCAAGAGCGTGCAAGAACGCATGAACGGATTTCAAGAGCTGCTCGAGCACGAGGCCGAGGAGTCCGAGCGCCGACGCAGCAGTCAGGAGTTCCTGAACGTGCTCGAGGAAGTGCAGATGAAGCGTCGCTTGTCGCAAGTCTTCGAAGACGTCGGCCAGGAGAACGGCGAGATAATCGTGCCCGACATACTGGGCGAGCTCGTGAACGGCAGCTGTCGCTCGAGGCGCAGCTCGCTCGAGATCAGCTTCAATTTCGACGACATGTCGTCGCTGCAGCGGGCCATTAGCTGCGAGAGCGTCTGCTCGGACACGAGTGTCGTGCTCAACGACCTCGAGGCGGGCGACGACGAGCGGCAGACCGTAGGTCTCATCTGCATCGGTTTGGAGCACGACAGGTAAGCGCAATTAATAATATACAACGTCGAGTTCGAGAAGAAAAACAATTGTTTACTCGGATGTAGGTGGCCGGGTCACGTGGGCGAGACGGACTTATTGGTGAGCGTTCTCGAGGCCCGAGATCTCACGGTCGCCGACGGTAGTCCTGCTCAGAACACCTTCGCGAGGGTCTACCTGCTGCCGGACAGACAAGCCTACGCCCAGACCAGAGTCTACAAGGACACCAATTGTCCGAGCTATCAGGAGAACTTCTCCTTCCCTCTGGACGGTGGCTCGGCGGGCAGGAGCCTCCTCGTCGAGGTCTACTCCTACGAGTTGCCAAATGAGAGTTCGGCAGACGGCGAGGCCACGATACTGGGCGAGGCCAATCTGCGCCTGGACCAGACGCCCAGGCCCCCGGCCACCACGTCTTGGCTCTCGCTGCTGAGTCCAGCGCCCCAGCTCGGTGCTCTGCTCTTCTCTCTTAGCTACTTGCCGACGGCCGAACGACTCACACTGGTGGTGGTCAAAGCAGTCAATCTTCGAGGAGCTAACGAGAATTCCCCGGGAGATTTTTTCGTCAAGGTAATTAAGCTCGACTTTTTTACTTTTTTCGCCTACAAAAGAATAAACGCATCTTTATTTTACTTTGGCTAGATATACTTGTTGCAACAAGGCAAAAAAATGCACAAAAAACGCACATCCATCAAGCGAGGCGAGAAGAGCCCCATCTTCAACGAGGCCATAATATTCAAAGTGCCGGCACATTCTCTTCAGGTAATTATTTTTTCCAGATAGGTTAAAATTCAAGATTTACGAATCATCTTAGTAAGCTTTTTATTTTGAGCCTTGTATTTCAAGTAGCTGCTTGTAAAAGAAATAGCAGTTTATTTTTATATCTCTTACACTTCAAAGTAGTAACACTATACTCTATGACCCATTTAAATTTGCGAGCAATTAGTTCAAATAAAAGAGTTCACACCTTGAATAGAAAAAATGGGTCGACTAGGTAGAGCGAATATTATAGTCGAATAAATATGGCTAATCTATTATGGACTTGTGCCGCAGAACATTCAATTGAGACTGACAGTCGCCGAGGTTTCCGGAGACTTGAGCAACACTTCGAAGGCCTACTCGGTCGGCCACATAATCGTTGGGGCATCGTCCACAGGCCGAGCCGGCACGCACTGGCGTCAGATGCTCGCAGCTCTCAGGCGGCCTGCGCCCATGTGGCATTCGCTAAGGAAATAATAAGCCAAATCTATACACACACAACACACATCATCCTATAAATGGTATTCGAGAGGCAAGTGCGGCGTTAATTACGATTGCGTCGCCAGCTTCTCATTCGATGAACTTCTTCCAGACGTTCAGAGTTGTTGTTGTTTCTTTTTTCAATTATTTCTGTTTCGTCACTCGTTACTTCATCGGTTAGAATTACGATTAGCTCGTACTTACAATTCTATGTAACAAAAAAAAAATGAAACACCGCGTCCAATAATCGTCATAGTATTTGATATAAAAATAGTGTTCTCTAATTGCGTGAGATACGTTGTTATTAAATGAAAAAAAGTATTATTATTATAAAGGAAAAATAATTCATCTAGCATGGATGATAAAATAACACTTTTTTATTATCTGCACATAAAATAACTCTTAGGGGAAATGTCGGATAGTTAGATTTTTAAACGAATTAAAATCGTGCAATGAATTTCAAACTCCGGACAAGTGTGTTGTTAAGTTAAGACAAAATTATGAGGTGTGACAATACTGAAAATGCAAAAAATTGTACGAGCTATAATTTTTCATTTTCATCCGCGAATCATGTGAATGAACATTGGAAAATTGAGGCAGTGCTAAAATGTGAAATATGACTCGACGCATTGAATGTGCATATGTGTGCATGTAAGTGGGTACGAGTTTGTTCATGCATGCATTACATAATAATAATAATAATAATAACATTCCGCATGTACATAGAGCCAACAAAAAATGCATTTTTCGACGAATCTCGTGCATCTTCTGAGCATCATCTTATCGAGCATGTACATTACTTTTAATTAATGATTTAGTGATGACGATGCTACTACATCCAAACTGCCTAAAAGCAAGTTTATTGAAGCCTTTTCAAAGCTTATATCTTAGAATAAGGTACATATTATTGTAATTGAAAAGATTTACGTATATTTATATATACATGTATGCGAGCGTACATGTGTATACATACACGCATATTATAATATACAAATCCTGATTACAAGTTGTTATGCATGAAAATTCATATTTTCGAGAGAATTTTAAGTATACACGGAGTTGATAAATTAGCGAATTCTTGTTGTTAAATATGCGCTTGGGTAAATCACGGTATTAAATAGGAATTTAAGATGTGCAATGTCAAGATGTGAAAAAAGTCGCATTCTCCGACATAAATGTGAGCTATATACGACAAACATTTTTGCGTTTGATGAGATACTTTAATTGCTTGACCAAGAAATAAAAAAAAAGAAACAAACGAGTTTAGAGCATGTAAGCGATTGGAAAAAATTGTGCATATAGGTAAAAAAAAACGAGTTAAGGTATAGAAATATTGAACTACTAAGCAAAAGTCTGAAATGCCACGAGGAATAAATATAAATATAGTTCTAATTCGCTATGAAATTGAATGTCATAAAAAAATGTCTACTAGCATGAAAAACTTACTGTTTTTGATGTCATATGTGTTCTCAGAATTTTTATTAGAATTCACCCTTTTTAGAGCCTTAAACTATGAATTTAGAAAAAAAAACTTCAGACCTCTGAAAAAGAATGATGGTTGATTCTCAAAATTCTAATAAGTTCGGGGGCATGTATGACATGAAAAACAACAAGTTTAACATGCTAGAAGAAAAAAATGTTGACCATTCGATTTTCCAGAGAATTCGTATACATTTTTTTTGCAACTAAAAGTATCGTCGTATAACATCGTTGAACTTCTAAATTTATTTTTACGTAACCAATGTCTGCTTATTGAACGGAATACGAGACGCCACACACATAACACGTACGTAACGCAAAGAAGACACCATAATTCTATGCATGTGAAATCGTACGACTTTAGCATTTTAATACATTCGTCAAATACTGCACACTCGAGGGTAAACAATCATAAAGTTAACTCGAATCGCGTGAAAATATGCTTATTGTATCCTGAAAAGTGGATCCTCCTGCTCTTCCTCGGTATGGCCTTGAAAACGAAGAGAAACCTAACTATACATGAATACATATAACTTTTATACCTTTCAAAGCGTCGATCTAAAACTAAAGAATCAAAAAATTAAAAATCACACAAATACACGCACACTCATGCTCACTCATAAACACACATTTATAGGCAGAAATTCATTCGTTTGAACGGAATCAAATGATGAAGCTTTGATTGTTGAAATAATAATATGTATAATCGCTTCGTCGAGAAATGTCTATGTCGATCTTGTATCATAATATCACACACCTACGAAGAACAAAAAAAATACGAATACGCTTTTGATATAGAACCAAGCGTTCTTACTGTATAGATATGTTATCGTATTCGACGAAATGAAACTTTTTTAAATGACATAGCGAAGGTTGTAGCAACGTTGAAATAAAGACGAACGTTTTCTATGTAATGACACAGATATATCAAATTGTAAAAAAAAAAATATCGTTTGTTTACGGTGCGGCTCCGACGAACGTGTTTCTCCATTAAAAAACAAAAAGATAAAAATTTAAAGCGTAAGTTTTACATTTAAGCAAAGGCATATAAACTACAGGTACCTGCACGTATTTTCATTGGAAAAACAGCGTTCGACCTTTTTCGATATAAAAATTCGTAATTCTGTAACTAGAAACAATTAGGTCTTTTCTCGAAACCTCATATGGAACAATCAATTTTTATATAAGTAATTGTTTGTTGGGAGGCCTACTAACAATTTCTAAATGTACGGATCAAGAACTTTGACTAATTGGCGTTCTGAGAACAAAGTTAAATTTCATTTAATCTGTCAAATCATCAGCTCAAAATTATTATATCTGCAAATAGCCTTTTTCATTTGTCCAAAATTTTGTGTTTGTCCCTTGCTCAAGTTACTTATGATTGCTTTCATTTTATATTAAAAAGACTTTCGAGGATTGATGGAAACGGAGTGATGAACAGATGATGAATTGCCGTGCGTTGAAATATTACAATACGGAACAAAAAGTATGAATGAAAAAAAAAATACGACAATAATAGTGCCGACCGATTTAAGTTGCTTGAAAAATAATCTCATATAATAAACGTATAACTAATTTCTTACCTATACACATGTTTCTGAAACGAGCACAAAAGACAAAGAGAAAAAAACTAAAGCATACAAAAATGTGAAAAGATGCGCAACAATATAAGTGTACTTGAACGCCTATTATTAATCACGTTTAGTGTAAATCATTGATATTTTTCTCCTTCAATTTATGAATTATTATTTTTATAACGCTGAATTGCAAATTAAAAGCTTGCGTGAGAATGCGATCCTATATCCGTTAGATTCGTAAACAAGATTCAAAAGGTGGGAGGATGATAATTCGGAGAAAAACGAATCATTTGATATCTTTTTTACGTCTGTCTGTGATACTACGAGGGCACAGTACATTATTCTGTGTATAATAAATTTAAGATTTTAAATCCTGATTTGTAATATTGTTGTTGTGTGACGTCTATCGGTGCCTATTATGTATCCTTGGAGTGCATAATTAGACAATTGTACGTTCTACGTTGAGACGCACGAACATTTCACGATGGATTTTTCAACAAATTTCGATTGCTCTTCCTGTGGTTGAAATGGGAAGAAAAATAAATATTATTATACGATCGCGGAAGGACTGTACGTTTAGAAGAGATTACGCAACTTTATCGTATAAGATCAAAGAATCGTATTGAATTTCAAACTCGTCACATCCAATTCTACGTTGTTACTCTCTAGAACATTGATGATAAAAAAGAGAAAAAAAACAAATTCAAGTCGAGTGCACACACTTTTTTGAAAGCCGCAGAATTCGACAAAAGTAATTGCGCATAAACCGGTCGCCTTTTTTCATAAAAATCACATATGATACAACTACGTTGGTACCTTCCTTCCACCCCCTCTAATACCTCCTTTTAACGTCTACCATGAAAACACTTGTATGTGTATGTATGTACGTTATAATGAAAAAAACAAACTAGAAGCAAAATATATAAAAATAAATATATACATAATATTCTGTCGTTGTTATTGATCGTTACACGATTATATTTACAAAAAAAAGTTTAAATATATGCGTATAACATAAGAGTATTGGGTATTATACTGTGTGCACTTGGTTGTGCAGAGCAGAAAATATATTTAATTTACAAAAAAATTCTCTGTATTTCTCTATTTTTCTCATTTACCTTCACAATATATGAACATAAACAATATAAATAATTAAACATTTAAATGAATAATTAGTTATCATTATGAAAACATACAAATAAATAACAACAATATGATATCAAATTGTTTGGTAAATAAATTTTTTTTTAATATCAACGTCTTGACTGCTTTCAATCGATATATCTCTCAACATGATAAAATCCTTTTTTTTAAAGATACAATAATAATTATATACTGATATTTTTACAGCGTATATAGATGCGCGAAGAATTAAATATAATAATAATATCTCAGTTTTCATAATCGAGGCATATATTATGATTCAATTGGCTAACAGATGCAAATAAACACTCATGAATAAAATTAAATTATTGGACCCATTAAGCGCACATTGCACTGTTGCATCGATGCAATTCAGCGCCTTTGTAAAATGAGCGTATTTCATATAATAAGGCACGTTACAGATGTGGAAATGAAAACATTTAGAAAGTAATAAGAACGATTAGCTTAAAAACGATTAAAATGAATTCTTCGTGTTAGACAAAACAGGGATTATTCAGCTTTTGGACGGATCGCTGCGTTTCGAAGTACTCGGGCACTTTTGTTTACATATAATTAATATCAAGGAGACCATCATAGGAATTCGTTAGTGGACGATTACATTACATAGATGATGATGATGATGCGATATATATATGTATATGCAATTAAAATTAATAATAATAGTAATTATAATTATAATAATAATATATGTATGTACAAATTGATATGGAAGACGCGGAAGAGATTAAAAATTATGTCGAGCCTTCATTGGTGGCCGGGCGACGAGAGCCGTCGCGCCGGCTGGAATGGATTCTGCAGCAATACGGGAGAGCACTCGATGACCCTTAGGAGCAGCGCATCGATGTAGTCCTCGAGGTCATGCAGGCGCTTCTTCTTGTCGGCTACGTCGAGTTGAAGGTTCAAAATCAACTCGATCAGATCCTAAAAGAATACGGGAATCGTGTCAAAATTAGTCAGGGTATAGGGAGTCTTGCGAGGACGATGCACGCGATGAGAGAATTAACGCGCTATCGAGAAAAAGAAACGGCGCCACGCGTAACATCGGAAGAACTCGACGGATCGATTCGAGCGTAATAGTCATGGCTATTTTCGAGCTAAAAAAAAGAGGAAAAAAATCGACGTCGGTGAAAGCTCGTCGCAGTAGGCGCGCGAGTTACGCATGCAAGACGAGCAGGAAGGAGAGTCCGTACGAGACACCTACGAAACGATATTGCCGTTTATAGCTAGGCGCGCACGGCTGCTATATAAATGTATTACTGCAAGATTAGCCCGACGATCAGCGACGAAAAGAAAAAAAGAGAAGGAAAAATCGCGAAAGAGTCAGCCTCAGCTATCCACCTACGCGTAACGCGAGCGGCCGCGATCGAGATTCTCAGTTGTTGTAAGAATTATACAAGAGAAAGCCGAGCGCGAGCGACTTACGAACAACTGAAAATTTCTCGAATCTCCGCGGAGCGACAGTTATGCGGAAAATGCGAGAAAATCGAGCGATCGTTTCTGCCTTAACGCATAGTAGCCAACGCTGCGCACTTTCGCTGTCTGGGCGATTTCCTCCCATTTGGGAGTTAATCGCGAATTGCTAAGCTGATACGAGCACAATTTGTTTCGGCCTCCGTAAAACGAGTTTTTTTTTTGTTATCATTCGTCACAATGATACCAGCAACCGAGCACACGCGTAGAGCACAGACAGCAGACGAATGAAATCGCTGTGAATCGGGACACGACGTACGTGAGCCATGCGGTATTTACCTCTCTGGACTTGCCCTCGAACTGCTCGGCGAGCTCGCGCGGCAACTTGCCCGACTGAGAAATCAGGTCGTTGGTTCCCAGGCGGGTGTTCTCCTCGCCGCCGATTATTATGCGCTCCGACGAGAACTTTTGCTGCTTGTCTTTCTTCTTGTTGTCCAGCTGCTTTTGCACGAGCTGCTGGTGCAACTGTTCTCTCTGCTTGTCTTTGTTGGATTTGATTTGCTGCTGCTGTTGCTGCTGTTGTTGCTGCTGCGTAGGCGTTTGCGGTCGTTGTTGCGACTGTTTGTTGCTCGTTTCGCGCTTGGAGTCCGCCACGGACGTCAGCACGACGTCGGATCTAGGCCGAGGTATCGGTGACGGTACGACGTTGTTGCGAGATTCGCTGACTGGTCCGCTGTTACTCTCCGTAGTCGAGTCCTCGACTGACACTTTGGGACTCATACGCTTCTGGTCCCACCTATTCAAACGAATCAAAAAACCACATGAATATGAATTTTTTGAGACAAGTAGCCGATAGATAATGATACAATACCTTTTTAAGGCATTACTCGTTTGCATCCCATAGAGTTTTTGGCCCCACTCATCTTCCTGTTGCTTTTCGAGTTTTCCTGTACCAGGGCTGCCTCCGTTGCCGCTGTTGTTCAACGCAAAGCGTGGTGGTTTGGAAGGAGGCAAAGTGGCCGATCGATTCTGCTGCAGTTTTTCGTTCTCGGTTTGCGAGAGGTTGGCATCGGAAAACCTGGCCAAGGGTGATTCGGTGCGATTTCCCTCGGTGAGCTTTCGGCCGCTCCTCGGTGTCGCCGCCGAGTTGATCGACGAGGTCGAACTCTTGTGCGACAGATCGTCAAACTGCAAAGGAGAATTATTGTTATTACCTGGGTAGATCGACGTAAGTCAACTGGCGGATAATTAGTGTTGTTTGTTTTGTCGCTCACAGTGAACTCGTCATCGTCCTCGTCGCTGATGACCCCGGGATCCGCCTCGCCGTGCTCCTGACCGGCTGTTCTCGGCCTCAGACCTCTGACGACGGCCGGGAACTCACCCTCGTCGCAGATGTCGTCGAGCTTGTTCTTGCTGCGGCTCTTGCCCGATACCTTATGGCCGATGGACTTGGCGAGCTTCTTCAGGCTCTTGCGCTTCTCGATGCTGGCGATGCTGAGCAGACTGCCGCCGAAGTTCTGGGCCTTGGACGAGAGCTGACCTAGCGAGCTTTTGTGGCGCTCCTTTTTTGTGAGGTCGGACAGACTGCCGGCACCTGCCTTTACGATGAAACCCACGCGCACTTCGAGCTCGCCCCGTTCCTTCGTTTTCTCTTTGCCGGGTTTGCCCTCCAGAGTGAACCTGAAAATCATCATCCAGTCAGCTATAAAGCGTTTCCAAGTTTCGCTCGTAAAATCGTGAGCAAACTGCGTCATTCGCGCTCCTGACGTTTGAATTTCAAAGAAATTGAGACAAATACGAAAAATTGCGACTGGTAACCAGGCAATGCAGCCATTGAGCGACGTACAAACTCTGGTTAAAAGCGACGCGAGGCCAAACGTGACTCGAGTGGCGTATACACACAATACAAATCTATATGCATGCACAAACGCGATAAATTTGCGTACATTGGGCTGCTGGTATCATGTGTCGGCAATTATGTTGTCTGCGTCTCGTCGCGGAATAGTTAAAATGATGCGCTCGTACATGGAAGAGTCAAGACAGGCGCATATCAAGTAAGAGCAAAGAAAAAAACACAATGATTCCTTCTTCCTGTGCTCGAGTCTTGACTTTCTCGTTTTCATTATTTCCATTTCTCCAGTCTTGTTCGAGAACAGAATCAGCAACTATATTTCGAATTGAAATAATTTTTGTCAATTACCATCGGTTTTTGGGCATCTCGTAGATGTCGAATTTGGCCAGGGGTATGCGCACAGTGCCGAGGAACTCATCGCCGATGAAGTTGCGATGTAGCACCGTGAGCACAATCTCGGCCGTGTTGCCATGCTCGGGTATTCGCAGCTCGCACTCCTCGTGCCACTCGACATTCGACGTCGCTTTTTCTTTGACCGACGTCTGGTACTTGTCCTTGCCCAGGCCGATCGTCACGAAGCAGTCGTTCGTTTCTGCAATCAGCGCATTTTTTTATAAAAGGCCCTTGGCGTGTATATAAACGCCACTTGAATGATATTGTATAATGATATAAAGTGCGTGTGCATATTACTGTGTACGCGAGCCATGCAGCCGCTTCAGTTTTACGATTGTTCTTGCGTGACCTGAATCACGGTCTCTCGCTCGACGAGAGCTGCATCTCGCGATCTGCTACCATATACACATGTTGCTCATACGAGTTTGTGTATGCATTAATTTCCTTGCGTTTCTTTAGAAAGTTAGCGCTCCCGCGCGTATATAATATGTGAACGCAGCAGCAGCGGCATATACATATTATACATATCATATAAAAGATACCGACTACTACGTCTGCAGCACACGCTCATCCGTAAATATATTACATTTCACATGTAATTGCATTTAGCATTATTTCGATTTGCAGTCGAGCTTGAACGATATTATTAAAGCCGTTGCCGAGACGAGCTCTCGATCGCGAAATATGTTTCTTCTTCTTTTGTGTTTTATCTTTTGCTCTCTGTATACTATATATGTCTTTTGAATGACTTGGTGTCTATCGTCGATTTTTTATGTCACTTTCAAGTGGCATTGTCATCGTTTTTCGAAATTTACGCCTTTATCTGTTTTATTGTATATATTTCATAAATTATATATTTTACGCGCGCAGCGATTAACGGTACGCTAAAAATTATTTTTCTCGTTAATTGGAAAAAAGATAAAGCGATTCGAAAGTTTTTCTCGCGATCGCGCTTATCGTCTTCTTTTTCTTTTTTTTTCTTCTACATATTCTACGCTCGAAGGGGATTGAAAATGAAGTTTGTATAAATTTATTTAGCGAGTGTATCTTTAATATAAACCAAAGAGGCTACGTTTCTCGCGCTTATCACTATAAATATCTATGTTAATATACGGTCTCGCGCGATTAAGAAGACAACGCTACGAAGCTGACATCATCGTAATTTTTTCGGCACTCAACGCGAGATTAGAATTGCCGCGAAACGACGATCTAATTATCAAGAAGCGAAAAAAAATGACAAACAAATAGTTGTAAAAGGCTGATGAGTAATGCTTCAACGATATCGCATTATGTGTACAGATTAAATGCGTTACACGATACACATGCCACACGAAACTGTGACAATACGCCGCGTAAACGGAGAAATGTCAAGGTATGCGCTGTTCGGTATACGCGTGTCGCGTGCCGTGCGATCTGCTGTTCTGCATGTACGTATACACACGAGCGTCTAGGCAACACAAGTGTCGTATCTTTTTTTTGAAAAGCTCATCAGTTTTTTGAATAGGCTCCGCGACAACGACGACGATAAATAAACAGGCGTAAGCATATTTTGTATGTGTGTCAGAGATTGCGGCAGACTTTTCGCGAAAGTCGCTGCTGTAGTACACTGCTTATGCACATTACACATGTGTATACACGAATCGAAAAAGTATGTCTCGGTCAACGCCAAGCGATACATGTGTCCAAGCGCAGCAGAACTTGCAATGCGCAAGCTGGCTCGCGTACAAATAATATAATCGCGCATAATGTACGATGTACGTAAATATAAACATGTAAAAAGTCGTTTTTTTTGTACTCACTGTTTTTGCCCTTGGTTATGAGGTTTTTGGCTCGTTGCACTGTAATTCATATAGATATCAATGCATGAGACGCTGCACATCGTTTATACAATTTAATGCGAAAAAATTCATGACACAATGCGTATTATATGAGGATGAATCGACTATGGATGTGTATAGTTTGTACGTGCCTCGTTTTTGCTAGTAAATAGAAAGAGCGAGAGAGAGAGAAAGAACAAGCTATGACAGAGAGATCGAGAGACAAGAGTGGGGAAGAGAGAAAAGGTATATAGCATCGGTTCGCAGCTGGTTTACGGGACTTTTCGTCATATATAAGCCGTAGCTGTATATAGGAGCAGCAACAGCAAAACAATGTACTCGCGACTCATAATCATTTGGAATTTACCGAATGTTTCGTAACGCGCAAAAGGTTAGAGGCAAGAGTCTGGAATGTCAAAACGCGAGACGATCTCTTCTTTCGTTTTTTTCTATCCATCGTCTAAGCTTTTCTCTCTCTCTCTCTCTCTCTCTCTCTAACACACAACGCTATTTATATATCGATGATACGCGCGACTCCGTGTACGAGACAATGCGCGACGACGACCCGGATGTGCTGTCATTTTTTCGCTATTAAAAAACATGCCAGTGACGTTGCTGAATGATTACTCACCGACCACTTGTACGTGCGTAGGGCTCCACATGTCGAATCAGGCCCCCCCGTATCTATATCACAGGCACACCACACGACTCGGTAGAGGATTGTCCGCAGCTGGTCCGCGCTGCGATCTCGCCTCGGTATTTATTAATAACAATAACATGCATCTAGAGCTCTGCTGGCCACATAGTTGATATACACAGTCACATCGGTACACACATGCACGGAATAGAGAAACGACAGAAAACACAGAGAGAGACAGGCAGACGGGCGGGCGCGCGCGCACCTTATTTTCTCAACGAGTTGGCTCGCTGCTGCTACGACTGCTGCTGCTGCTGCTACCGCTGATCCGATGCAAGCTTCGACAATGACGAATTATAACGTGTATATATGTGTGTGGGTGTGTGTGTGTATACATGCACGCGCGTATGTGTGCGAGTGTGCCATGTAGCGAGCTGTAACGAGCTGAAAAGAGACGAACGACGCGCGATGTACGAGCGAGCGAGCGAGAGAGAGAAAGAACAACGGAGGATGAGGCGGCGGCGACGCGCGCAGCGCAACACCTCGAATCGGAGCTCGCGAGCTCAGGTGTGTAGATCGGAGCACGAGGTGCCCGCTCCAATCGCCAGTCGCACTTATACAGCTACAAAGCGTTCAGCTATACTAGCAGTTCGGAGCTCGGAGTTCGGTCGCCCGGTACCAAGCGCGAACCTGGTAGCGCGGAGAAATCTCTGCGCGACGATCTAATCGTTCGCTTATGAATAGTCACGCTCGCTCGTTGAATTTCGTTGCGATCGAGAAAATGACATTCGAGCGTGAAAAAAAATACGAATTCTGCAGCCTTTTAAACTCTCGATAGTAAACACAGAGAGACTTTTAAACCGTGCCGCGCACCAACGTAGTAGTAGCAGCTCTTGGTCGGCTAATAGGTTTTCTGAAAATCCCACAGGTGGTCGCGCGCTCGACTGCGTGGCGCGATCTCGTGCGCAACCGATACACGATCGTCTACTTGTATAAATTGTACATCGGATCGTTTGTTATTACATGTCCTATACAGCAAGACTATTAAAGAAGTATAAAATGAGAGAGAGATGGGCCGATGGAACAGTCCCCCCTGCGTAGAACGGAGCCGATGGCTCGAGTAAGCTATACTCGCGCGTCTGCTCCGATTTGCTCGAGATCGGCTACTCGCACGAGATGACGGTGGCGAGTATACATAGCGTGTATTATAATTTGTAATGCAGAAACTGGTCGTCGATCGAGCGGCGCGTCTTCGGCGTCGTCGTCGCCGCATATCTCTGTTTCGCGAACGGCCTGCGCGCGATAAATGTATTAGCTCTCTTGCTCGGGCCCGCGCTATAGACACTCGAGCCCGATTTCTGTGTGTATAATATACTTGCACGTACGAGAGGGGGATCGGTCTCTCTCTTTCTCTCCTTCTTGCGCTGGTATGTAGTGCAGTCTCGGCGTGTTCGCGAGCGAGTGCGAAAGAGAGAAAGAGTCGCGCGGCGCTGAGATATCCGAGCGAGTGCGAGCGAGAGTGCCGGAGTGTATGGTATAGTTGCATGAGGGAGCAGCACAACACACAACGCACACACTTACGTACACGGATAATATTATATATCGCCGGAGTGCCTGAGTATATACGCCAGCGAGTCGGAGAGGCACAGCAGCAGCAGCAGCACAGCACGTGTGGTTACAGGCGCTCCGATGTGTCGCGCTCTCACTCGTCGCCGCGAATTCGCGCAGTTCTGACGACTCGCTCGCGTCAATTGTATCGTGCATAGTACACCTTTTGCGAGGCTGCCTTCTTGCCTATCGCAGTGCGAGCATAGCAGCTGTGCGATCTAGCAGCCGAAAAGTCAACAAACAAACGAAAAAGAGTAATACCGTGCGCGCGCGTGTGTGTGCCGAGCATAGAAACGATCGCTGATCGGGGCGCAGTCGGATACGCGCCGCAGGACCTTCGCGAGTGCGTGTGTATAACATATACAATCTCGAGTCGCTCTCGAGAAAAAGAGAGCCAAAGAGAGACGAGTCTCGAGAGTGAGTGAGACAGGGAGAGCCCAGAGCCCAGAGCCCAGAGAGAATCTGCGAAAGAGAGAGAAAGATAGATCCAAGAGAATGGAGCACCAAATTCGCGAGCAGCAGCTGCCGTGCGCCCGACTCTGTCACATCATCAAGTGGGAGGACTTTGACGGCTACGGCTTCAATCTGCACGCGGAGAAGGGCCGCCAGGGCCAGTTCATCGGCAAGGTCGACGAGGGCTCGCCCTCCGAGGCGGCGGGTCTGCGCAAGGGCGACCGCATAATCGAGGTCAACGACGTCAACATCACCGGCGAGACGCACAAGCAGGTCGTCGAGCGCATCAAGTCGCTGGCCGGCGAGACGCGGCTCCTCGTCGTCGACCAGCAGGCCGACGAGTACTTCAAGACCAACAACATGCCGATCAAGGGCTCGATGCCCGGCATCAGGAAGCTGCGCACGCCCGACAAGAGTCCGCATCAGCTGCTGCAGGAGGAGCGGGACGCCGCCCTCGCAGCCGCCGCTGCCGCCGCCAACAACGCCGCCGCCGCGCCCAACAAGCATCGCAACGGCCACCAGGTGAGACGGATCGAACGAGCGAGAGAAGGCCGAGCACGAGGCGCGCGTTCCGTCAGGGCCCCGACTCCTTGTATACGTTAACGTGTATCTGCGTAGTTGACCCCCCTCGTATACGTGCGATAATTGCGGCCCCGTGCGCGTGGATCGTTGCCTCTGAGTCACGAGCTCGATCGAGAGCCGCGTAGCGGCGAGTCACGTGCGCCGTGCATCCAACCCCAAAGATGCCCGATAGTCTCTTCCATTCTATAGAGGTAGGAACTTTTCTGGACGACCGGTTGGCGTGTGCGCGTCCTCGCGCTCCTCTCCTACATAGTCGTCCCAACGCATCCTCGCGATTGCCTACGGGAATCGGGACTCGCGAACGATTCGAGCGATCCAAAGACGATGGCCTTGTCGGTGCGATCCGCAGGCAGCGCATAAGGCGCCTGAGGTGACGCAATCGGCATGCTCCACGGCGGCAATTTAATTCTCTCGTATATATACAGCGCTAGCTCGAGCTAATAACCGCACGAGCCGAGTGACTGTCTTCGGAATTCGCAATAATTCGGTAATTTGCAGCAGCAGCAGCAGTGGCGTCGATCGCTCGACTCGCTCGGATCGCACGGGCAGGGGGGAGCCTTGTACTCACTGACGCACGCGACTTTTTCCCCGCAGAACCGCGACAACGACTATACGAAAATCCTACGAAATCGAGAAGCAGGAGAGAAAGTTTGCGCGCTCGATCGCGCGCGTACTTGCCTACATAATAATGTTGATAAATGCCCATTTCGGCGTACACCTTATACTCGCTACTGCTGCTGCTGCTGCTCGGTTTCTCTTATCGAACCACCGCTGCTTTACAGCACTCACCGGGAATTTGTCCACACGCATACATATATACACACAATCGTTAGATAAGCATCTCCGGTACTTGCCTATGTATGCACGTATATATTCCCATTTTTTCCTCGTGTGCGTGCGAACCCGCTGTCTACTTAACTTACCTGCTGCTGTGCACGTATACAGCTATACGGAACGTATTCGTGCGTGTGTTTACCTGTCACCGACGAGCTCTCGTGTCTTTTCGCTTTTTAATGCAAACACACACACACACACACTCACACTGCATTGAAATATCAATGTTCTGGCAGTTCGGTACAGCCGACGTATGTACGTATATCATGCGCCGCAAACGCCGCTAGTGCAGCTTATGCAATTGCATTTTCAATTTATGGTGTATTACAGCTGCAGATCGAGCGCGCTAGGTTCTTTTTTTTCGCGAGTTATTGTTCAACGCGCGCGCGAGTACGCGGCTCAAGGCTGCAACGGTCCGTTCTCATTGTGTTTTTAATTGTAATTGTTATATAGCGTTTCTCTCCGTGACTATACTGCACGGCTCTCGTCGCGACCGTCGTCGCTCGTATAAATAAAGTCGCGATTTTCAAGAGAAGTAACGATAAACACGAGCTCGTTCGGTACACTATAGATACGATTTGCGCGCGCCTTTTTTCAAAACATCCCGAATCCCGCGCGTCGACAAATAATTTCCGTGCCTAATTTATCGATTTCACTCCAGAGACCAATTGAACGGGATAAAAAATGTTGCCTCTTTTCAGAACTCGAGCATGAACAGCGACAGCCTGTCGAACGACTCGAGCGATCACCATCATCATCAGCATCACAGTATACACGACGAGTACGGCAACGGAACGTCCCGAATGATCCAGGACGAGGACGCGACGTCCGTCAAGTCGTCCGTGAGCGGCAACAGCAAGCACGAGCAGCAGAGCGCCACGACGACCATGTCCTCGCCCTCGCAGCTGGACCTCTCCGTCACGGACTCGCCGAGCAGCGGTGCGGGCACGACGACGACGACGACGACGTCGACAACCCTGAACCTCGGCATGAGCGCCAAAGAGCTCAGAGCTAAACTGGCTCAGCGCAAAAAGTACGATCCCAAGAAGGAGTCGCTCAATTTCAAGGATAAATTCGATATCGTGCAAAAACTTTGAGGCGGCAGCAACATAAAAACTTATCATAATGTACTCGCGCGCGCCATATTATATAGATATCATTGTGTAAGATCGATCGATTCGCGTTTTCTTTTGCCTGCGCCGTTTTCGGGCGGGAGAGGAAAACGCGAACGATCACGTGTATTACATGGACGCGCGAGCGCATTTTTTTCGATCATCGCTCAGTCTTTGCCGTCGTCGTCGTCGTCGTCATCGTGATTGCATGCAGGAAGTGCGCGACTGGCGGCTAGCCTTTTCTAGTTGTTGTTGCTTATTGTGTAAGTAGTGCGTATAACGATACATCGCTCCGAGTATCGAGATGTACGGTGACTCGTTACTTTTTTTCCGTTTCTTCGGCTGCGATCTTTAGCAGCTTGAAAAAAGAAAAGAAAAAGAAATGTCCGAAATAAAGAGCTAATGAATCGCTGTCGGCGATCGATCGATCGATTCCAGCACCGAATCTCGGACTCCGTGGCGTGCTTATTAAGCTCGCGATTATCGCCATCGCCGCCACCGCCGCAAATACAGCAGCGATTATTACTCGATTATATGTACGCGCGCGGCTTATCAGCCGATTGGCCATATAACTGACGTACTTATTATACGTGGCTCGCTGGACTTACGCAACTCCGCTCGGTTTCGCCAATTATCAAAAGATCTAGCACCTGCACGAGAGATCGCTATATATATTGTATCGTGCATGTGTGTATAGGAGCACTAGTACGCTCTGTGTCCGCGACTGCTTCGATACTTATACACACACACACATGTGCACGATACACATAACACGCGATTCGGATTGCCGAGTCTCGAGCGCGCGCAATACGATTGCGACGACGACGACAGCGACGATGCATATGAGTGGCGACGACTACACGACGACGACGACGACGATCATGCGCGTCTGTTTATGTGCAACATGTGTTTAATATGTGTCATCCTGATACAGGTGCGTGTCATTGTGCACACGCTTACACATGTAGCGCTGTCGAAAATAGCTCACCTGTATCGCCGCGATCATTCGCGCAACGGCACCTCTGGAAAATTGACGCATTTTTTCCTGGCTTCGTAAATATTAGCGCGAGCACGTCAAGCTCGTCGTAAGACGTTTTTACACGGCTATGAGAACCTCTCGCCCGGGCAACGAAATTTTCCAATGTAATAAATTCCAATTTTACGCATGGTATATTGTAATTTCTACGATACTTCGTGAGCTTTTTTTTCCGTGAGAAAATTGAAAGCTCTCCGATGAGTAATCATTACGATGTTGCTATGTATTAACGAGAGAGTATATAAGTGCAATTTTTCGATTAATCTCTCAGTAATGTAGTGGAGAGTAACCGAACATTCGTTAATGATGATTCGAGAAAGATATAAATAAAAAAAGCCACATCGCTATAATATCGCAATCGAGTATCGCGCGCTCTTCGTATATATTTATATACATGTATACAGACAGACATTCCTTTGCTCTGCAACACTTTCGATACATTCGCAAATTTTTTTACTCCTGAGATTACACATGATAAATGTACGTTATCGTCGTACGTTTCATCGGTCAAAACTCAAAACAAATTTTTATATTCGTTAATTAATTTCTGTCCGGATATTGAAGATCCTCGACCAAATTTCAATCGTAATAATTATTTTAATTATTTACAAATCATCATTATAATTTAATGATTATTAACTTTCAGTACCACTATTATTATTACTATTAATATTATTATTGCAATTCAATAAATGTAGTTTTTATTTTTTAAGATGTAAGTTGTCATATTGTACTTGTTAATCGTATTGTTACTGTATTATTGTTGATCGATTATGATATGTATTGTGTAAATAATGTGTAAGATGAATATTGTAATAAACGAAATTACACGCGTGCATAAAATAATAATGCATAATATGTACATTATGTGGCCACTTTTTAGCATCACATCGCAAATGCTTAACTTTGACAAAAACAATTATACTTATGTAAAAATACCGATACAATCGCTCGACTTTTATTATTCCACCCAAGACTTTTAAAATAGATTGAAAGAAGACCGAGGTGGGTATATAGAGTACATTGGCAGTTTATCACTGCTCTCAAAAAATGCCGTTTACGATCGCTATCGGAAAAGAACAAAATCTTATCGTTCGTAATTGGCCCCAAGTGATTTATAATAATATTCGACTGAAATCATCGAAACGGATCAAGCAGCTTTTTTTCCGTGGCATGTAAAAATAGCGCGTGTCAACAATCGGATCGTGAATGAAACAAAAGCGCGCGACACGTCACCTGGCACTTTTGAAATCACAAATGCAAAAATAATATAATAAACGAAATTCATCGAGCGTATAAGTAGCACCATGAGGCGGATAATGCGCTCGTGGCGTGTATTATATACGTTATCGTGCTGAAATCGTGTCGCTGGCTGCGATTGCGTTGCCCCGACGGTGGCAAGCGCCAACTTGCCGACCTGTTGTTGGTGATGCAACGAAACGCATTACACATACAGGTACCACACAGATGCAAGCATAAACCCATAAAGCGACACGAGCAGAATAAACGAATAAACGCCAGCACTGCATCTGACTACCGCAAGGAATGTAGGTACACGATGCTCCAAGCCAGAGGCACTGCAATTTCCTATACGCTGCAACCAACTTTATCACCTTTTATATACAGAGAAAAATGACAAAACAAATAGCCATTAAATAACGTCTGAGCTGGTAAATAGTGAAAAACTTTCACATCTGCAGCTATAATGACAATTGCAGTGGTTAGCAGCTGACGACGTGCATAACACCGACTGCGTGAAGCTCGATCGGTAATTTAGAAAATCACACGCAGCAGGTGACCTGCAAATCTGCAGCGCATCCTGTCTCCTACGTATAACAGTTCTCAGTAAATGACACATTGCGTTTTAAATTTAAAAAAATCTTTTATATTGGAATGTCGAACCCGCATTAAACTATGCAGTATATTTACCGAAACTAATTTTATTAATTTCTAATCTTCTAAACAGTGTGTAGCTTATAATTTTTTAATTAGAAATGTTCTTACATAAAGGTAAGTTCTTTAATTAAAATTCAGATTGAAGGCCGTTTTATATTATTATGTGCTTCAAAATCAACTCCTACCACATTCGGAAAATTGAATGAATTTTGAATGAATTTTGAATAGTCAATTCGCTGGTATCAAGATAAGTTCCACAGAATATATCAATCAAATGGTATACTTTATTAGTTTCTGCAACTTGATTCTTTTTTTTAGTAGATTTTGGTATTATGACTTTAAGTAGATTTTACTGTAAGTAATTCTATTCTATACTTCATTAGCGTAGTATTTATCAAAATATCGGCTAAAAGAACTATTACATAATTCCAATTTCACATCATTCATATGCTCATTATTTCAATTCACAAAATAATATTCTTTCAAACTTATTGATGCTTTTTTAGATTTAATTTATATTCTTTCACCACAAACGTGTAAACTAAAATATTTTATTTGTTTCTTTCGAGTAATAAAAATTTGGTTTTCATCATTACCTGGCATTAATAAGCATAATTTAATATTCAGCTTGATAACATAATTATCATTATGTATGAAACCACGTTTTTCGTGGTAATTAGATACTTAAATAAAAAATAAAAAATAAAAAATAAAAAATTTAATTTTGCGTCATCAACCGGTAAATTAGATTTAGCAACAGTTATATTACATTATCCGTAGCACAATGATGTATCTGCTAAATATCTCATAAGTTTCTACGAGCTTTTAACTTGTGGCGCCATCACGTATTTCTTAGCGAAAATATTTTCTTAAGCTTTTTAAACTTGTTCAATCAGGCCTAAATTTTTTCATCTCATTTTCATGCCGAATCTACAATTCATAATCTTCAACTGAAAATGCTTATATCTATTGACCAAATACGACTGTAAAAAGCTAAAAATGTTTCGTGAAACAATTATTAAAAAGTATCGATAGAAAAAAAAATTGTGGCACTGATTTTTGTGCTATCTGAGATTGCATACATATGATCATGGTGAAACTCTAAAAAATTGATTTTTAACTGAAATTTAAAAAATTTAATCAGTAACAAAATGTCTATACAAATCATGTATTATACAAATCATTTTTGGCTCTTTTCATTATATAATTTTTTTTGTGAGTTGATAGTTCATGATTCTTAGTATATACCGATACACTAAAAACTGTTTTCGTAGTATTGCTAAAAGAAATAGGATAAAAGGAAAAAGTAGAAATACGTTATTGGTCAATCTCAAAAAATTTGAAATCAAGAAATTGTGGTTTTTTTGTAAAAGAGAAAAGTTAATGGCTATAAATTTGAATCGAATTCAAATAAGATTTTCAAGTGAGATAGATGATGAATTCATAATAATAGAAAAGGTAGTTATTTAAAAAAGAATGAAGTAATTTATTTACAAACATTTTATGATTTTCAATCTTTTATTATATCTAACTACATCATTCAATAGCTCTAGTTATCCAAAACAACTTAAGCACACGTATTTCTTGAAACTGCTATGTAATTCAAACACAAACGTGAGGACTTAACATGATATTAATACTTGGCAAAGAATGTCTTCAACAAAATCTTTTTCAATTTCTTTCTTAGGGGCTTATATATAATATAAGTTACCCGACTTAGACACTCGAGCAACATTTATTTTTCGTTTCACGTTATTTTTCGTATTGATCACCATAAAACTACTCATCGAGAGCAACCTATAGGATGGATTGTCTCGCCCAAGGTTGCGTTTGTGACCATTGACGTTCTGAAGAGGTGCATGCGACCCTGGTGTTGAGCTCAAAGGGGAATCTTGCATGAAGTGATCAAAAACACGAATCTCCAGAAAACACAAAATGAAGAAAAAATTGAACACAAGAAGTAATTGAGAAAAGCTCACAAAAAGGGCTGGATCTCAGTGAAAAATCAACTTTTCGAGTTTTAAAAATGCAACGAAAAGGGAAAGGCAAATCCTTTTCAAAATTTGAATAAAAACATTTTCGATTTATAGGTGCCTATAAGCTCTTAATTGATTGAATCAGAGGCCTCATTAAAGATGAAGATAATTTCACTGAACCATTAAAAATTCAAAACATTTTATGAAACGAGTCACATACTGGTATTACGAATTTACGTTAGATTATTTTAGACATTTTTTCGTGTAAACTATCAGAAATATATACTCGGGTTGGCGTGATGAAATAAAATGTTTCAATAAGTTGTAAAGATTAAATTAATAAGTCAACAACTTCAATGTGAATTTTATACAAATTTTATGAAATGAGATGTTTAAAATAATGTCAGCTTCAGTTTTAATAAACATTTATTTCTTTTCGAAACTTGAAACAAACATTGATGAAAATGCACCAATACACAACACATTGAAACTTCTATTTAATTTAAATGAATAAAAATAACGCCGAACAAATAATTACTGTGCAAGATATTGACATTCATGGATTTTAAATCTTTTAAATAAAAAGTGTATGAATTGTTTTAATAAAGCATCCCCTTTCTACCGCCCCTTGGTAATATTGTGCAATATTTGCAAAGATGGATTCGAGTTCAGACCACGATGTCTTATCGATTAATACTTTTTTTTTATGTGTACTCAAATAAAACACGTGAGATTGATATTCAATTAAAACAATTTTAACAAGCATCTAATTAGCCGTAGTTGCAGTCGGAGAACGAGAGAAAGAGCATAAATTCGCACTCGAGCATTAGTATCTAAAAAAAGTACGTACTAAATCGTGTTTTTCTATGTCATCATAACTCTTTTTTCAGAGAATAAACATTTATTTTTGGATTAATGGTATACGCGAATCCAATGAAGCGGTATCGTTTAGTCGCGATTTGGATTCTGACAGATTGTTAGCGTTTCGAGAGCAGGTTTAATTTTAATCATTATTTTGACATAGGTAAGAGGGTTAAGTAACCCACAAACATTCGATTGTTACACGAAGTTGCGCGCTCACGAGCAATAAAACAGAACAAACATCCAGCCCATTCGCGTCAACTTTATTTATCTCGAATAAACAAATTATTCATAAGTGTGAGATTGGAAATAAAAACAAGTCGATTCATTCATGATATAGAAACTGCACGTTCGTAAACACGGCGGGATGGAAAACCGAAATGGGCGTGCAGAAAAAAGATGTCGCTAATTAGCTTGGAACGATAATGACTTGCGCGTGACGATAAAACAAAGGAGTTACAGAAGCTCAGAAAATTCAGATCAGTAGAGTGTGTCGGAGAAGGCGGACACATAGGTGGTCGTGCTACGGCGGCAGCATCGCAACGCGTGTGCATGTTCAGAGGGGCAAGCATGCACTCGAGGCAGGCAGGCGCATTTCATGGTGACAATTAAAGTCTGTCGACCTGAAAATCCCTCCCCCGTGCAAAAGCTATGCACCCACTGACCTTGCTGACGTAAAAACATTTTATGGTCGCAGAGCTTTACAATCGCCTGCACATATGTTTTCTGTACCTATGCGCTTTGACTCGAGTTGCAAAGCGACACACGTTCTCTCGTTGGCGTATCGAGACAATTGGTAATTTTTGCAATAATTACGTTTTTTATGCAACATCGGTAACGCAGAAAAGCCATCCGATGATTGGTAACGATCCGATCGCATCTTGGACCCGTTCGAATTTTCCTACGCGGTATGCAGTCGTGGAAGCAGTGTGCAAAAAATGATTTCACAGTATTGTTCAATCGACGCCACAATGGATTAGCAGCGACCAAGAAAAAAAAGAAACAACAAGCGAGCTCGAATGAAAAAGGCCGTCACGGCTGTTTTTTCGCATAATTCGCGAGCGGCTCGCGATCTGCCTCTTACGTCTGTGTCTCTCAAAATGTATGTGTGGGTACGCGTATGTGTGTGTGGGGTATATAATAGGCCGACACATCTTATCCTGTCCTCGCGGCACTCATATAATATCTATTTCCAGAGCGAGCGCTGATTTAATTTTAGCTAACGCGCGCGCGCGCGCACACACACCACACTCACGCCTCGCGCTCTCGCTCGTTCTCTCTCTCTCTCTCTCTCTCTCTCTCTTTCTCTCTTTTTCTCGCAACCTACGTATCACTATATACATTTTGCGTAGAGAAGTGCGTGTATAATGTGCATGGGCTTATGTACGACAGAGAAAGAGTGAGCGAGAGCGAGAAAGAAAAAGACGTGTATGCAGGGTGTCTTGCGTGTCACGTATGTCCGCCTATCTATAGGTATACGGCAGACGTGCACCTGCTGCTGTTGCTCTTTTATGTACCCGCGTACGGCGTGTACGTTCGCATGTGCTAGACGCACACGTGTATGCAGCATAAAATGTATCCTGGACGCGAGGCAGTCGCTCGAATCGCATCTCTCTTTCTCTCTCTCTCTTTCTTTCTCTTTCTCGACGAGACGTCTGACGGGGGCCATCGCCAGCGAGTCATTACGTATTTTCGAGCAACATATACAAGCTTTCGTCGAAATTCCGTAAAAACAATGAGAAAAAAAACATCACATTGAGATTTTCCTCGCTTGTTCGTGCGTAATGTCTATGTAATGCCTCGCGAAGAGTACAATGCTAAGAAAATAAGCGAGAAACCACCGCCGTCGAGCGAGTGCGCGCCTATAATAATTCATTATGCGTGCAAAACATCGCTCGAGACTTTAGAAAACTGGACTAACATAATGTTTTCATTCCAAAGTATTTCGAGAAATTCGCCGATTCGTTTCCGTATAGTTGATGCACCGGGGGTGTTTAATCATTTACGATCCTTCGTGTAACGATACAAATTGGTCCTGACTCCGTTGCTCGATGGCTTCATTTTTTTGTCGATCTACCTTAAAAGCTGCGGCTATAACTTGAACGAAACGACGTACACATACGCATAAGAGAGAGAAAGAGCGGCCACCCGCCTCGGTGTGGTCTTGTGCGAGCGAGCAAGCGCGTGTTTTTGTTTTGCAATATCGCATGCCAGAGGCACATTTCGTGCCAACCTCGTATTCTCACTTTTCTTCGCGGCTTTTCTAGACAGCTCACAATCGAATAGCCCGCCTACTCGCTTTTAATTTCGTCTTATAAACAGGCCCAACGATCGCTGCTCTATCTATTGTTTGTTCATTTTTTATATATCCCTTTAACGAATATGACTAATCGAAGTTCATTTAATTAGAAAAATTGATTCAAAATGATTGTTGCTACTTACTATGAAGCATCAAGTACTTGAACTTTTGTTAGATGATACTTTTAATCAAATTTAATTTGTCTTGCGTTTTATTGAAATGGTTTGGAAGACAAGCTAAACCAATTTTTTCAACGATAAAACTATTGCATTTTCTTATGAAAATGAGAGCGTGCAAAAAAAGCTCTTTCCACTCGGAGCTTTAAAAAAACGGCCTGAAATTCCTCAGCGAGATGTTTTCGCGTATTAACAGTCGCTCTCGAGCAAAGTGGGAGCGAAGAATCAGCTGTGCCTTAAAAGGCACTCGCGAAAAAAGAAAAATGATGCATGAGCGAGAGAAGCTCGCGTTCACGTCGGCGATTACGGCACATAGTTAGGCGCTCGTCGCTCTTACGCGAGAGCTTACGCGTACATTACGTACGCGCGTACGATGGCGAAACTGCAAACAAACTTTACGCGTATACACTCGTAGTACCGAGGCAATGATGCCGCTCGTATTATATAGAAGGGTTGGATTTTTGTTTGAGTCGCGCGGCTAAAAATGACGCGCTTTTCGCGCTAAAAATAGCCCGAACGCGAACAGAGCTTGTGCAGGCGAAACGTCGCGCGCTATCTACTATGTGTGCTACTCGCGTACATTGCGCGCGGAATGTGTATATACTGCATACAGGCAGCTGTCTATACCTATTCGATACACCATTCACGCATAGGAGCTCTTGTGCGCTTTCGCGGTGGCGGCGGCGTACCCAACGCGCGCAATATTGCACGCGCTGACGTGAGCTTGCCCGAGCTTTCGCGCGTGATACGTGAAATTCGCGCGTCGCTTCCATTGATTTATACCGACGCTCTACTTGGCCGTACGCGCCTATGGCCATTTAAGATAGGAACGATCTATTTCAGATTGACTGACAACTCACTCGCTTACACTTGCTTCAACCTTTTTTTCCATATGCGTGCTCGCGTTGACTAGATTTACGCACTATTATAATTTATAACGATCGAATTGTATAAGCAGTTTTTCGTTTTTTTGAACAGGCAAAAATGTTTGTTTTCTTTTAAAATCGAGACCATCGTTTTGTTCCCATACATCTATTCTTATAGCGCTAACACCATAACAAAAATAAAAAAAAAATACTACACGATTCAGCGGCAAAGTCATGATATTAGAGGGACTTTAGCTGTGCATAAATAAATCAAATGATATTTATTTACGCGTTTAACTTGGTATCCCGCTTATGGGATTATTTTCGCCGTTTTCATTATTTATGGTACTTCTTATTCGGACGAACGAGTCATATTTAATAAGATGTTATGCTTGTAAGTGAAGTTTCCTTGATGCGTTGGACGCTATTTTGCCTGTCTACAAAGTACATGCTGCAGTACGAGTAAGAGAAAATAACTACGTCTCCGGGAGTAAACTCAAAATAAAGAGCATGGAAAATGTCGCTATTTCCTTCCTGTATCGGAAAATGGAAAAATATCGAGAAGAAAACAAAAATAATAGATAAAAAGAAAGAGCAATAGCTTCATCCAAAATGCTTAATTGCCGAACTCGATAAATGATCATCGTAACATTGAGCCAAGCGCCAGAGAGTCGAGATCTCGTCCGATTTTGCTGATTGGAGCAATGAGCTACGATTCGATTGAAAATCATCTCGAGAAGAGATGCGCGCAACGGAAAAATAAATCGTATACACTGCTTGCAACGATTTCCACCCACGAGCTGCTGCGACGAGAGTCGAGACCGAAACACATACATGAGTACACGCACACAGTCGAAAGTCATCGCTAATATTTGGCATGCTCGATGCTGCTATACTACTCTCGCTTAGAGCAAGTGTATGTGGAAGTGCGAGCGAGCAAGAAAGAGAAAGATATAGAGAGAAAGAGAGAGAAGGAAATACCGAGGGAGGGAGTAAAGAGAAGCAGTTGGAATATATGTATAGGTTTTCTCGTTCTCCCTCAGCAAGTCGGATAAATATAACCGAACCCTCGTCACCCGTGGATCTATCTTTACCTGACCGTAAGCTTCAAAACTCAGGCGTGCGCGCGCCCGCGAGGCGTCGAACGCAGCTCATAACACACGTACACGTATACCGATTGCCGCCGTCGCCGCCGCCGCCACTGCCGGCCTACGTCGCCGTGCGCGTAAAGCGACGGAGCACTGTGCGTTTCAACGCGCCTCACCTATATACGCCGTGCGCGCGTACGCGAGCTCTGCAAGCTCCAACTCGCCTGCTGCAAAACCTGTAATACACTTGCGCTCGTGAACAATACACGACTAGAGTCGCGATTCGTATGCTCATCTATACCCCCGACTTGTACACGATAGGCTAAATGCCTGCGCTTGTATACGTGTACCGAGTCAGGCGCCAGTAAGCTCCTGTCCCCGCGCCGTACTCGGTGTCAGCGGGCGCTAGCGAGAAAAAAGAGCCTGTCAGCGCGCTGACCTAATGACTGACATCGCCCGACGAATGACAATAGTCTTTTGCCTACTTTTTTTCTCGAAAATTTAATTTACTCGTCGTTCGCATGTACGTACGAGCTTTTGGATCGGATGCGCGACCGGTAACGCAACCGTGGCACGGCCCATAGCCTTGAACATCAGCCGTGAAGGCGTGTTTTACGCAACCGTGTGACGAGCTTTTTTAGAGCAAAATGTGTTTATCTTGTAGACTTTTTTCACGGGCGCTTAGAGAAAATTACCGTACTTTCACATTTCAATATCGGTGTTACATTACACCCGAAAAGTGACACCTCGACTGTCGGACGCGCTATAATTACTTTTATCGATCCTCATTATTTTTGTTAACTTGCTTAACCACTCGAGAATTCACTGCCACAAAGTCGCCCAAATACATTTGCGATGAGCTTGAATCAAGATTAAGCATCGGGGATGTACAGCGCAGCACGAATCATCGAATCGTTGGATGCATAACAAATGAAAATGATTCAGCCGATATCACGTATATACGAGAACTTGCGGTTATAAAGGCAGCGATATAAATATATAAATGAAGAAAAAGCTCGTCGGTTTACCGTGCGACGCCGAAAGCTCAATCGCTTTTACAAAGTAGCAATATTAGTATTAGTTGTAGGAGGGGGACAGAAGCGAGGCGTCATTGGCAGCGGAGCTTGCGACTGCCTATAGGTAGCTCTAGAGAGTTGGAAAGAGAAAGAGAGAGAGAGAGAGACGACCGTCTCGGCGCTCGCGAGAGAAGAGAGTTTTGAGTAGCGTACGATATTTCGTCTGGCCAGTTGACGCGCGCGGGTCCCCGGCGCACGGCATCTTTGAAATTTTTCGCGTCTAGTAAGCACTAGTGCGACGACCAACCAATTCGTTGACGAACGTTAAAAAAATAAGGCGAACGAGCCCTGGAAAAGGGATAATTTTCGAGTGATTTTTTTGCCGTGTGTGTACTCGAGAGAGAAAATTCCAACAAGAGAGAGAAAGAGCAACGCACACATCGCAGGAAAGTGACGAGGAAATACCAGTTATGATAAATCCAGGGAAGAGAGAAGAAAATTTAAGAAAATATATATTGTGAGCGAAAATAATTGAGTCAATCGATATGCGATCGAATCTTTGGTAGATTTTTACGAAAATTTACCTCTAATCGACGTGTTGGAGCAGAAAAAAGCCCCAAATCGTAATCGATCAAAACGCATCGAGTTCGCTTTGCTCGGAGAGAGTGCGCAGCTTGCAGAGCTGCGTGAAAAGCAGAATCTACCTTTTTCGCAGATTAAGTAAGTGTTTTCAGTGATGCAACGGACTATGAATGTCTATATACGAGGTGCGGGTGTGCGTGAGTGCGTGCATGTGTGTGCATGTGTGGGTGTACGTGTGTGTGCGTCTGTGATCAAGCATCGTGTTATTTATGCCACTTTTAACCCAATATACCATAAGTATTGCTCGCTTTTTTCATACAATATATTTACTTGGCAAATAGCTTTTCTTGATGGCGTTCGGAACGCTTGCTCGGCAGAGATTCCGCTTGAAAAATTTGATCTACTTTTTCTCGAAAATACAAGCTAGCGCTGAGAGTAGGCACGCGCGCGCTATAGGTGAGCATGGAAAGGTAGACTCTATGTAGGTAACTGGGCGCTTCTCTTTCTTTCTCTCTTTCTCTCTTTCTCTCGCTCACTCTCTTTCACCATCTCTGTCGTTTGCACGCGTTGTTCGCTTATTTTTAGAGAATGTAACACGAGAGTGCCGAGGAAAGAGAGAATATATGCGAAAGAGAAAGACAGAGCGAAAGAGAGGAATTGAATTCTAATGAACAGCCCCGATTCGATCCGATCTGTCATGAACGATTAGAGCGTCTCGAGCTTTTTCCGAGGAAAATACGTATTTGGACACTTATTTCTTCTCTATCCGTAGCTCGGCTAAAACTTTTGGAGCGTTTCGAGATTTCACTCGCTCGATCGCCATCGTCACTTCGGAAGCGCGCCTCGGAGAGCTTTTTTCCCCCGATTCTCGATACTTAAAAAAAGACTGAATCGTTATGTAAGAATTGCGTAACGATAAGCTCGCTATGAGAAAGAGAGAAAAAAGAGGAAGAATGGAAATTCGCGAGCGCGCGAGCTTCGATCTTTCCGCGTCCGTCGTCGCCCGTGCGGTGGAGTCTCTCAGATATCGAGCGATCATTTTTTTGCCTCGCTCGTTGCAACGAACTTTGCGTATATTCCTCTTTGGATTCGGCTTGACTCTCAGTCGAGGTACAGCGCGTCGAACAGGCAAAACAAGTGATTCGTTGGCTTGTCTTTTTTCGACGTCTTTTTCTCCAATTCCGAGTCAGAGATGGTGTGCGTGTGCCTGCCTGGCGTGTATGTATGTATGTATAGGGGAGCAGAGTAGTAAGCTATTGGCGCCGGCCGCGATGAGGAGTCGAGAATAGCACGGCACCGAAATAAATGCGTCTTCGGAAGCTGCTGTCTCTACCGTGGCTAGAGCGCTGCTGCCTTCTGCTGCCGCTGCCTTCTGCTTCTACGGCTACGGCTACTGTTGCTGCTCGAGACAACGCATCTCTTTCTCTCTCGTTTGTTCGATTCAATTTCTTCGTTGGTTGCACTCGTGTGTGAGTGTGCCGCCTGCCCATCGATCTCTCGTACTAGCTCCTCTTCGAGGCCCTGCTAATATTTCAAGCGGGTACATATGTCAAAAACGAGGCTCCGAAAGATGCCGCGCTTGCCATCAAATATTCGACTCACGAAAGCTGGCTGAAGTATTGCGGCCAACGACTCGTCGAACTCGCCGCACTTATGCCGATTTCCACAGCGATGCGAGCGTTCGAATAAAAAGAAAATAATTGTCGAATAGTTAACGTATCATTGTAGCGCTCACAGCTGCATGTAAAGCCGAAAAATTTTTCAGAAAACTTTACATATTTTCATCTCGCTATTTCTCATGCGGAATTCATACGTCGGTGCTTCGTGCGAGTCTCAAAAAAAGTCTCCATCGTGTGTGTTACGTATTTTTAGCGGCTAAATTCTTTCGCGATTAATGATGATGATGCTGTTGTTATTGTTGTTGATGTAATACTCGGATACATAACCACGCGCGCGCGCGCGCACACACACACGCACACACATACACATATTCGTATACAAGCTTATTATATTTTTAGTTTGTTTTATATCCCAGCCCGAATGAGTCATTAAATTCGCGATCGAATGATTTCTTTTTTTTCTTCGTCCGAAACTCTCGACTTGTATTTATAGATGGCATTTATTTTAAAACAGTTAGCTGTCAACGGAACTTGCGACGATATTTTTGCAATTTTGCTTCACACTACACATCCGATTATTAAAAATCCCGTATGTGCAAAAAAAGGTTGTCTCTTGCAAATGAATGAGACCCGAAGAGTCTGGCTGTGATATCTAGGCACGAATATGTCGTGAAGTCAAATTCAAAATTAGCAGTAACCATTATTTGGCTAACTTCTCGTGTCTCATCTTTCATTTTCAAAACTTCAAGTGGAAAATGATAAGTCCGCGATGAAATTGTAAGAACAAAGATTAAAGTCCCACATATCAACTGTTATGAGCCGCGTCGAAGTAGAAAATAGTCGACCCAGACATATACATTTAATAAATACGAGTGTATATATTTATAGTTTTCTTTCTCTCGCTTCTCTATAACTCCGTAAGATGCTCGGCGTTACTTCACAACGTCTCAAGACTTAATTTAAAAGCTCGCAACAATGTTTCTGACAAGTTTTCCCGTGGTGGACATATCGCAGTCCGTCCAAGTTCTTCAGTGAACTTTGCACTCGATAGCTCTCGAGCGCTTTTCAATCACTTACTGATAATTCAATATAGCCAATAGAACGGCATTACGAGAAGTGCCGATCTTTGACTTAAACCAGAGGCATCTAATACGTTAATTTAAAGCTCTTGACTATTTAAACTTGCGCAGGGTGACCATCTAGTCGACGGATGCTGTTACAGGAAGAGCCAATTCGTCCCGAGTACAGTACAGTTGGAAGTAAAGTTTTCCCAGAGCAGCGTCGACGAAGCAGAGCCTCGTCATAAGCGAGGCCCGGGTAGAAGAGGGGCCCTAGGCCTATTCCCCAAAAAGGAAGGAAGGAGCTCCCTAGAAAGATGGGAGTCGCCGACGACTTGGCGCCGAGCTTCACGAAGAAGCCGAAGCTCGGCCAGGAGGACGACGGCAATCGGCTGATATTCGAGTGCGAGCTGGTGGGCTCGCCGCTGCCGGACATCGTCTGGTATCGCGGCGACACCAAGCTCGTCGAGGACGAGCGCACGACCTTCAAGACGCAGAACATCGGCAGCAACAAGTACCTCGTCGTGCTCGAGCTGGACGACGTCGTGGAGACAGACGCCGGCCTCTACAAAGTCACGGCGAAAAACAAAATGGGCGAGGTCGCGGCTTCCATCAGCCTCAATTTCAGCCGTGAGTATATCTTAAATATTATGAAAAACAGCAGCAGCAACGGTCCGAGTCTCTAAATACGATCGTTATGTGCCGTGAAATTCGCGCGCTTGCACGTGCGCTCGCGTTGGCGTTGCGAAACGTTAGCGCGGGAGAGCGCAAAAATCTCATGTGCACCTTGCGAGCGCGCGCGCGTGTTCCGCGATCTCATCCGAGCGAAACGACATTTTGCCGTGGCTTCCGAGGATATTAGTGGTCAGGCTCAATATGTCATCGTACACGTGCTTATATGCTCTCGTGCTATTCGATACTTTTTTTTATCTTGTCTAACGTTCCATGTATTTTCCAGCTATGGACGAATCTAAAGAAAAGTAAGTTGATCGCGATAATGAAAACAGCTTAATGAGTTGCACTGCAGGAGTTGATTTTTTGATTATTTGCCGATTGTTTGCTGCTTCAAGTTTTAAAAACAACTGCTTTCTTTTTTAAACCAATGCTATGCTACGCTAGTTTCAAAGCAACTTATGTCCATTGGCCAACTGACGATATTTCTTTTTTAAACAATGTCTCATTTTGCCAAGAGAATTTGAATTTTCTCCTGTTGTATACAAATAGACGATTAGATATTAAATATTCACTGCCAATTTAATATAACTATTTTGTAAATTATTTTCAACATCCTATAATCAGTATTCGTAAACAATTTTCACCGATCTCACTTAGTTTGAGGCTATTCTTAGTTAATACGAATAGTTAGAACATTTTATCAAAAAATTAAAAATGAAGAAAATAAATGACTCGCTATGCCGCGCATGTAATGCTTTTGTGTTTATGATTTTAGCGGCTGCACCGGCATACCGTCCGCGGTGAGTGTGGCTTCTGATCAGAAACATAGACAAACGAACCAACGAATTGCTCGAGTTTTTTCTGTGTTTTTAAACCGATTAATTTCGTGATTAATATGAATTTTCGTGTGGAAAAATTTAATTATATTCAGGAGATACCAACGCCAAGTGGAAAATGATCTATATCGAACACGATTTTTGAGATTTCGATAAAATATTTTTCCATGTGTCTGGCGAATATCAAGAAATCATGAGAAGATATTTGCAAAGATTTTTAGAAAAACAGTCAGTGGAAATCTTAAACGTGTTTAAAAATTTTCATTTTTACCTTGACCTTGGTATACCCTCAAACAAGAAGTAAACTTACAACTTATGTAAAATTATCTCAACTAATATGATTTTGCCGAATTGTTTGACGAATCTCAAGCTTTGGAGTTGGAAAATATACCAAGACATTTATTTGCAAAGTGGGTAAACGCGAAAGAGTTGAAAATTCTATTATTAGCACTCAAGAGTGTGAGCGTGTGTAATCTTGAAATTTTGCACAAACTAACGTTAACCTGACCATGTTATGCGTTCGCAAACGCGCATTTGTGTGTGTGTATTTTGCCATATCGCAATAAAATCGATCGAGCGATAAAATATCCGGTGAATGCCACACTGTACTCGGCATATTAAGCGCGCCTGCGTGCATTGAGGCGTGAAATTTCTGTCTTGTATCGCGTTGGTATTTTTGCCGAGTGTATACGCATGTTTGCCTGTGTGTGTTCTCTTCAATAACCCAAAGCTTTTGGCCGAATATTTTTGAAATGCACTCCGCATACGTATGTAATTGACGAATATCCCTCCCGGAACGATTTCAACAGACAAATCGACGGGCTGCCGCCAACGTTCGCGAAAAAACCAGCGATTCGCCAAGAAGACGACGGTAAACGTTTGATCTTCGAGTGCTGTATCAATGCCGACCCGACACCAAAGGTCAGCTGGTATCACGACGGAGAGCTTGTCGCCGACGACGACCGGCACAGGGTAAGAGAGATTATCACGCGTACACATAATTTGCCCGTCGCATAAAGCTCAAAAAGCTCACCGCACGCGCCAACTGACATTGGCTTTTCCAGCTCTCGTTGGACAAGGACGGCCACTCGTACTTTTCGAGCTTGGAAATCAAAAACGTGACAGTCGAGGATGCTGGAAAATATAAGGTCACCGCCAAAAACGATCATGGCGAGAGCAACGCCACGATTTCCCTCAACTTTGACAGTAAGTGTTTAAGCTCGTTTTTCCGCTCCACTCATCTCATTCGACAATTATTTTCTAACTCAATAATTAGCTTATATTAATTTCAACTGCCTACATTACTCGAGGTAATTTTCATGAATTTATATTAAAATACATATATCTTATAAAATATGAAATACACACAGAGCACACAAGTACACTAGTGCGCGCAAAGCAGCCTTCATCAACATCTATATTCATGTAATTTATGTGTATAAATACAACGTATCATAATTCAAGCAGCGTATTATTAAACGTACATGCCATACGATTATATATGTATATAAAATGCAGACACTTATATTATGAGCGCGAACTGCTAACCCTCGTGAGTTCACGAACGAGACAAATGTTTAATACGAATGAAAACTTGCTCTGTGTCGCAAGGGCAAATTCGACGAGACAAAAATTGGGGGCACGACGGAATGAAGCACACACAAACATTACCGTTTATATATATGCCAAGTGCCAATAGCATCGATCACCATAGACACATTTCGATCTTGTATTGTGCTGACCAACCAACTCATTCACGTACATTATAAATAAGCGCTATCTCATACGTACATGTATTTATTTTGATTAACGCGTCATACAATGTTTGAGAATCAGTGTTGCCGCTTAAAAAAATTCACTTGAAGTAACGATCATTGTAAAAGTAACATCATACCATTGTAAGCAGAAACAAACTGAGATACAAACTGCAACGTTGAAGCTAACAATTGGCTATACATAATTACGGTACCGTTGCTGAAACTAAAATGACGAGATTTTGACAAGTAACGCACAGAGTAATTTGAATTATTTAACACGTTCAAATTGAGACTGGTCTGAGAAAGCATATACGCACGCAAAATATCACGGAGTTGCACAATTTTGGATACGTTCTCAAGCTACTTTATTCATATTAACATTAAGCTTCGTTATTCGAATTATTATTAATCATAATAAGTGCAATAATTCTTTACTCTCGGAATCCAAATTGTGTGCGACTCTCACATTGACCGAATAACTATCGTATAATATTTGAATTGTAATAATAAAATTAATTCAGCTGTATATCAAGTAATAACGAGATAATATGCGGTAGCGATTTTACGCAATATTTTGTACGTATATAATTTATTTAAACTTATTAAGGCTAAAAATAACGAGTTGGAGTTGTGATGTAGAAGCTAAATAATCGACTAATTCGCGGAAGTGTAGAGATGGTGACGATTTGTCCCGAGCGGCGTCCGAGTATACCGATGTTACGCGACGTAAAGTGTGGCGTGAGGTGTGAATGATAAATTATTGGTTTTCCAAGCACCCTCGTACGTTGATATGCGATTCGTGACTTGAGAGTTCCAGGCAGTTAGGGATATTCATTAAGTAGGCCTTAAGTTGCATAAGAAGCAGTTGATGGGAGAAATGATTTTTTGTTTATTTTTTTTTAATATTTTCATTGATGAATTATAAAAATTTGATTCACCAGGCGACGAAGCGCCAGTACCAGACGACGGTGTTAAGCCGACATTTACCGAACCGCCGGTAATCGAGCAGATCGACGACGGTGACACTGTTATGTTCCAATGTCGATTAGCAGGCGATCCTAAGCCTACCGTCAAGTGGTAAGAATAATCAGCGCCCCTTTCACCCGCATATATATTTAATGTCGTTCGTTCGCGCGCGCCCCTGCATCGGCTACGGCATTCAACAGGCAGATAGCAGCGCGCATAACTCTGCAACGATTCTCCTTGCAACAGCGCTGAAACGAGTTGCATATTTAATTGCTGCGCTCGCGTGCCAATTGCGTAACTTGGAAAAATTTGGCACATCTCGAGTTTTCACGGGCGATTTAACTCGATACGAAGTATTAAATCAAAGACCCATCAACAATGTTCGGGTTTATTTTTTCCTCTCTCTCTTTCTCTCTTGAATGAGTATAAACGAGAAGTTGTGCGCGCTGCATGCCAAATGAATAAATGGCGACACTTGTGGGCGCGGCGAGCTTCTCGGACGACTTTCCATTATTTCGAATGAGCATAATCGATAACGCAAATACCGTCGCCCGATCTCAGGTACAAAGGATCAGTGGAAATCCACGAGAGCAGCAAGTATCACATGTCACTGGAGCTAGATCAGAAAATTTATCATCTGGCTAGGCTGCTGATAAACGAAGTCGTTCAGCAGGACAGCGGAGAGTATAGAGCCGTAGCGAAAAATAGACTCGGCCAAGGTGTCGCCACGATCAGCTTGACTTTTGAGGGTGGCGATAGACCCAAGTAGGATTTCTTTCAAGTTCTCGCTTCTATTTTATGTCTCTCCACTTCTTCTCTGTGTTTTCTCTCTTTATTTATTTCTCTCTCACTCTCTCTTTTTCTTACATTCTTCTCGTTCACTTCTATGTATGTTTCCTCAACTTTTATCTGCATCTGTGACTCTCTTATTATTTCTCACTTTACTATTTCCTTTGATTTACTACTAGGTAACGGTAGTGCATGTTCTTATTGTACGTTGTAAAATTCCACGATAGATTTGCACAATAGGGCAAGGTACTGAGGGTACAAATTTGAAAAACATTTTTCGTCTACAAAGCTATGAAATTAAAACATATTTATATTTAAATTATCCAGGAAAAACCCCTAATAATAATCTGTGGGTGTAAATGTTCAGAACTAATTTTTTCAGCTAAATTTGGGTCCATTAGTTAACGTTGGAATAAGTTTTCACCACTCACTTAACAATGACTCCTAGATTATCTATTAACACTCCAGAATCGTATTTAACTCGAAAAATGACATGATAATTTGTCGTATGAGAAATCATTTTTATCTCTAACCCAGGAATTTCGTCAACTCGCAATTTGAAGAAAATTTGGTACCTACCCTCAGTACACAATTTGTTCAGCAATCGCTTTCGTTGAATTTTATAAAGCACAATAATCCGGAACCAGCGCTGATTCTGGGCCAAAAGTCTTTTCCTTGTGTTTCTCTCTCTCTCTTTCTCTCTCTTTCCAATGGTTATATGATTTATAAAAATAAGGTAATCGTTGTGCGCGTGTGTTACGTGTCCGAGCAGAATACCCGATGACAGGGCGCCACGTTTTCCGAAGAAACCCACCATTCGCCAAGAAGGAGACGTCCTAATAATGGAGGTCGTAGTGACCGCACATCCAGCACCGGAAATAACCTGGTACCAGGGCCTCAAGGTTATAAACGGGGATAACGCGGGACGCATCAGAATGACGCGGAAAACCACGGGCAAAGATACTTTCTTGTTAACACTCGAAATATCTAATCCAACAAAGGCCGATGGTGGTCAATATAGGTGCAATGCCTTAAACAAGTTTGGCAACAGCAGCGCCAACATCTCCTTGAATTTCCAAGGCAAGTTGCATCGTGGATCCCTCTCTACCAATACACATATATATAAAAATCCCACCAAATATCTCTATTTCTTATACATATTTATATTTATTTTCGTGATTTATTATTATACTCGCCGGTCGTATGTAACGCTAGACCTAATGGTCCGTTTAGCGTATGCATTGATCGTAATGCATGCTCTTCTCTCTATATACGTATCTATTTTCTATCGCAACGAAATTTGAAAAGTTGGACCGTGGACGATGAATACCGAGCGTATGTCAGTTGTGTACAAATGAATATCTGCCGAAATAATTCAAATGATATAATAATAGTAATTCTTCTTAACAATAACCGTCATAACCAGTAGAGCAAACACAACAATTTTTTCTCAGCTTCGAAAAAAACCATGTCTTTAACAAATTATTTGTTGTATTTAACAATTATTGCTAGAGTGTTTCATCGCGTATATTTACTCTAACGCGCAATCAACTAAAACTCAGCTCTCTCTCATCGCTTTGACTTGTAACGATTATACATTCGTGAGATTTTCGTCATCCCAACCTAATTCTCGTATTCACGCTTTGTCATACGCAAAAATATTAATGGAAAATTATCAAGGTGCAGAAGATCCAGCTGGTTTCGCTCCGACGTTTGTTGGAAAGCCTCAAATCGTGCCCAATGCCACGGGTACACTCATTTCATTGAAGGTCAAGATCAGAGCAAAGCCTAAACCTGACATCACGTGGTTCAGAGGCAAAGATGCCATCAAAGAATCAGCCAAAGTTAGTTTCTCTTGTGTTTCCGAACAAGAAGATATTTATGAAGTTAGACTCGATCTTAAGGTAGGTCGCACATGTTTTCATATTTGAAAATATCATTGTCACATTATTATGAGTTTAACAAATTTCTTTCATTAAAATAGGATCCGGTTAGCGCCGACGGAGGAGCGTATCATTGCTTCATGAAGAACGAGTTTGGCGAACTTACCGCCAATTTGAATCTCAATATCGAAGCCGAACCAGAACCCGAAGGCGATGGACCAACGTTTGTGGAAAAGCCACGAATTCAGTCCCACGACAAGGGAAAAATCGTCATCATGGATTGTAAAGTTAAAGCCGTGCCAAAGCCCACAATTACATGGACACACGCTGGCAACGTTATTCAAGAATCATCCAAAATTCAAATCAGCATCGTGGAAGAATCCGCGGGTATTTATTACATCAAGCTTGTCTTAAACGATCCTGGAGCAGATGATTCTGGATTGTACAAGTGCAGCATCAAGAACGATCTAGGACAGCTTAACGCAAATCTCACCCTCAACGTAGAGAGTATGTATAAATAATGCAATATTAATCAACAACAGTTAGTTATATTGTAGAGCTAATTTTACTATTTTAATTTTTGACAGTCATACCTGTGATCAAAGAAAAACCAAAGGTCATCAAGATCATTAAGAAGAAGACGGTCATCGTCGAATGCACCGTCCTGTCCAAGTTTGCTCCTGACTGCACGTGGTTCAAAGAAACCAAGGCAGTCGAAGTCGACAACAGGCATAAATTGCACGTTGAAAAGATTAAAGAAGGTGAATTTGCGGTGAAATTGGAGATCGAGCAAATATCTCAAGCAGACAGAGGTAAATACAAGCTGGTAGCGAGAAATGAAAAAGGCGAAGCAACATCCCAAGTCGTGGAGGTTCAGGAGATACCCGAGGAACCAGATCCACCAAGACTGGCGTCGGGACTCAAGTCAATTGTGAGTTCGACAACCGTATTATTGTTTCCCTCTCTTCTTCTTTCTCTGTACTCATTCTATCGCACATCTGCCAATCTGTGTAATTGCACTATTAGGTATTAGTTGCCAAAAATAGTCAAGTCAGTGACTTTGGCGGATGACGTGTTTTGTTTATTCGGCGCCGTACCACACAAATATACTCACCGTACTATATTCGATAATTTGAGTTGAAAATAAACACTTCTTGTTTATTCTTAGTTTAATTGCAACAAAGATTTTCATAATTTTAAACGCGCAAAGTGCATGAAAATAAGAAAGGCTGTTGCGATCTGAACGATAATTTAGCAGATAAAACATTTGAATTGACAAATACTATCAATTATTCACATTTTCTAGACCGTCGAGGAAGGCAAAACGGCAGAATTCTTGGCAGTGCTACTGAAATCTGATACAAAAGTTACCGTCACGTGGTATAAGTAAGTATTTCTCTGGCTTTTAAATATTTGATGTGATTTTTTTATCTAAATACTTATCAACTTAAAACTTTTTTACAGGGATTCGACTGTTATCAAAACTTCAGAAACTTATAGTCAAAGTTTTGATGGCAAGGAAGCTAGATTACTTATTAGTTCAACTACTCAGGAAATGACGGGTACATATAAAATCGTGGTCAGCTCTGAACATGGAAAAGATGAGTCTACGGCAAATTTGGTTGTTGAGGTAATAAAGATTTTAACTAGTTTTTTCCATTCTTTGATAAATTCGAGTACATTTTTTTCTCATTATAACGTGATTTTTTTTTGTTAAATTCATTTCAACTCTTGTCAGTTAATCATCTCTATCTGTCTCCTTTCATGTTTCCAATTCCAGTAATTTTTTTTACATTTGTTTGAAATCATGTTCATGTTTAATTTCGTTCGACTAACTTTCTATATTTACACACACACACATTAAGAGTTAAATTATAAACAAATGTTATGATGGCTTCTACATAGAAAAAAGAAAAAAAGAAAAAGACCGACGAGGACGAAGAGCAGAAAGAAAAATTGAAAAAGAAAGAAGAAGAGAAAAAGAAATTGGAAGAAAAGAAAAAAGAAGAAGAGAAAAAGAAAGTAGAGGAACAGAAAAAAGAAGAAGAGAAAAAGAAAGTGGAGGAACAGAGAAAAGAAGAAGAGAAGAAAAAAGATCTAATAAAGAAAAAAGAGGAAGAAAAGAAGAAGGTAGAGGAGAAAAAGGAGGAGAAAACAGTTACCAAAAAGAAGGTAGAGGAAACAAAGAAAATCGAGGAAGAAAAGAAAGAAAAGGTATTCATTATTGAAGAACTTCACACCAGCTTATTGGCGAACGTTTGCTTGAAAAGGCTTAAACATTCATCCATCTGTTCAAAAAATCAATGCCAGTTTAATAGACAGTTGACTAGATGCTGGCAAAGATTAAAAAAAGTACTTGATGGATATGCTATTAACACATTTATAATGCTCAACTAATGAACTGTAAAATTTTATTGCTATGCCACTGCTGCCAGCTTTTGCAAAATAAATATTTAAGATCGGATTATTAACGAAAGGAACATTTTTTAAGATTCCTGAATCCAAAGAAAATGGTATTGACAAAAAACTACAGAAAAAGGTGAGAAAAAAGATTCCATCATTGTCAACCAATTACCATTATACTTCAATATGCACACAATGGGCGATACCCTTGTATTTAATCAATTGTATTTAAAAATAATTATGATTAACTCTTTTTTTATGATTTAAAAACTTGATCTGATCTTTTTAAACACCTGCTTTCATGACCTTGGCCTACAAAATCCAAAAATAGAAATTGACCCACTTAATACAGTACGTTATTACGGGATACTGTACTTTTAAGTAGATTCTATCTAAAATTTATTATCTTGTTTGAAATAACTTTATTTTATTTTTATTATTAAGCATACTTTGCAAGTACTTGATTTTTGGTTTTTTTTTGTTCTAGGTGAGTTTTACAACAACATGGTATTATACTCTTTCGACGATGGCAATAATTCATTTGAACACGTGCATATATGCAATACAGTTCTTTCAAGCTCTGATGGATTCGCTTTTTTATTTTTGGCTTCTGACAATTTCTTTCGATACTCACTGCTTCAAGTCACTACCATGAGAAGCTTTTCTTCGCAATTTTCTTAGTTTCTACGAAGCATTGAATTTTGAAATTGTGGGCTTACATAACTCTTGATTTCATTTTCTTAGCTTTTTGTATTACTTTGCCGCTTCGTACAATAACTGGTCATTTTAAACAGGAAAATATTTTAAGCTTTATTGATTATTTCATTTTGACAAATGTAGGTTTGTTTAACAATTTTTTTGTATAAATGTTGCGTAATTAGTGATTGATCATAATAACAAAATTTTGTTTGTATTTATATTAATGAGTTGAGTGTACGTTTTAATTTATGCAAGAGTAAATTGAATGATTTAAATCTATAATGATGATTAAAATTATATTCTATAACTTATTTGGTTCGATAATTAAAGGAAAAACAAGAAGTTATCAATGTCGAAGAGTCCAGTACAGTCGAAAAGGTACTTACTTTTACTTTTATAATATTGATATTTTTGTGGAATGAGTTTTAAAACTGTTTGATTTTTATTTAGAAAAAGGTTGTAAAGAAGAAAGAAGCTGGCTCAAGAGAGATGACTCCAGAGAAAAAAGTGGCTTCAAGGAAGCAATCTGTTAGCCGCGTTGAAGAACTCAAATCTGAAAGTAGAAGGAGTTCTGTTAGTAGTAGGACTGAGGAAACGGTAAAATTAAATATTAGTCAGTCTTGAGGAAAATTTTTGAGTGATTTTTTCAACGATTTATTAAAATTTTAGATTCACGAAGATGGAACGAGCACACCAGTTCGCCGCGTATCAATTCAATCGGTAAATACATCCTTCTTCTATCTTTTTTTGTACCTTTGAGGTTGTTTGTTTCAATTTAAGAAAAATTTTACATTTTTTTAGCAATCCGAAGAAGAAAGTGTATCGGAAAGTCGACGATCATCAATAATGAGCCAAAAAGTAAGTATAATTTATTTTGAAAATTTTTCGAGTTCCATTTGAAAAAATAGTGACGTACATCATTTGGTACTCAAAACTGAACCTTTACCTTAGGATGAAAGTATTGCCTCACAAAAACCCAAATTACTCGGCAAACCAGTTGAAAAAGAGAAGGTACTTTTAATTTCATGAAACTTAAATTAACTCTCTTATTAATTTAAAAATTTATTAAAAACTTACCATTATTACGGCATCATTCTAAAACCTCCCCAAAATATGATATGATTACTCGTTTACAGACCCCCAAGCGAGATTCCGTCAAAAGTCGTAAAGATAGCGATGCACAAGTTGACGCTAAGGTATTGCTCTTACCTTCCAATTACACTTGTAACTGCTTCATAACAAAACCACTGTAAACAAATTCACGTTTCACTTTTACAGAAACCTCAGTCGAACGATGAACCCGACCACACAAAACAAAGTTCGATCAAACGTAGCTCAGTTAAAAGAGACTCTGTCAAAAGAGATTCTATTAAATCAGATGAGGTATACTCAATGCATATTCTTAATGAATATTTAATCGCGTATTATTTAACAAATTAACACATAATAAGACATTTTTATTCAATTATGATAATAATATAATATATTACCATTCTAAAAAATCTCATTTTTTTAATTTTCGATAAAAAATTAAAAAAATTATAACTTTTGTAAGTAAATGTCAAACTCGGGAACTTTTCAGAAAATCATTTCAAACGGCGATGAAACTTCGGTTACACATACAAAACAAGCTGAACTTGAAACAAAAAAATCACCTGATTCCACCAAAAGGGGGTCCGTTAAAAAAGAACCAACCGATAAACAAGTTGGTGAAAATACACCATCAACCAAAAAACCAACAGATCTTCTCAAACCTGATAGTCAAGTAAGATTACACTTAAACATGAATAACTCTATTTTTTTTACAAATTCAAGTTATTATTACAAAAGTCATATAAGCAGCTTGTACAAAGCCTGTTTTCATTAACTATGTGTTTAATATTTAACACACATAACTTTGACACACATTCCAGAAATCTACACGCAATGAAAATCGCAAACATAATTCAACACAAAAATCATCATCTTCGTCATATGAAAGTTTCACTCTCACTTCAGTTGATGATAATTCAATGCAAAAATGTACTGTCTATAGAACATATGAGGTAAATTGAGAGTAAACGTAAAATATTAATCAAAATTGAATTAAAAACACAATATTTTAAACCATTATCATCAAATTTACGCAGGAATCTGAAGAACCAGAAACTGTAATAGTTGAAGAATTTGATGATAACGATAACACACCCCAAGAAAAACCGAGACACACTAAAAAAGATTCTCGGCATTCTGTTAAAACGTACTCATATCAAACGGAGTATGAGGTAAAATTAGGATTAATTTTTTTTTTCAATTTTGTTTCATTATGAGTAAATATTAATTGCTTCAAAAATAGGATCAGAAACCTGATACAATTACAATTGTTGAAATAAGCGACGAAGAAAATATAGAAACAGAAAATAATAAACCATTATACTTCAAGCGGTTCTCTGTAGATTCGCGTAAAAGTTATGATTCTCGAACTGAGAGCAATAAATCAATTACATTAGAACAAGAGGTAAAAACCAATATGTAGATAAAATTAATGTTTTAAATGGTCGTTTACAGTTTTGTAATATTTATATATTGTACAGGTTGATAGTGAGTACGATATTCGATATAAATCATCCGATGATGAAAGTGAACCGAATAAAATTATCATAGTTGGTGTTTCTCCTACCAAAACACACTCTAAAGCAATTCTTGCATCCAAAATTAAAATGAGCCAAAATGAAATGGTGAATAATATTCATATATTTTTTTTCTTCTTTTTATACATTTTTTCATAATGCTATGTGTTTTTATTTGATTAGTATTCTGATAAAAAATCAAAAAGTTATCAAATTGATGATGAAAGTAAAGCTAAAGAGAATACTGAATCTGATTCTACTCCGAGTAAGAAACACGTCAAATCAAGTTCTAAATCAGAAACTAAAACAACTAGAAATGAAATGGTAAATGTTGTTAAAAAATTAGTTTTTGAATCTTTTCTTGAAATTTGAGTTATTAATTTAAATTCATTTTATTAGTATTCAGATAAGACGTCTGATAGTTTCGAGATTGATGATGAAAAAGAACCGAATGAAACGACGGTAGTTGATTCCTCTTCACACAAAAAATACATTAAATCAAACACAAGATCAGAAACTAAAATGAGTCAAAATAAAATGGTAAATTATACTCGAAAATTCTTTGAAACATTTTTGACAGTTTTAATTACTCAAATTATTTTTTATCGTTAGCAATCTGATGATAAGTCAGAAACCGATGACATTGATGATAAACATAAAGTCGATTCAGCTTCAAATAAAAAATACGTTAAATCAAACACAAGATCAGAGACTAAAATAAGTCAAAATAAAATGGTAAATTATACTCGAAAATTCTTTGAAACATTTTTGACAGTTTTAGTTACTCAAATTATTTTTTATCGTTAGCAATCTGATGAAAAGTCAGAAACCGATGACACTGATGATGAACATAAAGTCGATTCAGCTTCAAATAAAAAATACGTTAAATCAAATACAAGATCAGAAACTAGAACAAACAAAAATAAAATGGTAAATAAAATGCGAAATTCTTCTTTTATTCTTTTATTACTTGAATCATATTCATTCAAATTTTTCTTATATATTAGCATTCTGATAAAAAATCGGAAAGTTATGAACTTGATAAAGGTAAAACAGATGAAACTATCATGGTTGATTCTGTTTCAAATAAAAAGCACATTAAATCAGGTGTTAAATCGGAAACTAAAACAAGTAAAAATGTGACGGTAAATAATATTATTTATAATTTCACGAAATATTTTATATAAATTTTAATTATTTTATTTTTATTTATTATTATACCAGTATTATGTTGAAAAATCGGAAACCGATGAGTCTGATGATGAAAATAAACCGATTGAAAACCCCGTAGTTGAAACAGCTCAAAATAAAAAACATACTAAATATCATAGTAAACCAGAACTAAATACAAATGATGATGAAACAGTAGAATTAGAAAACGACGAAATTGATGGCACGAAGGGTCCGAAAAAAGCGGTAAATGACAAAACTCCGATTCGGGATTCTGAAAATGTACAAAATAAATTGCCAAAAGATATCGCTGACGAGGTAAATTTTTATAAGTAACGGAAAATACACGGTTCGATGAAATGTATCTAAAGCACTTCAATATTTTTAATCAGAAACCATTCAAGACATCAAGTGACGCTAAGGATAAAGGTAGCAAAGTTATTACAAAGAAAAAGAAAAAGAAACCACTTGTGACTGGTCCACTACCAATAATACAACAAACATACGATGAACACTCATTTACACCAATCGAAATTCACATAACAGAACCTAGTGATACACACGAAAATGACGTTCCATCAAAATTAAATACAAATGAAATTAAGGTACTACTAACGATACAACATTTGGTATATTTTTACACTTTACTCTACTCTTTTATGAACACTATACTGGGACTTTCATTCACAACTTTCATTTCTGTAATAACAGCTTCAAGCTTTTGAAATAAATTCTATTTTTTTCAGTTCTCAATACTATGTAACAATAAATCTTTTCAATAAATAACATTAATTAGTCTTAACGTATCAGTCGATTTTATATAAATACTTAAAAAACTAAGAACTAAAATGAATTATTTCAAAAATAAATCTTATATGTAATTTTTCATATTGTCAATTATAATTATAAGCCACTGTAATAAAACACTATATAATTCATTACTTAACAGAGCTCATGTACCTTCTCTAAAAAATTAACAAACATTTCTTCCAGTATTGTAATGTCCAGCAAAGTATGATAAAAATAATTTTTTCACATTTCAGTTAACATTACTTTTTAACTCATTCACACAGAATTTTAAAAGTTTGCAAGGCTAATCACACAATTACTTAAAAGTCAAAATTAAATTTTCAGCAGAAGAAACCGAAGCAATTAGAAGAAAAGAAGGAAACAGAAACACCAATAACAGATACGGTATACACACTATTCTTTCTTCGCAAAAATAAAAAATCTCCAAGAAAAATATTAACTATCCATTTGAACGTACAAAAGAAAGCAATATAATTCCTTTACTATCATTTTATTCTTGTTTATTCTATCTAAAATTACACAACCTTTATGCGCTACTATTCATTTCTGTGCAAAAACAACCATCAATCACACAAAAAACACCGGAAAAAACTGAAAAATTAAAGGTACACCAGCGAACTTAGATACTCGGACCTCGAAAATTTGCGATCGATTAGTCGCTTCCTTCAAGTTTTTTAAACAACAGCGCGTGACTACGGTTTCATGACGTGCATTGCACAGTGAAGGAAGCGACTAATCGATCGAAAATTTTCGAGGTCCGAGTATCTAAGTTCACTGGTGTACAGACTTATCAGCATAATTCTGATACATCACATTTACAAAATAATTGACACTTTACGCTTCAATCTTTTTCATAAACTTCAATGAAATATTCTGTTTATTCTTATTTATCCACCTCTGATTGATAAAATTCAATTTTTCTACAGGATAAATCACCAACTACACAAAAAACGCCTAAAAATATCGAAAATTTGAAGGTAAAAATGATTAACTTTGATGTCAAAAACTCACATAGAAAAATTCAACTTTACTTTCTAAAAACTGTTAACCACTTTTTCGAATACAATAAAAAATATTCATGCATTATAAATGAATATTCATTGGTTGATTTTTTCTTCAGGAAAAATCACCACCTAAACAAAAAACGCCGGAAAAAACTGAAATTCCAAAGGTACAAAGTATTCACTATCATTTCAGAAACTCACATGTAGAATTGTTAACTATCTATTTCATTAAGTATAACATTTTTCCTCTAAGTACAATAAAACACATTTTTCGATTGAATCCAATACCAATTGATGGTAATCAATTTCTGTTTAGGACAAATCACCTTCTACACAAAAAACACCCGAGAAAACTGAAACTCCAAAGGTACAAACTATTCTCTATCATTTTAGAAACTCACGTTGCATACTTCTATTGTCTATTCTATTAAATTCGTTAATTTTCTTTCAAGTATTTACAAAAAACACATATTTTTCGATTGAATCCAATACTAATTGGTGGTAATCGTTTTCTTTTTAGGAAAAATCACCTTCTACACAAAAAACACCCGAAAAAACCGAAACTCCAAAGGTACAAACTATTCACTATAATTCTAGAAACTCACATGTTTAGTTGTCAACTATCAATCACATTAAATACAACAATATTCTTTCAAGTATTTACAAATAAACACATATTTTTCGATTGAATCCAATACTAATTGGTTGTAATCCTTTTCTCTTAGGAAAAATCACCATCTACACAAACAACACCCGAAAAAACCGAAAATCCAAAGGTACAAACTATTCATTAAAATTCTAGAAACTCACATGTTGTATTCTTATTGTTTTTTTCTATCAAATGCAACAATTTTTTGAAGTATATATTATAAGTACACATTTTTTATTTAATTCAATACTGATTTGTGGTCATCGTTTTCTGTTTAGGAAAAATCACTACCTACACAAAAAACACCCGAAAAACCTGAATCTCTCAAGGTACAAACATTTTTCCTTCAAATACAAAAAAAATTATTTTTTTGTTGATCCCGATATTTACTGACGGTTTTTTCTTCTTAGGATAAATCACCAGCTACACAAAAAACACCTGAAATTATTGAAAGTTTGAAGGTACATTGCATTTTTCAAAGTTTTAAATGGAATACACATTTGCACCGCACATTTTAATGACTACAACCCTAAATTCAAATAAAAATTAACAGATTTTCATACCTTGACATATCCTAAATTTCATTGGTAAATATTTATTTTCACGCAGGAAAAAACACCTGTTACACAAAAAACAACCGTTACACAAAAAACACCTGAAGTAACTGAAAGTTCGAAGGTACATATTTATTTTAGAAGATAATGAAAAAATCTCTTACACTATCAGAGTCTTTAAATCCATTTATAAACTCTACATACTATACATTCCCAAATATTCATTTTTGTGCAGGAAAAATCACCAGCTTTGCCCAAAACTCCTCAAAAATCTGACAATGTAGAGGTACACATAATAAATTTTTTATTTTTTTATATTATTAAAAATCCTTAGTTCTTTACTTTAAAGAAGTAGTATTTTACATACATTTAAATACACCGAATACATTCGATCAACACTCAATTACAATTTCACAACTTTGTACAGGAGAAAGCCCCACTTACACCAAAAACACCTGGAAAAACCGGAAGCTTAAAGGTACACTCATAAATATGTATTTTTGCTGCGGTTAACTATTATCACCTCACAAAATCACTAAAAAGAAAGCCTGCAAACAAACACCTATGACGCTATTGACATAATTTTCCATGGAAATCTGCAAAAATGTTTTCGAAAAAAATCTAACGCATCTTTTAATTTTCTTTGCAGGCCAAACCAGAAGAGTCGGATAGCAGACGATCAAGTTTGAAACCTGGATCCAGATCCGACGAAAGAAAATCTTCGATTGAAAAAGTTGATCTCAAAGTAAGTTTATTTCTAATTGTTGTCGCAACGTGTAATCATTCGTGACAATTATTTAATCGATACAACGTAAATTCAAGAACTGAGGTATCAACCGGTCGTATATTAGAACATCTATTACTTATACTTCTTCAGTTCATACGCGTACATAAAAACCGCCCTTGAGATTTATAGGATTTGACAATTTACCGAAAGCTTACATAAAACTTATTATCAAAACAAAACACGAAAACAAACTTTTTTATTAATATAACATTTTAACGATTGATACCAACGCAGCCCGTGGGTAGTAGTCCTCGCTCCAGTGGTAAATGGGGTAGGCCACCCCTTGAGAAGCAAGAAAAGAAGGTTGAAAATTTTGCAGCTATACAACTTAAGCCTGTGCAAAGAGTTGGAAAAACGCCTGAAAAGGCCGAGAATGGAAAAATTTCGTTAAAGGTATCCCCTCGAGAAAGGGCAGAAAATAATTTCCCCTCTCGACATATCTGCTTATATTGCTCCGAAGATTTCTTGAATCTTCTACATTCTTTATTGTCTATTTTTCTTCTCTCTTCTATATTTTCTTCTTTGATCACTATTTTTCTCTGACCTATGCCAAACTCTTTTTTCTCTCTATCTCTATAAGGAATAATACTTTACGTCTAAAGACGGTATTAAAAAAGTCAGTACTGCCGTCAACTTCTTTTTACTAGTCTACCTACTCTACTATTTTCTCTACTATTTTTCTTCTATTTAAAATAAAGTCGTAATGCGACAATGAAACTTTTCTTTAATCTAAAAAAAAATAATAAATTTAATAGCACTTCATTGGTGATTAACTTAAAGGTTTCCTAATTTATGAGCTCATTTACTTTTCATAAAATGAATCTCTTTGATGCTTCAGCTATATCTATACTATTTCAACACACCATTACAACATTCATAAATCCCAGGCATCTCTCTGTCTATTCTGTCTCTTTCTACTTTACCTTTATTTTCTTGGTCTACTCATAATATCTGTTATAAGACAGTTCTAAGCTCAAACAAGTGTGTTAAATAAAACACTACTTTATAAAACTCAATCTATGAAATAATCCCAATTCTCTATAACTTTTATTATTTATTAATAAAAAATTTATTAAACTCTACTATTAAAAAAAATCTACGACTATTAAAATTAAATTTCTGATAATAACAATGACATACAATAGCACCAATGCTTTATCCACAAATGCACTCAACAATGACATGTTCCTCTCATCTTTTAGACTTTGGGTCGCCGTCTAATAATAATTCAGAGAAACTAAAATTGAAACAAACTATAATAAATAAATCGTCATAACGATAAATCACTAGTCAAATAATATAAACACCCTAGAAAATAATCTCAACTAAGGACTTTTCATACATTCATTATAACCGAGTAATAATGAAGCCTCATTTTAAAAAAATGCGCACACTATAAATTTAATGCACAAACAGATCTCTTTATCATTTATTATCTACCTTACAAATAACATCGTCAATCTATATTAGTAACAAAAATGAGAAATCATTTAGCGAGTACTCGAAGACAGGCGTGATTTAACAACATTGTAATTTTTATCACTAGAAAACTGGAAAAGAAGATAAACTGGAAGTTAAAAGATCAAGTAAGAAGAAGGCAGACAAGGAAAAGAGCTACGATTTGCCCGAGATACCAGATTACGAGAGAGCCGTTTTGGAGAAACCGCAAGAATTCGACTTTGGAGAGTACGTGCCACGCGGAAAAACGAAGCTGGAAAGACCAGCTACTCAGGTAAGTCGAAGATGCTCCAGCTCAGCACTGTCACGCCAGTTGCGAACAGGAAGATACCTTTATAAATTTAGAAACTGAAAATGAGAAAGCCAAAATTTTCTAACGTCTCTCGAAAATGTTTGCACGGGCCGTTGTCGTCGTTGGCTTGGTTGTTACGCCGTTACCCGTTGCTGCCGCCGTGCCTGTTCAATCGGACCATCGCAGAAATTCGACTCCAAGGTGACGTATATATGGTCTTAAGAGTGAAAAGCGATTTATGCCGCTCTCTCTCTCGGCCAAAGCTGGCTGATTAACGCTTATAACGATATACAGGCTGAGCGCTGGTGGTGTGTGCACGCCTACGCAACTAATTCTCCGGCTAGACTGCGACGGCGGCGGCGAGTCTCTCTGCTTGGGCCAAAACGACGCGCCATCGAGAGTGAAGGCGCGTAATCGAAGCGTACGGGCGAATTTCATGCCCGCTTGGTTTCGATTACTACTTTTCGCCGCTGCTGCTCTTGCATCGGTCTATGCGTAAAGTATCGCAGAGAGAGCGAGTGGAGCGCGATACGATGACGGATGCGACTTTTCTCCAAGCGCACGCGGCCAACTCGCTCCTCGCTCGCGTGCTTTATGCCACTTGACACTCGATGAGCTACCTACTAGTCTTTGCTGTCTCACAAGCAGCGCGTGTGTATAATAAATACTTCTACGCGCGCGCGTCCGCTTAAGCTCGCACGAGCTTGCGAGCTTGCGAGCGCGCGCGGCGAATCTGTGTGCGTGTGTGTGTGTGTTCGTGTGCGTAATTAGAGGAGGGCTTCGTTCCCGAGAAAGAGAGAGAAAGAGAGGTGCGCGCAAGTACACTCGAGCAAGAGCATAATGGGACCTTGGATATTTTGGGCAAATTATAACGAGAGCGCCAGGTAGTAGTAAGTAGTAGTTCATACAAATTCGCCTCTGTGTACGTATTGGTACACCTCCCTGCTAGATCGGGTCACTAGCCGTACCTACGTGCGCGCACAGTCTCGCCTCTCTCGTGCTCTCGCCACTAGCTCTATCTCTCTCTCTCACTTTCTCTCATGCCCTCTCACCCTCTCTCCCTGAGTCTTACTCGATCGTCTTAATCCGATCGAGTAGTCAGTCCAGTTTTTGTTCTCGTTCTTGTTGACAAATGCCTAATTGTGCAACTTGTGGGTGATTGTGTTCTCTATAGCCTAAGCTACCCGAGATCAAGGCACCGGAAATCAAGACACCCAACGAGGCGCCCAAGATCGAAGTCATCAAGGACGCGACATCGCCGTTAAACAGCCGTCGAGGATCCATTGTGCCTGGCAGTGGCACCAGCAGTCGACGCGGATCCCTCATACCACCCGAGGAGCTCGGACGCAGACCCAGTCTTATCATCAGCGACGAGGTAAAGTATTCAGCTCTGATTTATATTGTCTGTGATGGTGCACGATATGGACGAGCAGCCCAGACAATCGTTCTTTTACTGTATCATTACATATTTCTCGCGGTTTCCCAGTCTAGTTTATGCAGTCCTTTCGAAGTAGTTTGACCCCACGCAAGCACCAAAGCCCGAGAGTCTGGCAGAGTCGAGATTGTAATACGATACTCTGAGTATCTTTGAATCGAGTTACGATTCTTGAATTCGACTGCAACTGGTCTCTCGACTTTTTCTAATAATCGGATTTTCACTTCTTTTAGCTGTAGACTAAAGACTATATTAGATCACTTATTGACACTACTACCTAGTTATCTGATTAGTCAAAACTTTGCTAAATAGACTTGCTCTCTGTATAATACATATAGAATTTCATTATAGATCTATCACTCTCTATCTATTCTGTTAACGCTCTCGAACCGTTGCATTGCCAGATCCTCTCATTAAACTATTTTTCTCTATTTTCTCTGGCATGTTTCTCGATCGTTTCAACTATTATAATTCAGTCCATTCCCATGTTATTCAATTTGAACAGTGAGCAAAGTCGTACCGTTTATTTCACAAATTCTATGAAACACGAGGCATCGAATAGCCAATCATGAATATCCCAACTTTCAACCATAATTCTCGAAGTAAGAATTGAAAAATTAATGTATGTTAGCTGGTTAAAGGTAATCCTGTTATCTTGCATACATGAAGAAATGACTACATGTCTGTAACCAGGTAAACTCTATATGCCTCACATAGAAAACGACACGATTATGTAACTCTTACAGCGGTACACGTATAGTGCAAATAAAAAAAATGTCTTCTTGAAAAAAATACACAGTACGATGAGCCAATATAAACGTAAAAAAAAGTTCAATCACACCAGCAAAACAACATCAACAACATAATTCGCACATATCATGCTCATAACAATTTGGTCCATAGGAACATAGAAAGCTGAGACCCGGTGAAGTGGTGGATGATCGTAAGGTGAGAGTCATTTTTTTTCTTCCTCCTTCTGAAGAGGAAGCAAAAGCAAATAACGAGCGAAAATTAATCAACATTAATTTACTTTTAATTTACCGATAATTTTTTACATAATTTTTATGATATCGATAATTTTACACAGCGTAATAATACTTTTTCATAACTGGAATTTCACTTATGTTTACACCATGAATAATTTTAAACCAATAATAATTTTAAATAAAAAAGAATTAAAATGAAAAATTAAAATCAATACTCTCAAACTCTGTACTCTGGCACTCACTGCACTCTAAAATTTTATACTGCAAACTTCAAATAAATTATTTCTTGCATAAACATGTACTCATTTACTCGACATAAGCCACTTTTTTAATGACAACGCCATATCACATTATTTATATTCTATACTTACACGTGCTCGACGAGCAAAGCGAGAAGCTACTTATATCCCTCAACTAATTAATATCCACGGTTATAATCTTACTCTCACTGCTTAGATCATACTAAACTGAAAATAACATCTTCGAAAAATCCCGTTTGGATGTCGCGAACATATTTAGGTCTAAAATCAGACCGAAATACATTTTCGACACATTAGATAATAATAAAAACGATGCGATTTCCCGCGTTCATATCCCAAATGTAATTCAAGCCGTAAGCGTCGAAGCCTATACGCGTCCAATATAAGCACAAAGCGCCGTGTCCGAGCAATTGCCACGGCTGCGTTCACTCAAAATCCTCACGGGCGCGCGTGTTGGCGCGAGCGTCTTCAGGTATATATCGCGGGGCTGCTAGAAAAAGTGCCGCGCGATAAAGATAATGTCTCTTATGTATTAAATAAATTATCGCTGAAAATAAGCAGATGATATCCGAAAATAACCCTCGTACTCTCTCGTAGTGTAAAGCGAAATGTATGCCATCTGGCAAAAGACGAATATTAGCGCGCGCGGCAGCGTTCCACGCTACTACCTATCATAATTATATGTGCCGTTGCGAGCACTGGCAATATAAATACCTTCGGCGCGGAGCGCAAGTCCTTTGCTCGGCCTCACAATTTATCGGCTTGCGTACGGGCGATCGAGCTCCGGCGGCGGTGGTACACGCGCGAGAAAAATTCGTACTTACATCGCGGGAGCGAAAAAAGCTCGCGAGTCGAGACGTACGCGACGATTGAAAATTTCCCGAGCTGATCGATATACGCCCAAGTCAAGAACAAGTGCAATAGTTTTGCATTTGCCGGCTGCTTCAATAATATATCGCGTCTGCCGCGCAGTGAGCTGCAGCGAGTTTGCGCGCATGAAAAAGATCGCGCGAGAAAGAAGCAGCAGCGGCTCGAGAAGATCGCTTCGTGCCAGATTGCCTGTATAAAATACCAGCGAGTGATGTACTGCACAGGCCCGTGCGAGTAAAATTTATAATACAGAATCTCGTATGCTTAATCTTTCCACAATTAAATATTAGTTATTCGTGGAAGAGCCCGAGCTTTTATCGCGCGAGGCGCGCATACGCGATTGAGGTGGTGGCCCGCCGCCCGACGAGAGCCACACACGCGCGCGCAAGCTCGTACTATAATGCGACGGTCACGCTCGACTGGCTGACTCTAATTTACTGCTTACCAATTTCTGACAACAAAAACACGGATACCTGCTTTGTCGTGCGTTCAATTCCAACAGACATAAATGCGGGCACATTAATCAGCCAGCCCAATACTTATATACCCACTCGAGTGCAAGCTCGCGCAAGCACACACACGCACACACTCTCCTCACTCTCACCGATCTGTACACGTATACATACATACAATACCCTATGTATAAATATATGTTCGTACAGCTTTGCGTTAATTGGCGCAGACTATTTTCTGCTGAATCTCATAATCTATTGCTTTTTGATTGAAAGGGCCATGGCAATCATGTTGCGCACATCCTGAGCAATAAATTTTCACGATCTAAACTGAATCCAAATGAATCGATACGAGCAAGCCACATTGTAGCGCAGTCGATACGCTCGCTCAGTTTCTTATTTTCTTGTACATGATAAAAAAAGGTGCTCGTGTTGATGTTTAAATAAAAAAACAAGTATAAATAAAGCCAGTATTGACCCATCACCACCCAAGCAGTAGCCCTCTGCAGCAGCGTTTACCTGTGATGTAAGCCAAATGTTCTGTTACAATCATGTAAAAAAAACCATAGTATAGTGTTGTTTTATTTACGATTTACGAATCCACGAGTCCCTCCGCAGCTGCCATACATAGCAACTTGCATTAGTAGTTGACAGACCCGACAAATAATTCCCAAATCCCAACGTTTGTATGCGATGAATCACGTGAAAATTCCTGTATCATGTCTGTGCTGTGCCTCAATGTGAATGTGCGCGTAGTGTATGTATGTGTCATGTCGAAAAGCAAACCTCATGTGCGTCTCTACTTTTCTATGTTTTTCTTTTTCTCTCTCTCTTTCTGCAGGTTAGATTACGGCCCGGAGAGGTGTTTGATGCCAAGGTGAGATTTGTGTTGCGCCTATAACACAAAGCTTACCTATCCTGCCGTGGTTATTCAATTAAGCTATAAAATTTATATGCAGCAAAATCATTGCCGTAGCTGTGCTCTCGAACCCCAATATATCTCACTTTTTCGCTCTTTAATATTATAATATCGCCACGAAGTGTCTGGAAAAAAACTTACCATGGAATAAGTGGTATACTTTATAAATATAAATATGAATGAAATCATTCAGTTGAAAAGGGAAAGTTTTTTTTCATGACCACCCGTTTTGCAGCGCCAGCGCGCCTGCCTTAAATAATGATATTTAATGATAACTATTCTTTCATACTGAATTGTCAGTTCTCGCTTGCCGAAATCACCAACTAACAGCGAGCAAACGAACATTTGTTTCGAACAACAGGTGATATCATTTATGTTTAAAATTAATTAAGGGAATACGAAAATCGCTATGTTAAACGCGCATAGGTCGGATTGAGAGAAATCAAATTAATTGATAGATTCTTTTATCAATCAGTTGAATATTTTGAAATTAATTTAAAACATTTATTGTTACATTTTTGTCGGGGAATACGACACAGAAATACGGAAGGCCAGGCGAATTGCTTGATGACGACAAGGTTAGAATACATTTTCGATTTACTTTACTTTGTGGGGCTGGTCGTGGACAATGCTCCCGATCGGAAAGCTCCTTGTGATTAAAAAAAAATCGTGATTAACATCGTGGATACTGAACTTTCTTTCACTACGATATACTTTATGCATACATATTTGTAGTTGTGTTAATATTTCATGTATTTTTGTAGATAATGATTACTCGAACGTGTATTTTTTTAAATACAAAAAATATATATACAGTGTATTTATGTTTTTTCTTTTTTCAACTTCTCCATCTATCTGTTTTTCTCTTTGTATGTATTCATCTATTTTTCCGAGCTATAAATGTTACATTTATAAATGTGTAGAAAGTAATTTAGATGAGCATATTGCAGACCAAATGAGATTCTTTTAAATGTTCGCTCGAAGCAATCGCAACGTCGGCAATTTGCAACACAGCCGCACGTTCAATCTGCTTTATTAAGTGTTGGGTTACGATCAGAATACTTTATATTTCAGTTATTCGTGCCCTTTTCCATCATATCATTTATATGTATTTAATGCCTATAACAATAGTGTACTCTTATATGTTTGTGGGTGTTTAAGTTGTTATATTATTCCATTTTATATTATTATACACTCATCTAAATGATATACACATGAAAATCATTGATTTCAAACTTTTGACCCACGTATATATCATTCAAATACAGGCACACGTTTTACCACTTTAAAATAAATGAATATCTAAAAAAAAATAATGAGATAAAAAACTATTATAGTCAATAACAAAACTTTACCGGTAGTTGTATCTGCATAATACTGATAACGTATTGTTTGCAATGTTTATTAATCATAAATAATTATCGAAAAAAAGTCGCTCGAGCCACTCGAACAGAGGACGAATGGCGAGGGGGAAAAGCTCGTTAGTACCAAGCGTTGCATACGTACAATATACGTATGTATACATGGATAATATTATATGTGCATTCCACACAATTTACTTAGTGGTGCATTTCACAAATACATGTGAAACAATCATAGGTAGCTAACAATCAAACAAGCATAAGCCACTAGATGACTAACAAAAATTATGCCTCATCCAGCGGTACACATCTCATTTGACCTCTTTCTCTTACGCTCTATTTCTATAATACATCGTTCTTTTTCATTCATTCATCATCTATTTCTAATCATTATCATCGTTGTTTAATTTTGTAAACTAATAAGTTGCAAACCAAAACTTTTACATCTTAACCATGTATTAACAGAGTTAAGAAGTAATAATACAATTTGTTATTCTCTATTATCCAATAAGCTATAATTCAATAAATCCGATCCCGATGACTTTTGTCGTAAGCGTGACGATCGCAAGTGAGAAAACGCATCGTTGCAAATGCGCGCGAACAAGGTGAGTTGTGCAAAAGTCAACGGGAGCGCGGAACTTAACGAGATGACGTGATTAAAATATGAAATAATGTTCCTCACGAATACGCTTGACTGACGATATATTTTTGCACTTGCTTTGGGAATATTCAGCGACGTCGTCCGAGCACGGACGCGCGACGACTCAGCGTGGCGGATCTCGAAAATAAGATCAATCAGCCGAGCACACCGCTCCGAGATGTTGGAAACCCGGGCCCACCACAAATCGTCGATGTGCAAGAGTCGTACTCGGCTGTCGAAGGTCAGTACTCTCATCGATATTTTAATACATATTTCAAGTTGACAAAGACAAAAGCTTAATTTTGCTTATTTTTTATCGATTTTATTAGACTCGACGGCATACCTCACCGTTCAAGTCGAAGGTACTCCAGCTCCGACCTTCAAGTTCTACAAGGGTATGACCGAAATTATTGAAGGAGGTAGATTTAAATTCCTCACCGATTCCGAGACGAACTCGATTACATTATGCATGCGAAAAACCAAACCGAACGATGAGGGCACCTACAAGATCGTTATTAGCAATATTCATGGCGAAGATTCGGCCGAAATGATGCTTTACGTTTCTGGTAAGAATCAAAAAACTTTCTTCTTGACTTTTTTAAAAAGTCAATTAAGAAAAAACCATTAAAACTTTTTTTAATTTCTGTAGACGCCAGTGGCATGGACTTCCGTGCTATGTTGAAAAAACGCAAGTACCAAAAATGGGCTAGAGAACAAGCTGAACTCGAAAAACCTGACCTCAAGGAAGTAGAAAAACCAATGCCAGCGTTGAAAAAAGTAGAAAAGGTATTATTCTATATATTTCTATTGAAGGGTAATTTTTCATTAATTTTTCTTAGGGCATAGACTTATTTTTGATTAGTTGATAGCCAATCATGGGTAGGTAACTGATCGATTTTGTGATACATGTTGTTTTTTTTTCTTTTTTTTTTAATTGTACCCAATTTGTTTTTACGCCCTTCCGTCGTTTTTTTCGTAGACTAACAAACAAAATGTGACTTCACTTATGAGTGAAGGATCATGTCTTGTGAATGACAAAATGATTTATTTATCGGTAGAGTTTATTTACTTGTTTTAATGCATGATGATTATTGCATACATTTGTCATTTTGAATTCAATGAAGGAAATTTCGTGTAAATTTTACAAAAAATGTATAAAAAATAATTCTATAAGGTATGGAAATAACTTTCATCACTTGTTATTGAAATTCAGAGGATTATTCAAACCAAGGTTATAAAAGAGGAGGAGGATGACTGTAATGTACGTTAACCGAAGGCAAACGTTTGTATTGTCACAAAAAGTATAAAAAAAAATTCTGGGTTGATTAGGTTTTGGATTGCTTACCTTACCGATTTTTTCTAGATTCGTTTGTAAAATATTTCCATAGGTGCATTATTTTTGCATAAATTTCAATTATTTAAGTTTTACAGGCTACGGGTTTTAAAATTTTTACCGTTGCCTACTAGACATGTATGTCAAACATTTACGATAACTATGATGACTTTCAAGGCTCCGAGAAAGCAGTACAGCTTTCTTGAATGCAAAGCATATAGTAGGCATATATTTCGAATTTTTTAATTCGACGAATTTTGATTAAGATTGTACACGCTTTTGTCTATCTTCTGACAATCTTTATTCATTTTTAATTCCTGCACTTGTATATATGCAGTTATGTATTATTGTAAGTTACACTTACAATAATATATCTTATTTTATACCATATCTTCTTCGTATCCCAAGCTTTGGTCTATATAGAGCTTTATTTTTTTTATGCTAGTTTACATTTATAATGACGTTATTGAAAATTGTTGATTCTTTTGATCACGTACTACGTTTTCAAAATCCTTTTATCGTATTAGTAGTCTAAAATTTGTGACTTTTTAGATAAACACTATACAAAAATAAATTATTTGGATCTTTGTAATTCTTATCAAACCAGAAAGAATTTCAACTTATTTCAGAAATATTTTCATTTTCAGCATACTTTTGTAAGATTAATATGTACAAACGTATTTTAAAATACTTATGAAGCTTTTGAATACCAAAATTATTTAATCATCAATAATAAAATATTTTGTTTTTCTTTAGAAACCTGACGTTTTCTTGAAACCTCTGATTGATCAATATGCCAAAGAAGGTAAAGATAAGAAGACTACATTTGAAGCAAACTTTTCTAAACCGAATTGTAAACCAAGATGGTACTTTAGAAAAGATGTAAGTCCATTGAATTACTCAAAGAAAATGTTCTAAACACCTTGAAAATAAAATTGAATGTCTAAATTATAGGAGCTGTTTGAATCAAAAAAATATAAGTTCAAGAATGAAGAAGACTGCTATCAACTCATTATTTTGGGACCAAAGGTTGAAGATACAGGGAAGTACACAATTGACATTTCGGGGGTGTCAAGTACAGCTTTCCTTACGGTCGACGAACCCGATCCAACTTACACTTTCATTAAACCACTAAACCAACAAACTAGCGGTTTTGATAAGCATGAAGTTCAATTAGAATGTACAGTTAGTTCGAGCATGGCACAAGTTTCTTGGTATAAAGGAAAAAATAAGTTGGAGGTAGGATATAAAAAAATTGTAAAATTTCTTAATTTTACATTAAAACGAAAGTAAAAACGTATTTTTTATTGTAGGACGGTGACTATTATCAAATTTCGAAAGATATGTCTGGCGTTTGTCGCCTAACTATCCGAAGAGCTACATTTGACGATAGTGGCGAATACTTCTGCAAAATCAGCAAACAAACTGATAAAACCGATACTACTCTTTCTATTATTGAGTACCCGTATAAATTTGTTAAGGTACTCAAACACCAAACGGCAACTGAGAAAGAAACGATTACGCTGTCCTGTGAACTTGATGATGCCGAAGGTGAAGTAAAATGGTTCAAGGGCGAGCAAGAAATAGTATCCGATAAAAGAGTTCAGATTAAAGCAGAGGGTCGAAAAAGGAAACTTATTATCAAAGATGCCAAAGTCACTGACGCTGGAATGTATTCTTGCGTTAGTAATGCTGATAAAACGGAAGCTGAACTCATTGTCAATTGTAAATTTAAATTTTTCATAAGCCATTGAACTAAGAACTATTAAAATACTAAAATATTCCATTTTTCAGATCTTAACCGTTTCAATAAAAAACTTAAAGATACTACAGGTATAGAACGTGAAAAGGTAGTACTCGATGTTGAATTGCAAGATCAAACAGCTCCAGCAAATTGGTTCTTCAATGGAAAACCAATTGAACCCAGTGAAAGGGTGGAAATCAAAAATCTTGGTGGTGGTAAACATCAGCTTGTTTTTAACCGAGCTGAGATGGGTGATGACGGTGAAATAACATGTGAGAGTGGAGAATTAAAGAGTTCGTGTAAATTAACGATCAAAAAAGGTGAAAGTCAGCCAATCGCTGAAATACCAGAAAAAGTTGAAGGTCCAGCTAGTGCACCAATTGTTTTCATCATTCCATACAAGAGTAAGTATACTTGTTCACTACACAATAGTTTGAACTAATTTAAATTTAACTCCATATATTTCTTGCAGTCGAGGGAACGCGTCAATCTCAAGTCGAGGCCAAACTTCTTCGAAATGGAAAAGCCCTTCCTTTGAAAGATGTTGAAATTATCGTAGGTGAAGACAAAATAACTTATAAAATTAAAAAACCTCAACACGATCAATCTGGTATATACCAAGTAAATATTAGCAATGCTCAAGGAGAAACTGTCCAAGATGTCTTTGTTAATATGCAAGGTAACATTATATCCCCGTTGATTAACATTATTAGTCCTAGTAACAATAATTTTTAAAAAACGTTTTTATTTTAGATGTACCCTCACCACCACTCGATGTGGATGTAACTGACGTGTTTGCTACAAGTTGCGTTGTATCATTTAAACCATCCAAAGACGATGGTGGCTCACCAATCACAAAATATGTAATTGAACGTTTGGATATGAGCTTAAAATCACAATGGGATAGCGTTGGTGAAGTATTGCCTGGAGAAAAGACTTCTTACAAAGTTGAAGGTTTAACGACGAAAAAAGAGTATAAATTCCGCATTCGCGCTGTTAATAAGATAGGATCCAGTGAACCAGCAATATTCAAAAATCCAGTTCTAATCAAAGATCCTTGGGGTGAGTAAAATGAGCTTTTTAGATGTGTCAAATTTCTATTAAATACTAATGAGAATTATTTTCAAATATTTAGATGCCCCATCTAAGCCAGGAAATGTTGAAGTCGTTGATTGGGACGTCGATCATGCCGATCTTACATGGACGAAACCTGAAAGTGATGGTGGTGCACCAATTACAGGTTACATTATTGAGTATAAAGAGAAATTTGGTAAGGAATGGGTGAAGGGTAAAGAGATCGATGGTGATGTAACTAAAGGCACCATAGATGGATTGAAAGAAGGAACACAATATGAATTCCGCGTAATAGCTGTTAACAAAGGAGGACCTGGTGAACCATCCGATGCTACCAAACCAATCATTGCTAAGAGCCGTTTCGTAAAACCATTCATTGTTGGCGATGGGTTAAAGAATCTTGTAGTTAAAAAAGGACAAGTTATTAAATATGACATTAAATACCAAGGCGAACCTGAGCCAGAGGTTAAATGGTATTTGGGAGATAAAGAATTAATTCAAGATAAAGAAGAAAGATTGACTATTGACAAATATGAAAAAAATACCGTATTAACAGTCAGAAAAACAACAAGAGCTGATTCAGGAAAATACAAACTTGTGCTTTCAAATAGCTCTGGAACATGTGAGAGCGCTGCTGATGTAGTAGTGCTAGACAAACCAACCCGACCTCTTGGCCCACTCGAAGCTACAGAAATCCGTAGCGATCATATTACAGTTAAATGGAAAAAACCAAAAGATGACGGAGGAAGTGATATTACAGGCTATGTTTTGGAAAAAATGGATATGGATACAGGAAGATGGATTCCTGCTGGCGAAGCTGGTCCAAATGAACCTCATACGTTTACTTTCAATGGCTTATCGCCAAAGAAAAAATATAAATTCAGAGTAAAGGCTGTAAATAAAGAGGGCGAGTCAGAACCACTTGAAACTGACGAACCAATTATAGCTAAAAATCCTTACGGTAAATATACACAAAAGTATTTTATAAGCTGGCGTAGATATGCTTTTTTATTAAACGGAAGAATGATGGTATAAAGGAAAAATCATTCTTGTTATGGGTTTACTTAAAAGAATATATTAACAGTCGATGTAAATAATATTACAATGTAAAAGTTTATACTTAACGGGGAACATATCATTCAAAGTTCTTAAGATTTCATTTACATTTTAATTTTATTGATTTTGAAATATTCTATATATATTTTTTCAGATGAGCCTGGAAAGCCTGGTAAACCTGATATCATTGACTACGATAATGTTAGTGTGACCTTGAAGTGGGCCAGACCTGATAGCGATGGTGGTCGTCCAATCACTCACTATACTGTTGAAATGAAAGATAAATTCTCACCAGATTGGGTTGAATGTGCTAAAACGAATGACGACAAACCAGAAGTGAAGGTTGAAGGTTTGAAGGAAAAGATGGTTTATCAGTTCAGAGTACGGGCTCATAATAAAGCTGGATGTGGACAACCTAGCGAACCAACTGATAATCATTTATGCAAACATAAAAACCGTAAGTTATTAATTTAACAAAGTTTTATCTAGATCATTTGTAAAATTTATCATTAAAAAGAAAATCACCCTAACTTTAAAAATGTTATTTACGATAAAGTGAAAATAGTTTTGATGTTTCATAATTTATTTCAGTTAAACCAAGAATTGATAGAGAAAATCTTAAATCAGTCACCATTAAAGCTGGCAGAACTCATAAATGGTCTGTTGATGTTATTGGAGAACCACCTCCAGATTGCAAGTGGGTTTGGAGAGACGAAATACCTTTACAAAACACAGAGCGTATTAAAATTGAAAATGTCGATTATCACACTGACTTCACATTGACTAATGCTGTACGAAAAGATACAGGCAAATACACTTTGATTGCCGAAAATGCGAGTGGCCGAGATCAAGAAACAGTTGAACTTATAGTTTTGAGTAAACCATCTCCACCTAAAGGTCCTCTTGTTGTTTCTGATGTTACTAAGACTAGTGCCAAGGTCAAATGGGAAAAACCAGAAGATGATGGTGGTGTTCCAGTTAAAGAATATGAAATTGAAAAAATGGACACCAAAACTGGTAAATGGGTTAGAGTTGGTAAAGTTCCTGGAGATAAAACTGACTTTGACATCACTGGCTTGAATCCTGGTAGTGAATATAAATTCCGAGTTACGGCTATTAATGATGAAGGCGATTCTGAACCACTAGAAAGTGAACGTGGCGTTATTGCCAAGAATCCATTTGACGAACCTCTCAAACCTGGTACTCCAGTAATTACAGATTACGATAATGAATCAGTAGACATCAAGTGGACAGCTCCTGAATTCGATGGTGGTGCACCAATCGAAAAGTACATCATTGAGAAAAAAGATAAACTTAAACCAGAATGGGAAAAGGCAATTGAAGTCCCTGGAAATGTTTTGGAAGGAAAAATACCAAATTTGAAAGAAAAAGGAGAGTATCAATTCCGTGTTATTGCCGTCAATAAAGCTGGCCCATCACCGCCATCAGATGCTTCAAAATCTCAAATTTGCAAACATAAATCTCGTATGTTCATTATATTTGAAAATGAATATTTTATAGTAAAAAATCGTTTCATATTACATTCATATATTAATTACTTTTTTCAGTGAAACCTAGAATTGATAGAACAAATCTCAAACCAATAGTTGTAAGAGCTGGCAAAATGGTCAAATATGATGTTGACGTAAGAGGTGAACCACCTCCAGTGACAACTTGGTATCACAAAAATAATGAAATCAAGTCTGGAAAGAATATCGAAATTGTTGATGTTGAGTACAATACCAAACTTACAATCAATGATGCACTAAGAGCAAATACTGGAGTTTGGAAAATTAAGGCAGTTAATGCTCATGGTGAAGATGAAGCTGAAGTTGAGGTTACTGTTTTATGTAAGTATTCAATATTATCTAAACAATTTATTCCATGATTCCTTTTTTTATATAAGAACCTTTTATTATTGATTCAGATCGATCTTAATAGAAAGTTGAATTTTTCTTTTTGCAATTGATAAACTTATAAAAAAGTCGTATGAGATCTATATTTCTTTTTAACTAACGTGATATTGAATTTTCATAGCTGCACCGTCAAAACCACAAGGACCTCTGAAAGTTTCCGATGTTACAAAGAATGGTTGCAAACTAAAATGGGAAAAACCAGAAGACGATGGTGGCAAACCAATCACAGGCTATCAAGTTGAAAAGTTGGACAAAAGTACTGGTCGTTGGGTTCCAGTTGGGCGTACTAATGATACTGAAATAGATGTGAAAGGTTTACAAGAAGGTCATGATTATGAATTCCGGGTGAAAGCTATTAATGAAGAAGGAGAGTCAGAGCCTCTTGTAACAGATCGTGCGATTACGGCTAAAAATCCATTTGGTTTGTATACATCCTTTTTATGTTTAAATTTTAAATGAATACTATTTATTAGCAGAACTAATGAAAAATGATTTCAATGAATCTAAAGTAATTTTTCAATAATAATTGCGTATAATTTTAAGATCTTCCTGGTAAACCAAGCGTACCCGAGTTCGTTGACTGGGATGTCGATCGTGTAGATCTCAAATGGGAAGCACCGTCAGATGACGGTGGTGCCCCTATTACAGGATACATAATAGAAAAGAAAGAAAAATTAACCAGTCACTGGGAAGAAGCAGAAACTACAACTGGGCCCACGCCAAAGGGACGAGTTTCTGGTCTCAAAAAAGGTTCGACTTATCAATTTAGGGTTCGTGCAGTAAATAAAGCTGGTCCAGGTGAACCAGGAGAGCCTACCAAACCTCACGTTGCAAAAGCACGCTTCCGTAAGTAAAAATAATAACTCAAGTATCTTGAACATAAATGTTTGCAACTACCTTATTGAATTACAGTTAAGCCTCACATCAATCGTGATAAGCTTCAAACGATTAAAGTGCGAGCTGGACAAATGGTTAAACTCGAAGTCGATGTTGAAGGTGAACCAGCACCAGTAGTTACATGGAGCAGAGGAGTAAAACCTTTATCTACAAGTGCCAATGTTAAAATTGATAATGTAGATTATCTAACCAAAATCCAGTTATCTAATACTACTCGAGAAGATACTGGAAAATATACCATTAAAGCTGTAAATGATTCTGGCTCGGATGAAGCTGATGTAGAAATAATTATTCTTGGTAAATGATTTATTTTATTTGTTTTTGGAGAAAATATTTTGAAATTAATTTGAAGATTAACTCCTTGCCAAAAATAATAATTTAATAATTACTTTAATTTTAAGATAAACCTGGAAAACCGGAAGGTCCTCTCGAGGTTACGGATGTTCATAAAGAAGGATGTAAACTAAAATGGAAAAAACCGAAAGATGATGGTGGTTTACCACTCACTAGTTACATTCTAGAAAAAATGGATGTAACATCTGGTCGTTGGGTACCTGCTGGTATTGTGGATCCTGATAAGACTGAGCATACCATTACTGGGCTCGAACCTGGAAGAAAGTATGAATTCCGCGTTAAAGCTGTCAACGAAGAAGGTGAATCAGAACCTCTTCAAACTGATACTGCTGTTCTCGCAAAAGATCCCTTTGATACGCCTGCTGCACCAGGTCTACCCGAAATTGTTGATTGGTCTGAAAATATGGTGAAATTGAAATGGGAACCACCACTAAGAGATGGAGGTGCTCCAATAACTGGTTATATTATTGAAATGAAAGATAAATTTGCTCCTAACTTTACGAAAGCAATTGAAGTCGATGGCCCAGTATGTACTGGAGTAGTTCCTAAATTAGAGGAAGGCAATCAATATCAATTCAGAGTTAGAGCCGTTAATAAAGCTGGACAAGGAGAACCAAGCGAAGCTACAAATCCACATACAGCAAAGGCTCGTTGGCGTATGTATTTTAATTAGCTTTCAATATTAGTGACAATTGTTAGACTATTTAAAGTATTTATTAATTTTAAAATTTTTTTTTTTTCACTTACAGTTAAACCATACATTGATAGAACCAATCTTCAACAAACTACCATCAAAGTAGGCTTGACATTGTCACTTGACATTAAGATCATTGGTGAACCACCTCCAACCGTAACGTGGTCATACAAAGGAACAGAACTTAAATCAGATGACCAAATTCGCATAGATAATGTTGATTACAACACAAAGTTTTTAATTTTAAAATGTAAACGAGCACATACTGGTCGTTATACAATTAAAGCGAAAAACGAAGTTGGCGAAGACGTTGCCGAGTTTGATCTTCTCGTTTTAGGAAAACCCAGCAAACCAAAAGTACGAATAAATATAATAATTTGAATTTTAAAAACAAATTTTGATTTTCAAAACTAATTTGAAAATTTAATTACAGGGTCCACTTGATGTATTAGATGTAACCAAGCATGGTTGTAAATTGAAATGGAAAAAACCAGATGATGACGGTGGAGCACCAGTGGAATATTATGAAATCGAAAAATTAGATCCACTATCGGGTCAGTGGGTATCATGTGGTAGATCAACGGAGCCAGAGGCAAACGTGACAGGTTTATTGGAAGGTAAACCTTATAAATTCAGAGTGAAGGCAGTTAACAAAGAGGGTGATTCCGAAGAATTGGAGGCCGATAAGTCAATAATTGCCAAAAATCCATTTGGTAAGCAAATATTCTTACAATTTACTATCATAAAGAAATAAATATCTATCAACGAACTTTAAAATTTTACGCAAGTAATTTAAAAAAAAATCTAGTTATTAGGGATCGATCATTAAAATTTCGAATTTCACGATTCACTATATTTTTTAGATGAACCTGGTAAACCTGGTCGACCTAATCTGACTAACTGGGATAAAGATTTCGTCGATCTTACGTGGACGCCACCTACCGAAGACGGAGGTGCACCGATTGAAAAATACATTGTTCAAATGCGTGATAAGGCAGGTAGACAATGGGTCGATGCAGCTGTAGTTCCTGGAACCAAAACTGATGCGAAGGTTATCAATGGTATTGAAGAGGGTCATGAGTATGAGTTTAGAGTTGTGGCCGTAAATAAAGCTGGTCCGGGAGAACCAAGTGATGTTTCTAAGAGCGTTATTGCCAAACCACGTTTCCGTTAGTATAATTTTTATTTGATTTTTTGACACATTAATAAATACTATAAAAATTCAATATTTATTTTATAGTTGCTCCTCATATTGATCGAACAAACCTACAAAAGAAGACAATGCGCGTAGGACAAATATTGCGCATGGAAGCAAATATAACTGGTGAGCCGGCTCCAACCATTGTATGGAAACTCAAAAATGTCACTCTGAAAACACAAGATCGTTTGAAAATTGACAATGAAGATTATCATACTAGTTTTATACTTACAAAATTAGAGCGAAATGATACTGGAACATACGTAGTGAATGCTAGAAATGATAGCGGAGAAGACGAAGTTGAAGTCGAAGTTCAAGTTGTAAGTAAACCAGGCAAACCTAAAGGTCCGCTGAAAGTTTCTGATGTTAACGCTGAAGGCTGTAAATTGAAATGGGAGAAACCAGATGACGATGGTGGCGAACCAATAGACCATTACGTAATTGAGAGAATGGATGTAAACATGGGTCGATGGGTCCCTTGTGGTGTTACTAAATTACCTGAAGCTGAAGTATGCGGTCTTAACGAAGGTAATGATTATCAATTCAGAGTCAAAGCAGTCAATAGTGAAGGAGAATCTGAACCATTGGAAACAACGACACCAACAACAGCTAAGAATCCTTATGAGGTACCTGATGCTCCAGGAAAACCAGAGTTTAAGGACTGGGATAAGAATCATGTTTCACTCAAATGGACTGCACCTAAAAATGATGGTGGTGCTCCAATCGAAAAATATATTGTTGAAAAGAAAGATCAATATGGTAAATGGCAAAAAGTTGCTGAATCGCCTGCCCTTCGTACAGAAGCTAGAGTTGGCGATCTCATTGAAGGGCAAAAGTATCAATTCCGAGTAAAAGCGGTTAATAAAGCAGGTGCAAGTAAACCAAGTGAAAATAGCGATAGTCTTTTGGCTAAAGATAGATATGCTGCTCCTAAAATTGATCGTACCAATCTAAAGGACTTGACAGTTAAAGCTGGAAATCATGTTCGGTTGGATGTTAGAGTCAGTGGTGAACCACCTCCAACCAAAATATGGTACTTGAACAAGAAGAAACAAGAAAGTGAATCAGGAGGTGTTTTAATTGAAGAAGAAGATTATAGAACCAAATTTTCAATTGGTTTCGCTACTAGAGCTCATACAGGAATTATAACACTAAAAGCTGAAAATGATTCTGGTAAAGATGATGCTAGCATTACTCTGACTGTTTTGGACAAACCAGGAAAACCAGAAGGTCCACTCAAGGTTGACAAAGTTCATAAAGAAGGCTGTAGTCTTAAATGGAATCCACCACTTGACGATGGAGGAGTTCCAATCGATCATTATGTTGTTGAAAAAATGGATACCATTAGTGGAAGATGGATTCCGGTTGGAAGAACTTTAGAACCAAAAATGGATGTTGAAAATTTAGTGCCAGGACAAGAATACAAATTCCGTGTAGCTGCTGTTAATGCTGAAGGTGAATCAGAGCCATTAGTGACCGAACAAGCTATCGTTGCTAAGAATCCATTTGACGAGCCAGGACCTCCTGGTAGACCAGAAGCTACTGACTGGGATAAGGACCATGTTGATCTCAAATGGACGCCACCGATGAAAGATGGCGGTTCTCCAGTTACTGGATATATTATAGAGAAAAGAGAAAAAGGCAGTCCAAGGTGGATAAAAGCAGTTGAAACAGTTGGACCTGATTGTAAGGGTAAAGTTGATAATCTAGACGAAGGTCAGGAATATGAATTTAGAGTTCGTGCGATCAATGAGGCTGGCCCTGGTGAGCCTTCTGATGTAAGTAAACCAATTACTGCGAAATGCAGAAGATTGCCACCTAAAATTGACCGAAAGAACCTACGAGATCTCACTGTACACGAAGGTGAACCAATTAAATTCGACGTTAAAGTATTTGGCGAACCAGCTCCAGATGTATCATGGTCTATAAATGGAAAAATGGTTCATCAAACTACATACCGTCGCGTAGAAAATGTTCCGAATAATACTAAATTTTTCAATGATAGACCAGAGCGCAAAGATACAGGTGTATACAAAATCACGGCAAATAATCAGTATGGTTCTGACACTGCTGAAGTAGAAGTAACAGTTGTTTGTGAGCAGCTTTTCTCTAAACATTATATAAAGTGTTAAATTGTTACATGTGTAATTAAAATACTGTTTATTTTTTTAGCTAAGCCTGATAAACCCGAAGGACCACTTGAAGTGTCAAATGTTCACAAAGATGGTTGTACTCTGAAATGGAAAAAACCGAAAGACGATGGAGGTGAACCTATTGAAGGTTATATTGTTGAGAAGTTTGATCCAGAAACTGGAGTTTGGTTGCCAATTGGTCGCACTCCAGTTCCTGAGATGAAAGTAGAAGGTTTGACTCCTGGTCATGAGTACAAATTCCGAGTAAAAGCACTTAATAAGGAAGGTGAATCAGAGCCTCTCGAAACTCTCGGATCTATTATTGCTAAAGATCCATTCAGTAAGCAAAATTTCAATATAATTATTTTTTTTATCTTCAGCTAGTTACAACTTTATTTTATTTTAGCTATTCCTTCACCACCTGGTGCTCCTGAATTCGTTGATTGGACGGCTAATCAAGTTGATCTTAAGTGGAAAGAACCCGTTAGTGATGGTGGAGCTCCTATTACCGGCTACATAATTGAAAAGAAAGATAAATATAGTACGATGTGGGAAAAAGCTGCAGAAAGGGATGTACCGGTATGCTCAGCACTTGTTACTGGTCTGATAGAAGGAAACGAATATGAGTTCCGCGTTATTGCTATAAATAAAGCTGGCAAATCGGAACCTGGCGATTCAAGCAGAACATTTGTTGCCAAACCTCGTTTCTGTAAGTATAAATACAAAGTAAAATTTAATTTAATTCGTAAAAAAAAAGTTATTATAATAATAAAATTATTACAGTGGCTCCTAAAATTGATCGTCGTACGCTGAGAGATGTGACCCTTTCTGCTGGTTCAACTCTGAAATTCGATGTGAACGTAATTGGGGAACCTCATCCAACTATGAACTGGCGATTTGGCTCAATGCCTCTTACACCTAGCCGATCAGTATATATTGATAACACTGATTACACAAGCAAACTGACTGTACGCCCTGTAAAACGAGATGATACTGGAGATTACATCATCATTGCCACAAATTCCTGCGGAAAAGATACAGCTACAGTCAAAGTAACTGTAACTGATAAACCATCAGCACCTGAAGGACCTCTTGCTGTTACTGATGTACACAAAGAAGGTTGCAAACTCAAATGGAAACGGCCACTTGACGATGGTGGTCTCCCAATTGAGTATTATCAAATTGACAAAATGGATACTGACACTGGTTGTTGGGTACCATGTGGTCATTCTCGCGATACTAGTGAGTAAAATTATATCTTTATTTTAATTAGTTATATCTATTTATTATCTTTTTTATTTATTCATTGGTATGTTTCATTTTTAGATCTTGATGTAACTGGTTTAACACCTGGTCGCGAGTATAAATTCCGAGTATCAGCTGTAAATCAGGAAGGTGAATCAGAACCATTAGTTGCAGAGCAAACAATTGTTGCGAAAAATCCATTTGATGAGCCAGGCAAACCTACTGATCTTGAAGCCACAGATTGGGATAAAGATCACATTGATCTGAAATGGCGACCACCACTTAACGATGGAGGAGCTCCAATTACAAGTTATGTTATCGAAAAGAAAGATAAATATGGTGAATGGGAAAAAGCATTAGAGGTTCCTGCATTTGGAGATGCAGATACACCAGTAAGAGCTACTGTGGGAGATTTAATTGAAGGACAACCCTACGAATTCCGTGTTCGAGCAGTCAATCAAGCTGGACCAAGTGAACCATCGAATCAAACACCTGTTATTTATGCCAAGCCTCGAAATCAGGCACCTAGAATTGATAGAACTAACTTGAATGATATTAAAATCAAAGCAGGCCAGAACTTTAACTTTGATGTTAAAGTTAGCGGTGAACCTCCGCCAACAACTAGATGGCAATTGGATAGTAAAGATATCAGACCAGGTGACCGCACTAAAATTAAGGATGTAGATTATAATACTCAGTTAACAGTTCGTATGGCCACTCGAGCCGAATCAGGAAAATACCAAATTATTGCAGAAAATATTAATGGTAAAGATGTAGCTTATGTCAAAGTTACAGTAATGGATAAACCTGGAATGCCTGAAGGACCAATTCGAGTGTCCGATATCACCGCTGATGGATGTAGGCTTTCTTGGAAGCCACCTCTAGATGATGGTGGATGTCCAATAGAAAAATATCAAGTTGAAAAACTCGATGAATCCTCTGGAAGATGGGTTCCAGCTGGCGAAACTGATGGTTCTGAAACAAATCTTCAAGTTGAAGGATTAATACCCAATCACAAATACAAATTTAGAGTCAGAGCCATTAACAAACAAGGCAAAGGTGAACCACTTGCAACTCAAGCAGCAATTGAAGCTAGGAATCCCTTCGGTAATGATCAAGGAACTCATATTATTTAAAAGATAATTTTCAAACCTAATTAAAACTAATTCAATACTTTATGATTGCAGATGAGCCTGGTAAACCCGGTACACCTAAGATCAAAGATTACGATTCTGATTTTGTTGAGTTAGAATGGACTCGTCCTATTGATGATGGAGGATCTGCTATTACTGGATACATAATTGAAAAAAGAGATAAATTCAGTCCTACTTGGGATAAATGTGCTGAAGTGGAAGATGATGTAATTTCAGGAAAGGTTAAAGACCTTATTCCGGGAACTCAATATGAATTCCGAGTAAGAGCTGTCAATAAAGCTGGACCAGGAGAACCATCTGATGCAACTAAACCTCACATTGCACGCCCGAAAAATCGTAAGTTATTTTTGTATTTAAACATATTTATCTCGGTCTACTACTTAAATGGCATATGATGACATATTTTTTAACTTCATACCTTTAAATTAAGGGGTTACATGGCTTTGTGTTGTTAATTTGAACATTAACCCACAATTTTTGGAGAAATGTATTATAATACAGTAATAAGAAACCATTCTTTTTCATTAGTCGTAATTTTTAAGTACAAAAGGCTGTAAGTGAAAAAATGTTGTCTTTGAGCGCCAGCCAAATATTCAAGTCTCAATCAATCTCAGACCTTGCTAGGCGTTCAATGGCTTGATGTTCAAACTTAAGCCTTGATTAAGCAGATTTGATATAGATAATCAACTCCCACTTAAAATACGTTTCCGCTTATCGAAGCTAACAAATAGATATCGTTGATGAGAAGCTTAGTCGTTTTTCAATCGTTTAATCGTAATGTCATATTTTTGTGCTGACGACAAACCTGCTCTTATGAATTATAATTTAAATACAATAAATAGTTTCGAACATATAGATGCTAAATAATCAGCAAAATGTCAATTAATAGAAAAATATCAATTTTAATAGGTAAATTAAGAAATTTAGTTCATATTAAACAAGTGAAAATTTTTATTTACAATGGGGTTTTCTTGATAAATAACTTAAACATTAGTGAACTCAGTAAATAAATTTAAAAAAAACCAATACCGATCAAAATTAATTTGATTTTTAAATTATATTTTATTAAGTGTTATTATAATTTTCCAGTTCCTCCGAAGATCGATAGAAAATATATGCTGGATGTCAAAGTCCGTGCTGGAGCCTTCTTCGACTTCGATGTTCCGGTCACAGGTGAACCACCACCAAAGAAAGAATGGTCGCTTAAGGGTAATGTCATCACTTCTGATGACAGAATTAAGATAGTTAATGAAGACTATAACACTAGAGTACGTGTTCTTGAAGCGTTGCGCTCTGATTCCGGAGAATACACGCTTACAGCGCGTAACACAAATGGCAAGGACAGTGCTACTTTGAAAGTTACAGTTCTTGATGTTCCTTTTGCCCCAGAAGGTCCATTGAAGATAAAAAATATTACAAAGAGTGGATGTCACCTTGCTTGGAAACCACCTAAAGATGATGGTGGGTCAGATATTTTATATTACACTGTTGAAAAAATGGACGCTGAAAATATGCGATGGGTTCCATTGTGCGAGGCTACTGGTACAAGTGCAGATATTGATCATTTAATCGAAGGTCATCAATACAGCTTCCGCATTAGAGCTGTAAATAAACAAGGTGAATCGCCTCCTCTCAATGGACTTGAAAGCATATTTGCTCTTGATCCATTCGGAAAACCTGAAAAACCAGGAACTCCAGTTATTACTGATTGGGATAAGAATCGTGTTGATTTAGAGTGGACTCCGCCAAAACGAGACGGTGGAGCACCAATTGAACAGTATTTCATCGAAAAACGTCCTAAGTTTGGACAATGGGAAAAAGTACTCGAAGTCGATGGCGATAAAACTAAAGCAAGGGTACCTGATTTGGTTGAAGGCGAAGAATATGAATTCCGTGTAATTGCCGTTAATGAAGCAGGTCCTGGTGAACCATCTGATGCTTCACAGTCGATCGTTGCTAAAGCACGATATGGTAAAAAAATTATAAAATTATGCAGTTTAAAGTTTCACAAATATCTGATTTACAATAATAAAATTATTTCATTATTTACAGTAAAACCACACTTTGACCCACACCTTTTGCACGATATCGTTGTTCGAGCCGGACAGAAAGTTGGCTGGGATTTACCGATCGAAGCGTCTCCGAAACCAATTGCCAAATGGTCTATTAATAATATACCTGTTGAAGCTGATGACAGACATGATATTTTCACAACGCATACCAATACTTGTTTTGAAATTCCATTTGCACACCGATCTGACAGTGGTCGATATGTATTAACTCTTGAGAACGATCTGGGGGCTTTTAGGTATACTATAATTTACATATAAATTTTCCTGTAAATGTTAACTTACTCTAACGAATGAAATTATTTTTAGTGCCGGTGCAAATGTAACTGTTATTGATAAGCCATCCGCACCTAGAGCACCATTCGTAGTATCAAATATTACGAAGGAGAGCTGTCATTTATCTTGGGAAGCACCAGCTGATAATGGAGGAACACCAATTTTACATTATATTATTGAAAAAATGGACGTTTCTCGTGGAACTTGGACTGATGCTGGTATGAGCATGGTGACGAAACATGATGTTGCCAGATTGGTACACAAAAAAGAGTACTATTTCCGTGTAAAGGCTGTAAATAGCGTTGGTGAATCAGAGGCTTTAGAAACAACTAAGAGCATTATAGCAAAGAATGAGTTTGATGAACCAGAAGCTCCAGGAAAGCCTAACATTGTTGACTGGGATAAGGACCATGTAGATCTCGAATGGCCTTCACCAGAAAGTGACGGTGGTTCACCACTTACGGGTTATATTATTCAAAAGAAAGAGAAAAATAGTCCATACTGGACGAATGCTGTTCACGTACCACCGACACAAAACAGTGCAACTGTGCCGGACTTAACTGAAGGCCAAGAGTATGAGTTCAGGGTAATTGCTCAGAATGCAGCTGGACAATCTGAACCTTCTGAGCCGAGTGACATGGTTATGTGTAAACCACGTCATCGTAAGTATTTTTATTGCATAAAGAACATAACTATATCAAAATTTATATTAATTTTAAATATTTTTGTTCTTAGTGGCACCTAAAATCAAAACGCCTCTGGATGATATCAAGGTCAGAGCAGGACATATTTTCCATTTGGACGTTGATTTCATTGGTGAACCAATTCCAGAAGTAAAATGGAGCCAAAATAATAAAGATGTAGTTTCAAATAGAAGAACTACTGTTACGTCTATAGGCTATCATACAATACTACACATCGTTGATGCCAAGAGAGACGATTCTGGTACTTATTCGTTGATGTTGAAAAACGACAGTGGAGTTGACGAAGGCTCCTTTAAATTAACGGTGCTTGATAGACCAGGACCACCACAAGGACCTCTTGAATATGAAGAAATAACTGGTCAATCAGTTACGTTATCTTGGAAAGCACCGAAAGACAACGGTGGCAGTGAATTAACTGGATACATTATTGAAAAGCGCGATCTTACCCATGGAGGAGGTTGGGTTCCAGCAGTATCTCATGTGAATCCCAAATTCACACATGCCACTGTACCTAGACTGATTGAGGGTACCAATTACGAATTCCGAGTTTCTGCAGAAAATCTTCAAGGTAGATCAGAGCCTTTGAATACAGACAGAGCTGTTGTGGCGAAAAATCAGTTTACCGTACCAGGTCAACCAGGCCGTCCTGAATGCGTTGATGCAGATAAAGATCACATCACTATTCAATGGACGCCACCAATTAGCACAGGTGGATCGCCAATCATTGGATATGACATTGAAAGGCGAGATAGAGCTACAGGCCGCTGGTTGAAACTAAACAAAGAACCCGTGAAACCTCTTGATTATTACGATGATCATGTTTCAGAGGGTCATCAATATGAATATCGAGTAACCGCGGTCAATGCAGCTGGTGCAGGTAAACCTAGTGATGTGTCGCATGTAATAACCGCTAAACCCATGAAAGAAAAACCTAAACTATACTTGGATGCTCTTATTGGACGAAGAATCAAAGTTCGCGCAGGAGAACCAATTAATATCAATATACCATTAACTGGTGCTCCTACTCCCACAATTGAGTGGACAAAAGATCGTCTTCGCGTTGTGGAAACTTTACGTATCTTATGCGAAACAAAGAGCGATCACACGCAATTACTTATTGATAAATCAATTCGTGAAGATGCCGGAAAATACACGATCGTAGCGTTCAATGATTATGGACGTGATTCAGCTGATATAGAAGTAATAGTTGTTGATAAACCTGGACCACCAGTTGGTCCAATACATTACACAGAAACAACCCAGGACAGTGTTTCTCTTTCTTGGAGTCCACCATTGGATGATGGTGGCTCTGGTATTACCAACTACATTGTGGAAGTCGCAGACTTTGGATCTGAGAACTGGAGACAATGTCCAGGATATTGCCCAACAACACACTTTATTGCCAAAGGTCTCACAGAAGGAAAACGTTATGTATTCCGCGTACGCGCTGAAACAATTTATGGAGTTTCAGAACCTTTGGAAGGCAAACCGGTCACAGCTAAGTGTCCATTTGATCCACCAGGACCTCCTAGTCAACCCGAAATTTTAGGCTACACACCAAACAGCTGCACTTTGGCATGGAATCCACCAACAATAACTGGTGGTAAACCTATAACTGGCTATATAGTTGAAAAACGAGAACGAGGAGGAGAATGGTTGAAGGCAAATAACTATCCTACTCCAAACACTACATTCACTGTTCAAGATTTGCATGAAGGTAACAGATATGAATTCCGTGTCATTGCTGTGAATGAAGCTGGACCTGGACAACCCAGCAAACCTACTGAACCTATCACTGCTGGCCACCAAAGAACTGCACCAGATGCACCAGAGCAACCAAAGGCAGATCGTATTACCAAAGATTCTGTTACACTATCGTGGCGGCCACCTCGTTATGATGGTGGTGCTAAAATACGTGGATACATCATTCAACAAAAGAAAGCTCGTGGTGATGATGATTGGGATGAAGTGAACGGTGCTCCAGTGCCACTGACATCATTTACTGTACCTCATTTAACATTAGGAGAAGAGTATTTGTTCCGAATCATCGCCGTTAATGATATCGGTAAAAGTCCTCCTAGCAGAGCCAGCAATCCAATTACCATCGAAGAACAACCAAATAAACCAGTAATGGATCTAGGTGGTATTCGGGATATCACAGTACGCGCAGGAGAAGACTTTAGTATTCATGTACCTTATATTGGTTTCCCTCAACCATTTGCAACGTGGTATGTTAATGATGTAGTAATCGATGAAAATACTGACAAACGAATTCATCTTCAATTAGCTGAAGATTATGCCAGCTTAGTTGTTAAAAATTCGAAGCGTTCAGACGCTGGACAATACCGATTACAATTGCGCAATCCATCTGGTTTTGATACCGCTACTTGCAATGTTAGAGTGTTAGATAGACCATCACCACCACAAAATTTGAGAGCAGACGAATTCGCTGGTGATGCTTTAACACTTTATTGGAATCCACCAAAAGATAATGGAGGTGCCGAAGTTACAAACTATGTTATTGAAAAGAAAGAACAAAGATCATTCGAATGGTCTAAAGTAAGTGCTTGCACAACATCCACGTTTGTTCGAGTACGTAACCTTGCTGTTGGAACAGTCTATGATTTCCGAGTAATGGCTGAGAATCAGTATGGAACATCTGAACCAGCTCAAACGACAGATCCTATTAAAGCAAGATATCCATTTGATCCTCCTGGGCCACCAGGAGCTCCTCGTGGGGTCGAAACAAGCGAAGACAGTATAACTATTAACTGGACGAAACCTCGAAATGATGGCGGTTCACCAATCACTGGTTATATAGTAGAAAGACGCTTGTTTAATGATGAAAAATGGATCAAGGCCACACAAGCAATTGTGACTGATACAACTTACAGGTAAAATTTTGTTTTTAATCAATAATCGTTTCAATTCAATAAATGAAAATAATTTATTTTTCTTTTATTTAAATCCCAATTGATTCGAGATAAATTTTTATGAATTATGAATTTTATTAATAACTAATGATTGATTATATTTATAGATGCGCTGGCCTGATTGAAAATTACGAATATGAATTCCGTGTTGCTGCGGTAAATGCAGCAGGACAAGGTCCATTCAGTACAGGTTCAGATGCTATTCGAGCTTCTGCTCCATCATGTAAGTACAAATTATAAAAAAATTCCAAACAATCTCATTCTGAGAAATCAATTTTTATTAAATTTTATCCTTTTTATTACAGTTGCTCCAAAGATTACTAGCGATCTTAGCATTCGAGATATGACAGTAATTGCTGGAGAACCATTCACTATCACTGTACCATTTGTTGCTAAACCAAGACCAAGACCAGCATGGTGCATCAATGGAGATGAACTTGGATCCGACGATAGAATCAAGTTTGAAACCAATGACTATGAAACTCAATTTATCAATAAAAAAGCTAAGAGATCAGATACTGGCACTTACACAATTTACTTAACAAATGAGCTAGGAACGGATTCTGGTAGTTGCAAAGTTCTTGTTGTTGATCGACCATCGCCGCCGCAAGGACCTTTAGATGTATCTGATATAACACCAGAATCATGTACAATCAGTTGGAAAGTTCCACTTGACGATGGCGGTTCACCAATTACAAATTATATTGTTGAGAAATTCGAACCACTCGGTTTCTGGACTAAATTGAGCAGCTTTGTAAGAAGAACTCATTACGATGTGTTTGGATTAGAACCAAACAAAAAGTACAACTTCCGCGTCAGAGCTGAAAATCAATATGGAGTATCAGAGCCCCTCACTGGTATAGACGGAATTACAGCCAAATTTCCATTCAATGTTCCTGATCCACCTGGTAGACCTCGTGTCTCAGATTGGGATTCAACTAGTATTACTGTTAGTTGGGATCGACCCGTTTCGGATGGTGGTTCCCGAATTCAAGGTTACAAAGTTGAATTTAGAGACCCGGCAGATGACACAACCTGGCGAGTTGCTAATGATTATCTAGTTAAAGATACAAATTACGTATGTTACAACCTTCTTAGTGGTCATGAATATGAATTCCGTATAAGAGCGAAAAACGCTGCTGGAATGAGCAAACCAAGTCAAGCATCCACGCCATTTAAATTGAAGAGTAAATGTATGGTGCCAGATGCTCCAAGAAATCCTCAAGTTGTCAAAGTCGGAAAGAATTATGTTGACCTGCGATGGGAAGCGCCTGCATCTGACGGTGGCAGCAGGATAACTGGTTATTTGATAGAGAAACGAGAAATCGGTAGTGCAATTTGGATGAAATGCAACGACTATAATATCACAGATCTCGAATACACTGTTATGCATCTCATTGAAAAGGGTGATTATGAATTTAGAATATTTGCTATTAATGCAGCGGGACGTTCAGATGCTAGCCCATGCACCACTCCAGTCAAGATTTGTGAAGTTGAAGGAGGTGTGAAACCTGAATTTATTAGAACTCTGCAATATTCTCAAGGCGTAGCCTTAGGAAAAACTCACGTGTTTGAATGTGAGGCGACTGGCAAACCAATGCCAACATCTCGATGGTTGAAGAACGGCCGTGAATTAACTATTGGAGGACGTTTCCGTATAGAAGATTGGGATGGAGTATTCCGATTAGTTATTACGGAAGTTTATGAAACAGATGAGGGAGACTACACGTGCCAAGCTCACAATGCTGTTGGTTACGCTAGTACTACAGGCAGACTGAAGATAGGTTCACCACCACGTATCGATCGCATGCCTGAAGATCTGTTCTTACCTGAAGGTGAAAATACAAAGATCAAAATATATTACGCTGGTGATCAGCCAATGACCGTCACTCTTAAGAAGAGTGGTAAGAAACTACCAGAGTCTTCAGATCATCTCAAATACACAGTATTCGATGACTATATTATCATATTTATAAAAGAAATCAATAAAGATTCTGATTCTGGATCTTACGAAGTTAGTCTAGAAAATGAAAGTGGAAGTGCAACTGGCGTATTTAATGTTTACATTACTGGATTACCAGGACCACCACAGGGTCCACTTGAAGCATCACACATTGATAAGCACACTTGTCAGCTCAATTGGCATCCTCCGAAATTCGATGGTGGTCTGAAAGTGACGCACTATGTAGTAGAAAGACGCGATGTAACTCACAGTCAATGGATAACGATTTCTATGTTTGGTTGCAAAGATACTCGTTATCAGGTTCAAGGTTTGACCGAAGGACAAGAATACTTGTTTAGAGTTATGGCTGTGAACGAAAATGGCATGGGTCCACCTTTAGAAGGAACAAATCCAGTTAAAGCAAAGGCTATCTATGATCCGCCAGGACCGCCTGGAGTACCTAAAGTTACACAAGTTGGAGGCAACTTTGCCAATATATCATGGGATAAACCAGAAAATGATGGTGGTGCTAGAATACAAGGTTACTGGATCGACAAACGAGAAATTAAAGAACCAGAAAGCTGCTGGCAACGTGTTAATCCATCAATTTGTTTACCAAACCAGATTAATGTTAGTAATTTGGTCGAAGGTCGGCGATATGAATTCCGTGTATTCGCTCAAAATGAAGCTGGTATTGGCCCTGAATCGAAGGCCTCAACATCGGTTGAGATTCGAGATCCTCAAGCTGCAAAACCACCAGAAATATTGAAACCTTTGCCGAAAACACTCAATTGCGCTGAGAACCATAACGCTCATTTCAAATGTCTGATTATTGGTGTACCATCGCCGACAATAACATGGTTCAAAGGTGCTCGTGAAATTGTAAACGGTTCACGTTACAGCATCTATTCAGATGGAGATTGTCATAATCTTATTGTTAATAGCGTTTTCGGTGAAGATGCTGATGAATATGTTTGCCGTGCCGTTAATCGTGCTGGAGCTAAATCTACGAAAGGAGAGCTTATGATCATGACGCCACCGAAATTGATCGTTCCACCACGATTCCGCGATACGGCTTACTTTGACAAAGGTTCAAACGTAGTAATCAAGGTATCATTTACTGGTTTCCCTAAACCCAAGATTAACTGGATAAGAGAAGGCGAAACAATTGAGTCTGGCGAACATTATGACATTCAAACCACGGAAAGACATGCGACTCTTGTCATTCGTGGTGCTTTCAGAACAGATTCAGGTCCATATCGGGTATCAGCTGAAAATGATATGGGTCAAGATTCTAAAATTATCGAAATTAAGATTTGCGATCGACCAGATCCTCCAAGGTTCCCGGTAATCGATAACATTGGTCATGATTCTTTGGCTATCAGCTGGAAACCACCAGTTTGGGATGGTGACAGTAGCATCACTAATTATCTAGTTGAAAAACGTGAATATCCCATGCAGACCTGGATTCGCGTTGGCAGCACACGAGTTTGTTCCAGTGCAGTTCATAATCTTGTTCCAGGACAAGATTACGATTTCAGAGTCTTTGCTGAAAACATTCTCGGTAGATCGGATCCTAGTGAAGTGACTCCACTCATCACTACTAAGGGTGAGGCTAAGAAAAAACGCGAAGAACCAAAACGAAAGGATGAATACGATCCAAAGACCGGCAAAAAGATCCGCGGTCGTGGCGAAGGTGATGTGCATGATTACGATGCCTACGTATCTGATATTTCCGATAAGTTATTGTCTCGTCAACCAGTCGATATTAAACGCAATATTTCAGTTTATGATCGCTACGAAATACTTGAAGAAGTTGGCTCAGGTGCTTTCGGAGTGGTACATCGTTGCAGAGAAAGAGCAACCGGCAATGTATTCGCTGCCAAATTTATACCTTCGGCACACGCTATGGAAAAAGAACTGATCAGACGAGAAATTGACATAATGAACCAGTTACATCACAATAAACTGATCAATTTGCACGATGCATTCGAAGATGACGATGAAATGGTTCTCATCTTTGAGTTCTTGTCGGGAGGTGAACTGTTTGAACGTATCACCCAAGAGGGTTACACAATGTCCGAGGCCGAAGTGATCAATTACATGCGCCAAATAATCGAAGGAATCAAACACATGCATGAACGTAACATTATTCATTTGGATATAAAGCCAGAAAACATCATGTGTCAAACACGTCAAAGCACAAATGTGAAACTAATAGATTTCGGATTAGCTACTAAATTAGATCCCAATCAAGTAGTGAAAATAAGTACGGGCACGGCCGAATTCGCTGCACCAGAAATCGTCGAACGTGAGCCAGTAGGCTTCTACACAGACATGTGGGCTTGCGGTGTGTTAGCTTACGTCTTGCTTAGTGGCTTATCGCCTTTCGCGGGTGACAATGACATTGAAACCCTTAAAAACGTCAAAGCTTGCGATTGGGACTTTGACGAGGAAGCATTCCGATATGTATCCGAAGAGGGTAAAGACTTCATTAGGAGGCTTCTTGTTAAGAACAAGGAGAAGAGATTGACTGCGCACGAGTGTTTAGTTCATGCATGGTTGACGGGAGATTCTAGTCAGAAAACTAAAGAAATAAATACCAGCAGGTACATTAACTACAGAAATAAGATTCGTGCCAAGTACGACGACTGGAAGTCATTCGTACTGCCAATCGGTCGACTGGCCGAGTACTCGTCACTTAGGAAACTATTAGTAGAGAGATATCACATACAAGACGCCATGTTCGATCGTCGACAGGCTGCGCCAAGATTTGTCATTAAGCCTCAGAGTGCCTTTGCCTACGAGGGACAGAGCGCCAAATTCACTTGTCGCGTGGTCGCCTTGGCTCCAGCTACTCTCACGTGGTACCGTAACAACGCCGAGCTGAGACAGTCGATCAAATTCATGAAGCGCTACATCGGCGATGACTACACATTCGTTATAAATAGGGTAAAATTGGAGGACCGAGGAGAATACATAATCAGAGCGGAGAACCATTATGGATATCGCGAGGAGGTAGTCTTCTTGAACGTCCAGCCATTACCCAAGGACGTGGAGCCTTACAAACCAGAGACTTACCAGCCAGTGCGAAGACGCGAGCCACTGCCATACCACTTCTGGATGGAGACAAAGGAGTCGGCACCGGACTTTACCTTCTTGCTGCGACCTCGAGTCATGCAGGCGCGCGATACGTGCAAACTTCTATGTTGCCTGAGCGGCAAGCCACAGCCCACCGTGAAATGGTACAAGAACAGCAAAGAGCTGTCGAGATTCGATTACACGATGACGAACGCGGACGGCGTCGTCACCCTCGAGATCGTCGACTGCAAGCCCGAGGACAGCGGCAAGTACAGCTGCGTGGCGACCAATTGCCATGGCACCGACGAGACCAACTGCGTCGTTATAGTAGAGGGCTCGGGTGAGACTGAGGAGCAGGAACAGCTGGCCCACGACTTTTTACATTCCGGCGAGCGGCGCTTCATCGAGAAGCCATTGAAACCCGCCCCGTATCAACCCGTCACCACCACCCTCATCAGATCGACGCCGTACACGCCGTTCAAGCCCGGACACAGTGGCGTGGACAAGGTGGAGCTTCAGGAGCGAGAGTTGCACAGCGTCAGACTGCCCGATACGCCGGTGAAGAAGCCAGAGCCGGAGCCCGTGGCTGCTAAGCCAGAGCCGCGCAAGACCGAAACCGTCGAGAAGCCCAAGAAGGATCTGGCCAGCAAGAAGAAGAAGTACGGAAGCAAAACTACTGGCAGCCCCGCCAGATCGAGGAGCAACACCAGAGACCTTATTCGTGAGTATAATAAATCAAAGAAAAGCTTACATGGAACGATTGACGATTACATGATTGACCTTGTTCAAACAGCTCTGCCAGACGATGCCAGCATGGGTCCACCTTCGTTCAGTCAAAAATTGAGAAGCACCACATCTGTAACTGATGGATCGCGGCTAGAGCTCACCGTACAAGTGAACGGAGATCCAGAGCCGCAAGTCACCTGGACGAAGAACGACAAGATAATGGAATCGTCAGACGTGATCGACCTGCGCTACAGAAATGGACAAGCCAGCCTCACGATTGCCGAAGTGTTCCCCGAAGACGCCGGCTTGTACGTGTGCACGGCTACCAACAGCATTGGCAGCGTTTCAACCAGTACCGAACTCACGGTCGATCGTAAGTCCTGAGCATTTTCAAATGATGCACGAATTTGATAAACAATTATATCCTGAATTTAATCCTAAAACCTAAACTTTTTCCACGCAGCCGTTCACAAGTCACGTGCCTCGGCGCCGGAAGAAAAAGATAAAGCACCACAAATAGTCGATCATGTCAAGAGTCAAGCGGTCAACGACGGTGACGCGGTGACGTTGAGTTGCCGCATCATCGGCGCAAAGAAGTTCGAGGTCATCTGGTTGCATAACAATAAGGAAATCAAGCCTAGCAAAGACTTCCAGTACACCAATGAAGCCAACATACACAAGCTCACCATTGCTGAAATCTTCCCCGAGGATTGCGGCACGTACACCTGTGACGCTTTCAACGATCAAGGTGAAAGCTTCTCGACTTGCACTCTCAATGTTCTCGGTAAGTTGACTGCAGTTCGCCTTGTACTTTTCAATTGTGAATAGTGAAATCTCATATGTCATTATAACTACAACAGTACCGAACGATGAACCAAAGAGTCCGGTGTTCACGACATTCCCGCAATCGGCCACGGTCACGGAAGGCGAATCCGTTAATGCATCATGCAAATTCAGTGAAGCTCCTCTCAAAGGTAAGAATCGCTTTATCGAAAATATTTTACGCCGTCGACTGTCATTTTTTATATTTTTACATTATTTAATCAAAAATATTTTTTGTTTCACTTTCATCAATAGTGACGTGGCTGAAGGACGGCAAACCGATTGATGAAAATAGTCCAAAGTACCAATTCAGCAAGGACAGTGATAAGAGTTACAAATTCGGCATCAAATCGACGACAGCCAATGACATCGGCCAGTACACCGTCCAGGCGGTCGGCAAAAAAGGAGAGACGCAGGCTGCCTTCGCCGTGAATGTTGTACCACCCGGTGAAAGTGTCGTTTGATCAGCTTAATTTTTATTTCACCAGCTAAATAATAAATCGGTTTATATACATTAATAATGCAAAACGACACAATCGCGTAAAGAAAAAATTTGAAATACTCCATTAAAAGCTGCAAAAGCGTTTTTTTATATATAATATAAATTAAATAAAATATATCTACACTTACACAACCATTCTTCACACATAAAAAACACACACACTTGAAAATATATTATAAATAAATAAAAAATTATATATACATAGATATATACAATTATTTTAAGAAACTCTACATTAACTATACTATATCATGATTGAAAGACAATAAAATATTAAAATTAAAATCTCATGTGCACGTGCGCGGTATAATAACGTGGACGGATGTGACAAATAAAACATATGATAAATAATAACGATCTCGCCTTAACTACGCGAAAATATTTTGCCCTAAATAGTGGCATCTTATTGCAGGAAAAGTGAACGCGCGCTTTTCATTCTTGTTACTCAATTTACTTAATCGCGTTTTAATATTATTTCTCTCACTTATATAATTTCTCTCTCTCTCTCTAAGTTGCTCTTTCTCTCTAGCTCTCTCACAATCTTTTACACGAATGTTAAACAAATGTAACAAAGTACAATTAACGTTGATGGATTTCTGTTTAAAAAGAAATCAAACTATTTTTGACTCGTTTCAAATAATTATTTAATAATTGTTGATAAAAAATATAATGAATAATCACAACCGTCCACGTGTATACCGTCGAACAATATAAAAATGAATGAAATGTGCTAAAATATTATTGTATAATATAAATAAAAAATTATATAAAAAAATTATGCTTTTTATTTCATACAATGATCTGATGTAATTTTCAAGAATTCTTTATTTAATTCGCGTGAATGTTAAATTCTGTTTACGGCGGTAAGTGGTTCAACAGAATTTATAGGCACATTGAGACCAATTTCGTCGAGTTCGTTTGTTTGTAAAATTCATGAATAAAAGCTCATGAACTTATCACAGAACATCTATATGGAGGAAGCAAAATATGTAAAATTAAAATAAAAACTAAATTATTCTTCGTAGAAAACTGATTTATTTACTCATGATATATCATTTTCTAATTAAGGTTGCTACAATACAATGCAGTATCTTGATCGATAAATATCGTTTTATTAATTATTTTTTATTTATGTTATATGAGCTGAATATAATTGTAAATGATAAATTATTGCTATAAAAAGTACTTGAATAAATTATACAATTTTTTGTACATCAGAAAGTATTTAACATTATCTAAAATATGATAATGTGAGTTCATTAAAACCATGAATCCAAAAAAAAACAATAAAATTCTCAAAAGGATACAATAATCCTTAAAATTTGTCTTAAACAATTAAGCTAATTCATTTGCATTCACGTTGAGATTCTCCTTATGAAACATTAACTAGCACAAAATTAATATACTTTACATGCTTATGAACTAAATTTATGTGCACATATATTAATTAATTTCAAAATTGATAAATTGGAAAAATTTTTTCACTTCATAATGAATACTTTTTCAAATATAAGATTATAAAAAATGTTCATATAAAGAGAAAAAAATGACCAGTACAAGACATTCTTTTGTTTGTATAATAACAAATTATTGTCTTGCATTATGTTCAGTTTCCATTATACATTCACGTACAATGATTCGAGCTTGTTGTATTCCAATTTTTAGACGCTCAGCTGCACTACGACTTCCGGCATAAGAAAGACGAATATCTCTACCCAATTCTTCAATTATGCTTAACAATTGAGCATATTTTCCTTGACCCGCTGGTGTAGACGAAAAGTTAACATTGTTCAACGGGCTAGATTGTGCTACCTTTTTGAAAAAAATTTTCAATTAATATTCATTAATCTCATTACACATTTTATACAATTTTTTCTTACACTTACTTGGACTGTTTGAACATTTTGCAGATTTCTGGGATTTGGAACATTTATAATAGGTTCAGACATCCTAGGTATATCCTGTACCTTGGGTGGAGGTGGTTGATGGGTTTGAGGCGGCGGTGGCAGTTGTTGCTGTTGTGGTTGTTGATGGGGTGGGTCTACTAATTTCGTGATAGTTATTTCATTAAATTTAGCTAATTCAGTAAGTTTAGCCATGTCCGATACTTTAGAATAATCAACCATCTGATTCATGTCAGTTTGCATATTAGCCATTTTAATCATCTCATTCATCTTAGTTTTTTCATTCATTTTTGCAATTTCCTTTGCCACTTCATTAAAAGCTAATCCATTTAACTTATTAAAGTCATTGTACTTGGCCATTTCCGACATTTTAACCATTTCATTTAATTGAGCAAACTCATTCATTCTCTGGACTTCATTGATTTTTGCCATCTAAAAAATTATAAAATTTTGTTTTAAAAGATAAATTTTGTTAATACAAATATGTTTAAATAGAAAATTTGTTACTTCATTCATTTTAGCCATTTGTGTGAGTTTCATCATTTCATTCATTTTGGCAAGTTCATTCATTTTATTTATATCTGAATACTTGGCCATCTCAGAATATTTGACCATTTCGTTCATCTTGGCTATTTCGTTCATTTGCATTTGAATTTTCATTAACTCGTTATTTTTGGCATATTCTGTCATTTTTTCCATTTCGTACTTCCTATTCATATCTTGTGACATTTTGTTCATTTCATTCATTTTATTGAATTCAGCAATCTGAGCCATCTGAACGATATGTTCAGACACTTTGCCTCTTTCCATCATTTGCCTCAACTCGGCTGAAATTTTGTTCATATTCAGCTCAGAAATTTCAGGCATACCAGAATTATCAGGCATCTTTGACATTTCTGCTATCTTTGAAATTTCCCTAGCAAGATTCTCGTCCAAACAACGCTTCTTTTTTGCTCTGTGCCTGGCCATCCTCTGAGCCTCTTGCATGCGCCTGATTGCGGCTTGCTCTTCGGATTGAGAAGGTTGATTTTGACGAGGATTCCTCATCCTCTCAAAATAAAGTCTGATACTTCGTTCGTCCATGGATTCTGACATCACTTAGAAAATGTTACTTTACTGCAATGAAAAAAAAACAAATATTTGTTGTGAGTATAATTGAGGTTAGGTAGACGCATAGCACACAGTCTGGTTTTTTGACAACTATCAAAATACAACCGCACACTTGCATTCAACAGTATCGATTAAGAGTAGCCGAAAAAACTAAAAAAAAAAGATTATTTACGCTACCTGAAAATGAAACCCCAGATCTCTCTTAGTGACAAGTACTTATCAGCGTAAAAATTGAACTTTACGGAAGCGAGGTTCCGCTACGTTAATGCATCGAAACACTGAGTAATGAGAATTCGGTACGTAAAAACATAGAACAAGGAGAAGGCATATGTACACATACACTGCGCATCGAGAGAGGGAGGGGATACTTAATTGCAGACGAACTGAGAAAGTCGGATTGACCGTAATACCATTCTTATCGATGGCATTTAATCCACAGTACTCGAATAGATGTCACTACTATTACTTGTAGGAAGGTGAAGAATAAAGAGTGGCTATGTAAACATTTTTTAACGCCAATAAAAACTATCAAATCAGTGAAGAATAAAAAAAAATACGACTTTCGCCAATTCGATGCTCTTGGGAAAATGTTATCATCAAGTCAAGTATATTGTTTATTTGAATTACAAAACTAAATTTTCATCAACAAATTCAAGTCAAATATGCTACTAGTATAGCTCGTTTTTTTAAATCTAAATTCATCGTGTGCGTAGAGGACTGTTTTTTAGACAAGAAAAAATAAATTCAAATACTCTAACAAAAACCGAGTTTTAGGATTAAAATGAGATTTACGTTTTTTCATCTTTAACCCCTAACTACAATAATTATCCCAAGTATGCTAGTAAAATATATTTAACGACGTGATTCATGCAAAACTGGTTTTGTCTTCAATCAGTACATCGGCGTCTGCGATACTGTACCTATAATTTTTTTTGGTGCCGAATACAGTTCTAAAGTGTATTCAAATGTAACGCTAAAGTCTCCATCGATGCTAGCTGCACTCACGGAATTTGTTTGAGACAAATTTTCAATACAGAAGTCATCTTTTCTATCGTGAAAATAAAACAATCAAATTGATGTTTAGTAGAAGTTTTTGCACTATTTATATGGTATGTTGTGTTGAACTTGTATTGCTAATTAGCATAAATGTGAGACAGGGTACCGATATGAGTGAATGTGTTTGTGGACAAAATTCTCACAACAGTAGTTGGGAAAAAATCTAATTATACGTGCCGATTTTACAAGAAGTTGAAGCAAATAATTAGTGTTTGTGAAAGATTTTTTTCTTCAAAAAATATTGACAGTCGAGATTTTTTTACAAGTCTTGGTAGAAAAATAAGTAAAATTAAAACGAAATGTTATTCCCTTTTTGTCGTTATAAACTAACTGATTTTACCGCACAGTGAAGCTCGCATTTTATTTGGAGCTTCAAAGTTGCAGTCTATAAGTCGTATACGATAAAAGTGCGTGTGCGTGCGCATGCATACACGATACAATTAATGCTATTTCTACCCCCGAGCTTTTCCACTCACATTTACCGTGACCTTCTCGCAATTTCCACACACGCAGTACAGGTATATAGGTATAGAAACGTGCGTCGATGCGCAAACGGAGTCATTTTTGGCAACGTCAACATTTGTTTTCACAATCGACGACGCATACGGCGAAAAACTTGCATATGAAATCGAGCGCAAAGCTTACGCGATGCGTCGACTCGAGGGAGCCGTGCGATAGCTTTGACTATAAAACATGTATGTACGCGATATCTTACCAACTGGCCTCTTGAGCTACCGAGACATCGTACCGATCGCCAATTAATCATTTCGGCTTTTTTCAGATGCAACCAGAATAATCTTGACGTTTTCTTTTTTTTTTCTCTCTCTCTCTCTCTCTCTTTCTCCCTCCGCAGCGCACCCAGCAAGAATCTTTGTCATTATTATCATTATTTTACATGCAGGGCAGTCTTTTTTCCCGTCTGCGAAATATAACGGTTTGGGCTTGAACCTTCGCCAGGCTGCAAGCGGCGTGCGCTAACGGCCTCAATCACAGCATCTCTGCATGCGCTGCGCCAGTAACGCAGTGCGGACTTTTTGCTCCGAATTACCGAAGCGATAAAGCCGAGTTTTTATCAATCGGCCTCGGCTTCGACGCGCTGACGTGCAATTAAAATTACCAATTCGATTTACGATCCGAATGGGCTAAAAATACGAGGGATAATATCGCTCGAGTGCACGTGTGCGAGATATTGCGATCGTTCCGTAAACTAGCGCCCTCTGGCTGCAGCGTAAAATTTGCATCTCTAAGCGGCCGAGGTAGTTAAAACGTCAACGCAATCCCGTAGCCGTGATATGTATACGACCTATCGTCGCCCTAGCCGCAACAACATACCTTACTTCGAGTTGATTCATATAAAGAGGTCATTGAGTTTATCAGAAATCAATTTAATGTATTGAAATACTTATAATTTATGCTTTTAGTAAATACATCAAATTTACCAGCGCTAGATTAATGTCTCGATCGATCAAATTTCAAATCAAATCAGATCTTTTTGAAAAGTAAACTATAAGTATTTTTGCCTCTGCGCGCGAGTAAGCACAGGCTATGCCATCAACTTGAAGTAAGGTATTTTCTTGTGTTAGAGCGACAATTATATTATACGCTCTCAACTCAATGGCAATTTCAAAGGATGAAGAGCGTACAAAAATCAGTAGAAAATTTTGACGTTAGACGTTACAGCGTCGAGTGATTTATGCGTGTTTGTTTGTATGGAAGAGGAGCGCGCGATGCGTCGCCGAGGCGATTTTCAGGTCGAGTTCAAGAGCCCGAAAGCCAAGCCGCCAATCTCGTTCTCTCTTTTTCTCTCTTCTCGGGACTGACGATCGGGCCGAGGGATTCCGAGTGCCGCATATGCAGGCAGACAGTATAGAACAGGCCAACACGCGGCGTCGGCGGCCACGGTTGTGTGATGCTTCAATTGACGTCGCGAGCTATTTTGCATTTTGTAGACTTTGGCTTTTTAGCAGCACAAGCGTCGCTGCTGTTTTGCCGCTGCTGTTGCTCTACTTAGCCGTGCTCTCTGTGAGCGAAATATACATACGCTACTTTCGAAATGAGATCATCATCGCGCGCGAAAACCGCCAAGATCATAGAATAGAAATACTTCTGTTTTTCGTACTTGGTAGTGCCTCCAGGAATTCGGCAACTCTAAACGATAGTTTCGAGTGCTCTGCGTACCTTAAACATGACTCGAGTTATATGAAGGATCCAGATGGGAAAGTCGTCGGGCTGTTGGGCAAGCTTTCTTTGATCTCGACCGGACAACCGGTTACATTTGACCAATAAAATTCAATAACAATTACGAAGATTCTCCCATTTTTCTTACCTGTGGTCATTCTAATGAATACCGGACTTGAAGAGTCTGCGATACAGGAAGTGCTGGAAAACAAAAGATTTAGCTTCGTAAGCTCGCTTGGCTGCACTCGCAACTCACGAGACGCTACACGTCCTATACAGTGTATCGAACTCGAGCGTATTATAGACTTTATCACTTTTCGATCTTCTTTCGCCGACTGCAGCAACGGCAGCAGCGCAAAGTCAGTGTGCTACATTCGTTCACGGAGGCATGAGCAACTTATATACTCGATATACTTATGTACATTTTATTTTATCCTACAGTGCCCTGGCGCTTTAACACACACTCGCACACACATACAGAAATACAAAAGTCGAGAGCGCGCAAAACGAGTTTTCTCGAGCAAGCGAGTAGCGGCAAGAGCAGCAGCAGGGCAAGACATTCTCTTTGAGCGCGACTTTGTCGCCCGGTGCACAACGTCTTTAAGGGAAGCGATCGGAGTCCTCGTCGCGGCTGCCAGGGAACAGCCGCTACAGGCCAGATGTTTTTCCGAGAAATTTTCGGTCCACCGAACGAACGGTTTCGAAGATCAATACGAGGATAAAGTTTTGATTCGAAGCACGAAGTAGCGCCAGGGCCTGGCAGCGGAGAAATTTTCTCAATCTCGTGAGGTTGGCGCAGTGAGCGGGATGACAAAAAACCGCATCCACGTTATATATAGAAAGTAAAATTGCGGCAAGTGTCTTTATATAGTATAAGTATAAATGAGAGTGTGCGAGTGCGCTTCGGCGAGTATATACATAGGCGCTACACTCCGACTCGAGAGTACAGGCTGTACAGTATAGAGTACACGGCAAGCAAGAGCACTTGGCTGGGCCGCGTGTGCCGCCCACGTTGCGCTTCTCGCACACAATGCCCCGGCGCGTACGTGTATATATATACGTACATGAGAACGCTTGCGAGGAGGAAAGAGAGAGGCGAGCGAGCTCTGGCTGTCCGTGGCCCGTGCAGACAGGAAGGAGACGCAAAATGAGCCCTGCGCACACGGCCGCGCTTTCTTTTTTCACCGGCCGGTGTACTATACACTTTACTCGCGAGTACATCCATACCGATATATATCTATATACGCACTCACACGCTCGCAATTGCGTACATGTACGTAGCTCTCGCGTCTTATAGCACGTTGTATAATGCAGCCTTACAGTGTGCTCCGGCGCTTTTCACTCGCGGTAAGTATCGAGCGTGCGCGTCTATATTATACCTATATATGACGCGCTGCGCACCGAGAGTATTTTTTTTTTGTTTTACGTACCGACGTTACGTGTGGCTAACAACTTCGAGCCTGCGATACTTACTTTTTCTTTCGTTCCTTCTTTTTTGTTGCTTCGTTGTTACTCGCGCGCCGCTGCTCGGTTAAATGAACTTTACGAATGCGCGATTGAAATTGCCTCTTCGTGCCTCGTGTCGGCGACTCGGCTCCTTCCTTCAGGATGTATCATCGTTCGCGTATAAGAAACGGATGTGTATCGGAGCTCGTCGAGCCGATTCAGCCGCGCTTATAGTTCCATATCGACTTGTGTATTATATTTTATATATTTAATCTATACGCGCGTAGCTCAGGGCAAGAGCATTTGTCGTTATTTTCAGCAGCTGCATTGTAAATTGCGATGAAAAATGTACTCGCGTATCGTATATTATGTGCGCTTCGAGGCGTATGGGTAGCGTGTGCACGTGTGCCGTGCGAATTTATGCGATTGCCGCGCGCGACGTTGCTTATTTAAGAGGGCGAATTCGAGGAGATGGCTGCCTCTTGGACAGAATTCAACGAGCTTCTCGTTGTCGTATGTGCTTAGCGTTTGTCTAGAGCAACAAAGTAATTCTAATACAGTTGCACTAATATTTACCGCTGGATTTCGCGTTTGGCGACAGAAAATTCATCGAATAATTTTTAATCTCTTCACAGCCTTGACTC